GTCTCGTAGGACTTTTAATTTCGCTTTTTAAGTTATCTCACCTTCAATACATCCATGATCACTTTTAATGTGGTCGCAACGCTATCATCCTGCACTTCGATTGGTGCCTGGGCCGGGGAAACAACACTTCGGGACATTTTCTATCCAAACGACCAGCTGCTCTGCTACAGAAAAGATAATCGTTACCGTAAATCATTTGAATAGCCAAGCGCCGTCATAAGTTTACACACTTCTTCAAATATGGCGCCTTTGTTCACAGCCTCGCAACCGTGACGATCAATATCACTCTGGGGAACAGGGCGGGAAAAAAGTAATAATGGTAGAGTACCTTGCCCGCACCTGAGCTTAGAGCTCTTTGGGAACTCGTCTTGAAACAAACTCTGAGGAAAGAAGATCAATGCAAATTCTATTTCGAACCTAAGTTTTGAAGTCTGGGTAAAGATGGAGAGTTAAAGGAAAGGATTGTAAAGGGGGGAAGGGAGGGGTGGGTTTTTTTCTTAATTAATCCATTTGTGTCGCAATATTGAGATCTGCTGTCTACGGGGAGTATGGAATTCTCTAAACGTTTTATGGTTGCAATCCTAAATGAATTGATGGCCTGTTGAACGTTTGGTAAAGGTGAGTTGCAAACTGTGAACGGATCATTTTCCATCCCTAGATTCATATTTCATTCGTTCAATCTAATTTCGCATTACTCTTTGCTTCAATTTCGCTGATTCCTAACAGTTCATCGGTGACCTTTAAAAGTTATATGTACAGGACCTGTCATTACGACAAAACTAAGAATCTGAGCTCAAGAAATATGATTCTTAAAAGAAACAATCTACTGCACACTCGTTTTGTTGATTTAAGAAAGGGGTGTTATCATCATAACCGGCCATTATGGAGGTTTGAAAGTACACGCTTATAATCGGTGTGGATTATTACAAGGGCCGAGAAAAAAGTGAAAAATAAGATTCAGTTACAAAATAAGCTGCAAAATAAATAAAGGACGACCACGGTAAAAAATTGCTTCATTTAAAACGAATATATTCCTACTACGTAACTCAGTCACAATTGTATGAACCGATAAAACTACTCTGGAGAAATTTTCGCTGTGTTGTAAAGACGGGACTTCACTACTTTTGCATCGTAAAGCCACTCTTTGTCAAATTAGGTCTTGTAAAAGGGGAACAATGCCAGTGCATGAAATAAATCTTGTTTTCTGGGTTAAAAATTTGTTTGAAAAAATAGGGTAGCGTGTCTCTCACAATGTTTTTTGCCCTTTGGTGCGATTGAAATTAAAACAACAACAACAAACTGTGACACAAAACCTTTTTAGTTTTAAAGTATAATTTTCAAATTTTATTTCCTTCCAACATCAATCTCACTGCAACAACTCAAGACTGTAATTTATTAAAAGTATGTTCTTCTGTTATGTGTTCTTATTTTTCCCTTTTTAAACCTCTGATGCTCCGATCAATGTTTTTCCAACACAGAGGACTGATGTGGGTGGACTTGACTTGCGAAAAAAAAAATTGATGAAAAAAAGGAATTAATGAATAAGTTGTGTTAAGAAAACAATTTGTTTAAATAACGAGATGACAAATTCTGCGAAGTTCACGTTCGTATTCATAAATAAGCCATATTTAACCAATCTCAACTACCTGCATTGGCTTGAGAAAGTGCAAATTGAAGAATTTCACCCTAAATTTGTACGTTTAGAAAGCTTTGGATTCCAAATATAAATTTGTTACGTAATGCCAAACAAGAATGGTTTTTCTCGGCTCAAATTAGCACAAACACCGTTCTATGAAAAGAGCCGTAGAACCTCTTTAGTTCTACATTTCTTTAATAAACATTCAATTGTCTAGCGCCTGTTAGCTTGAAGACAGACCGTCCCCGGTCAAATATTTTTTCAGATGAAGAACTAATGAGGGATTGAGGGCTTCGTTTTAAGGCAACTTTTGAAATTTAGTTTATGGCATGATGACGGTGACACAAAAAAATCAAATAAACAAAACTACCTACAGTGTGTAGTAAGAATTTCGCTGAGTGTTTGATGTGTTAACCTTCTTTTTTGAAATTATAGTCAAAGCTAAAATCTTGGAGTCCTCTTTGATTTCCAAACTGAAACATAAAAGAATCTTCCGTCAAAAGAAAAAGGCGATTACGTAGTTGGAAATGCATGTAACGAATGATCGTTCTTCTCATCCAAGGCTTTGTTTTACTACGTTGTCGATGTATTTGCCGGCGCAGTTTACTGAGATCCCAGTTTTTTTGCTAAGGAATTCGTCTCAAGAGCTTCTTCCTTAAGATTTTATTTTTTGCGCGATGGAAAAGTTGGCCAGGTAACTATATTTCAATTTATTTATTTCAGAGCGAGAGCGCGCAATGCTGTTTCCAGATTCCTACTTCTCTGCTAAAAGACGTTTGGTAAAGCATGCTATCGAAACAAGAACAGTCAAGAACTTGGATGACTGTGAGCTTATGTGCTACCTGAACGACAACTGCGTCAGTCTTAACTTCAAAAAGATTCAGAGAATAATCTAAGCAATAATAAACTTTGAGATATCAAACACTTGAAAAAATATCGTATTTATGGACCGAAACGGTAATGCAGATGTGTTACCTCCATTGAAATCGTCAACGAAGGGTAATGTGAAGGCTCAAGAATCGAACGTTTCTGGAGCTTTACCGCTTGTTGGAGGAGTACAAGTACAACAACTATTTGAGGAAGAAACTAACCAACAAAACAAAGGAAAGGTCGCCAACGAAATACAAGGCCTTCCATCTGTTAATCGGCCAGTATCTTACTCAGGGAATACTTCTCCAGCGTCAGGAAGGAGATCTAGCTTGAACGGATCGGGATCGCTGAAATCTAGAGGATTACCCATGGTGCCGGAGCAGGCAATGAAACTCCGGGCCAGCTTTTGGATGCTACCCCAAATGTGTTGCATGGTCTTCAGCTCTGCCTCCACAGTTCGGCACCCGGTGTTTCTTAGTCTTCTCCTCTTGCGCTTTCCTTCAGGTGTCCAGTGAAGGGATGTGCGAGTGATGTTGTCCTGCTCTCTCCTCATGACGTTCCTAATCCATCTCCATCGCCTCAGCATGATGATGGTCTCCATACTGTCTTGCAGCGGGTGAGTAGCTGTTGATAGGAGATGGTGTCAGGCCAAAAGATTTGCAGGATTCTCCTGAGGTTCTTTCTGTGGAAGACTGACTGCTTGGTGATGTCGCTCTCTGTCATCCTCCAGCATTCAGAGCCGTATAGTAGGGTGGACATCACACAGCTTTGGTAGATACTCAGCTTGGTCTTGGTGCTGTACTGAGAGAAACTCCACACGTTGTTGTGCATTCTGAAGGCGTTTCTGGCCTTCTTGAGACGGTTTTTGATGTCACTCCCTGCTCCTCCATCATGCCTTTCTGTGCTTCCCAGGTAAGTGAGCTCTTCAGTTGTTGGCAGGTCTTTTCCGTTCACTTGAACTGGTCTAGGATTGGACACGTTCAGCAGCATCACTTCCGTCTTCTTTTGGCTGATCTTAAGGCCAACCTGCTGTACGTAAGTACTGAGTCGGGTCGTCTTTTCCTGCATGTGTTGGTGAGTATGGGGGACCAAGGCTAGATCATCTGCAAAATCGAGGTCCTCCAGCGTTGAGAAGAGGGTCCATCTGATGCCCCGAGACTGATCTTCTGTTGTGTGCCTCATTACCCAGCCAATGGTCATGTTGAAGAGCATCGCCGACATTGTACAGCCTTGTCCGATGCCAGTCTTCACTTCAAAGCTGGTTTCGCTGTTGTCCACTCTGCATGTTGTTGTAGAAGCTTTTGATGATGTCGATAATCTGCTGTGGTATACCATAGGCCCGAAGGGTGCGCCACAGACTTTCCCGGTGCACGCTGTCAAAAGCCTTCTCAAAGTCTACAAAGTTGATGTAGAGTTGTCTCTACCACTCAGTGCACTGTTCTATGATGTTACACAGGGTGAAGATCTGGTCTGTGCATCCCTCTCCTTTCCAAAATCCTGCCTGCTCTCTTCTCAGTTGTTGGTCCACTGTGTCGGCTATTCGCTGGCTGATGATCTTGGCCAGTATCTGGCTGAGTACAGATAGTAAGGTGATTCCTCGCCAGTTGTTGCAGTTGTTGAGGGCACCTTTCTTCGGAATCTTCACAATGACTCTCTCTGTCCAATCTTCAGGTAACTTCATCCCCTTCCAGATGTCTGCAAAGAGCGGCTGGAGTAGGTCCGCTGCTAGCTGTGGATCTGCCTTAAATACTTCTGTACTGAGATTGTCTTGCCCAGGGAATTTTCCGTTCTTGAGGGACTTGATGGCTGCTATGATCTCTTCTTTTCCTGGGGGATCGGTGTTGACATCCAGGTCTGTCTCTGCCTCTTGTATATCTGCCTCTGTTGGTGGTGGTGGTGGTCTGTTCAGAACTTCACTGAAGTGTTCCGTCCCTCGTGCGTCTTGTTCGGCTTCTGTCGTGATTAGTCGCCCCTGCTTGTCCATGATTAGAGCGTCAGTGCCTCTTCTGTACCTGCCACACACCAGCTTGGTGATCTTGTAGACTCTGTCTTGCTCTCCCCTGCCTGGCTGCCAGGTATGTACTTAACATTGACTACATAAGGCTTTAACCTGAGAATCATCTTTTTAAGACAGAGGGGTGCTTGAGGAATAGGCTTCTGCAGGATTGCTTTTAATGGCTTGTGATCATTTTCAACTGTAGTCTCTCGTTGCCTATACAAATAATCATGAAACCGCTCACATCCAAAGACAATGGCCAGCATTTCTTTTTATATCTAAGCATAATTTTCTTGGCTTGGAGACAGAGCTTTAGATGCGTAAGCAATTGGGCGGTCATTCTGCAGAAGAACTGCATCAACACCTTTTGAGCTTGCATCAACAGACAGGGTCACTGGTTCTTTCGGGTCAAAGAACTTGAGGAGCTGAGAAGATTGAAGTTTTCAGGCATGTAAATGTGTCATCTTCTACTTGTCCCCAGGTCCATACAACATCTTTCTAGAGTAGCTGGCAGAGTGGAGCACTCTTCTGAGACATGACTGGGATGAACTTAGACAAATAGGTCACCACACCTAAGAATCTCTGTAAGTCTTCACGATTGGTTGAGGTTGGCATAGCGATTATTGCTTCAACTTTCTTAGGGTCTGGTTTAACACCGTCTGCACTCAACACATGGCCCACATAATGAACTTCAGATTCTCGAAAATGGCATTTCTCCCTGTTAAGCTTAAGGTTGTGCCCACGATAGCGGTCCAACATCTTTCTAAGCCTCACATCATGCTGCTCCACATCTTTCCCCCACACAACAAGATCATCCACAATTACCTCAACACCTTCAATGTCCCGAAACAAATGGAACATAACATTCTGGAAGACTTCTGGGGCCAGTGCTATCCTAAATGGCAAACGTTTGTAACTATACCGACCAAATGGGGTGTTAAAGGTAGCTAGCTTGCTACTGTCCTTGGCTAGTTTAACCTGCCGAAGGACATGGTTAGCATCAAGAACACTGAACACTTTTGCATTGGGCATTCTGCTAATCACATCTTCCACGGTCTGCATGGGAAAATGTTCACGCATGACGGCACGACTGAGGTTGCTAGGATCCAGGCACACTCTGAGCTTGCTATTCTTCTTCTTGGCAACCACAAGACTGTGTAACCAGGCAGTGGGCTCTATACATTTCTTAATGACTCCCAGCTTCTCCATTCTCTGAAGCTTCTCTTTAAGAGGCTCGCGAAAGGCCTCAGGACGCCTACGGGGAGGGTGCACAACAGGGATGGCATTGGGATCAATTTGAATTTTGTGCTGGACGCCTTTAGTCTCAGCCAGGCCCTCAAACACGTCTGCATATTCGGATTATAGATTCTCTTCTTGAAGGTGGTAAATTCTCTTTATCAGGCCTAAATCAAGACAGGACTTCAATCCAAGATTGAATGGTAAATCTTGCTCAGTGAGTATGAAGTCTACAACGGTGAATTTCCCTTTGTGCTCACAAGTTAGGCTGATCCTGCCCCTGGGTGTGATTCGACGTCCGTCATACACTTTCAGCTTGGCTTTGCTCTGGCGGGTCTGTTTGGGACCAACTGGAAGTCCAGCCAACAACGACTTGGAAATGACATTACAGTCAGACCCTGAATCTAATTTAAAATTCACACTTGTATCAGCAATCTTGAGCGAGACTTGCCAATCGTCTTGAGAAGGGCATTCATTTCTGGACTCCACTGAAAAGGTCAGAAAATCGGCTTCGTTGTCTCTGCCCTCCGATTCAGCGACTGCGTGTACCGTTTTCCCGCCAAAATCCCACAGTCTTTTCAGGTAAACGTTCGCAAAATGATCTCGCATCTGGCAGTAATCACACGTTTCGCCCAAAGCAGGGCAAGATCCCCACAAGTGAGAAGAACCACAAAACGTGCACTTTCCTTTTTGTGAGCCCGAACCTGGTCTCTGTCGACACGGAGGATTTTTTTCCTCTCTGCCGCCGCCAGCTCGAATTTCATTCACAGTTGGATTTTCAATGTTTACTCCTTTGGGCCCATCACTTTAATCTGTTCTTTTGAGGCTTCGGACACTCTTGCCATAGAAATCGCTTTTTCCAGTGTAAGCTTCTCTTCCCTCAGTAATCGTTCCTTCACCTGTAGATCTCGTATACTAATCACGAACTTGTCTCGCACCATGTCATCAACTGGCGACGAGTAATCGCAAGATTTCACCTTGTTTTTCAAATGTGTGACGAAATGATCCACGTTTTCAGAATCTTTCTGTGTTATCTGCCAAAACTGATGTCTCTCGAAGACTACGTTCTTCCTGGGGTTATAGTACTGCTCAAACTGCTCCAGGACTTTGTTCAACACTTTCTTTCCTTTGTTGTGCATCACAGTCTCTGACTCTTGTAGGTGCCATTTTTCTGAAATCTCGATATCATGATCTTTACAGATGCTCCAATGGAGATATGCTGCAGCATTATTATGCCTAAAGATGTACTCTTTTTTAGCTAATACCTCACATCCAGATATAGTATGGTCCACTGTCTCTTCATATTGGGAAAAAATCCTGCATTTGCTCTCTACTTGCTGGCCACATTGAAACTGCAATAAGCGTGTAAGTCTCCTGGCCTTTAATAACAATACCACAAACCAAATTCGAATGAAGATTTATTGTAGCCGACGTGCTTGGTACTAAGAGTGTGCATACAAACAGCGTGGGTTGAAACTAAAACGGTAAAAAAGCAAAAAAGTTACAAGTTGCGACTAAGGTAAATTAGAGTAAGGAAATAACAAAACTGCAAAACGAGGACTGTGAAGTACACTTACATTGTTTCGGCCAGAGAAAACTGCTGTAAAGCGGACTGCGAATAACGCGAAGAGACTTGCAAGAAACTAAACAGAACTGCGCTAAGCGCGGACCAAAATGAACTGCCCAAACTGTACTGCAAAACTACGATATGAAAAATACGCTAGAACATGCGGAAAATAAAACTATAGAAATTTAGAAAGGCGCTAATGAAGATGAAACAGCACAGAAACGCTAACGAGGGCGCGAAAACTGACAGAAAGGAATAAACACCTAAATTAACGCCAAAAAAAAAAGACTAAACAAATGGACGAAAAGAAGTATAAACTAATTTGCGTACGCAAAGGAAAAACAAATTACGCAAGAACGAATAATAGAAAAAATGTCACACTTGGATCTTACACACATGTTACTTTGTGGTAGTTTGTGGTGTTTTATTGCGTGGTCTTGAGCTGCAACAAATAGTCCCCTGTTTCTCCTTTCAGATTACTTGAAAACCATTTGTTGGTGGTGACTGTGTCTAAGTGAGGCTTCTCTAGAATCCTGGAATACTGGCCATGCAATGCTTTTTTTTCCACTTTCATTTATTCATGGATTTCATCCTGGACTTTGATGTGTGTTTCAGGGCCTTAGCATTTTCTGAGGCTGATTTATCCTCTCTGTTCTCAAAGTCTGGCATTGTTACTTCCCTTTTGAGCTTAGTAGCATTCTTGGTTATTGAATTTTTGGACTTAAATCTTTCATGTTCAAGCGCCTGCTTTGGATATTGCCCTTCTTTGTACCTTAGGTAATGATTGAGCCCTATTGTTACTGTTTTGAATGTTGTTTCTACATCAATCAAGCCCCTTCCTCCATCTTTTCTTGGGATGTACAGCCTTTTCACATCTGCTTTAGGATGTAACACCTGGTGCTTGTTCAATAGTATGGGTGTTTTCATGTCAATCTTCTTCGGTTTGGAGATTTTCCAGTCAATGATGCCAAAACTATAATGCACAACTGGGACTACAAGGCTGTTGATGGCTTCTATTTTGTTTCTTCCATTGAGCTCAGTTCTTAGGATCAATCTTACTCTCCTATTATATTATTTTCTTATCCTCTCTTTCATTTTGCTATGCTGGATACCATCACTTTTATCTACACCCAGGTATTTGTATGCTCCTTCCTGGTTCAATTCTTGTATTTCTGTCTCCTCATCTATTATTTTGTTTCCAGTTGAGGTTAATTTACCTTTCTTGAAACTGGCTTTGGCACATTCCACAAGGCCAAATTCCATACCAATATCATCACTGAATTGTGTCACTATTTTCAGTTCTCCAACTTGTTTTTGCTTGTTCTTGTTGTTCAATTTTAGGTCTTTCATATAAAACAGATTACTAGGCAAGAATGAATCTCCTTGAAAGATCCCTCTTTGGATCTTGATCTGATCCATTGTGATCCATTCATCATTACAAGATGGCTTCATTGTAGTTTTCCAGTTTCTCATTGAGGTTTCCATGAACTTGATTAGTTTTTTATTAAATCTGTACATCTGTAAGGTCTTTAGTATCCAACTATGAGGGACACTATCATAAGCTTTTCTGTAATCTATCCAAGTCATAGTCAAGTTCTTTTTCTTCTTTTTGCAGTCTTCTATGACCATTTATTCATTAGGAGGTGATCTTTGCATCCGTATGTTCTCCAGACACAAACTCTCTGTTCTATGGGCAATATATCATTCTTTGTGACATGGGTGTAGCTTCTTTTGGCCTAAAATCGATGGGAGAACTTAAGAGGATGTTGATAAACAGGCAATTGGTCTAAAGTTTTTGGGGTTCTCTGTGTCTTTGTTCTTTGGTAGTTAGTATGTTTGTGCTGTTGCGAACCAATTAGGCAGATTTTCGGGGTTTCGACTGCTTGGTTATATACATTCAGGTTTTGATGTAGTGTTGTGAGTTGTTTGAGCCAGAAGTTAAGAACCACATCAGAGCCTGGTGACTTCCAGTTGCTTGTTTTCTTTAAAGCGGTCTGCAACTCATCTTGGCTTATATCCTCCCATGGTTGGCATTCTGTTTCTGCTCCTCTCTCTTTATCCACCCTGTTGAATGGTTGTACTCTCCATTGTTCTCTAAGAGGGAATGCCAGAATGTTCCTGTTGGCTCTTTCTTAGGTGGTTTTTCAACTGATATGTGTTCTTTTCCAAGGTTTCTGAAGAACTTATTTCTATTGTTTGGAAAAATCTGGTTTTGACTGACTTATTTACTTGTTTACACATATTCTCCCGACTCTTTGAACTTTTGCTTGAATTTTCATTTTGAAGGATTCTCTTTCCTGTCGGCAGTTCTTGGTTTGTTGTTATTTTGTATTTCTTAATTCTTTGTTTTTTTTTTGAGATCTTTTGGGTTTCCCCTTTCTGTGTCGTCTGTTAGTATCTACAGTTCAGCTCTCATGCTTTTAATCTGATTCTCAATTCTGGTCTTCCATTTTGGTTGTTGCTGTTTATTACTTTTTGTCGTTGAGACTTTTTGGTGTTAACACTAGTAACTAACACTCTTATTCTTTCTCCCTCTCTTGTTACAGCTGAGAGGAAGAGAAATCCCGGCTGAGGCTTATCTGATGAGTCGAGTGCGTCACCCAAACGTCATCCAAATCTACCAACTCATCTTTACTGAAGAACATTACTGTTTTTTTATGGAACGACCAGAATCTTGTAAAGACTTTTTTGACGTCATACAGGACCGTAACTCCGCAGGAAACCCATTGTCTGAAAAGAAGTGAGACGACACTTCGCTCAGATCTTGGAAACTAACATCAAATGCGATGAAAAAGTTGTTATACACCGCGTTATCAAGCCTGAAAATATCTTCCCGGATTTTTCAAATGATGAAGTGAAATTGAATGACTTTGGATTGGCATCTGAGACACAAGAAGAGCCTATTGACAGCTTTAGAGGTAAGAACTGTTCAATCAGTGAAATCGGTTTCAAGTGATCTCAACTCAACATAACAAAGATTAATCACGCATTCAGAAACCAGCTTAGTTAAAAGATCTTGTAGGAAAATGACCCTTAATTTTTCGAAGCAAGCTTCCTTATTTTTGCTTATCTTATCTTTGCTGATATTGATCATTTTAATTTTGCCTCCCTTAACACTACATATTGTTCCAGTTAAGTCGTACTTTGCATCACGTCACGTGACGGCAAGTCAGTGGGAGGAAGTGGAAGCTAGGAATACGGCGGTGCAGCCAGGAATACGGGTAGTGGCCAGAGCCTCTTCAAATTTATGTAATTTCCTTTTCCTATTCCTCTTGCGACTCTGAATTTCGACAACCGCCCGTTAAAGAGGCTTAATCTTAACAAAAATCCAATAGAAATTGTTTTCTCTTTGTTCTTGACTAAACTTACTATCAATACTTTTCTTCTAGGTATGAATCTATACATGCCCTCTGAATTCATGAAGACAAGTAAATATGATGGTTGCGGGGCAACCATATGGGTGATGGGAATTCTCTTGGTCGATATGTTGCCACCAATTATTTCTGCATTTGGAAAACTGCAACATTGTTTGAGCATGGAGCTCAGAATACCTCAACACTTTTCATCAAGTGTGTAACAGTTTGGTTTAGTGAACATTTTTAAACACTGCGTTCATTATCATAACAAACAAAAAATCTTCGCAAATTCTCGTATGACAGTCGGAAAGTTTCGCCCTCAATTACTGATCAAGTTGTAAAGGAAACTGTTGTTGGGTCATTGTTGGTTATCACCACTCAAGCTCTCTAAGGATAATTGTAGGAGTTACTTCGCCTTTACATTAATGAACTGGCTCCAGTTAAGCAATCAACTATAGGAAGAATCGTCGGGTTCCGAATTATTTCACTTCAGTTTCGAGAGATCACGGACCTAAAAGTCCTTAGAGATAATGCAGGGACTTTGAGGGGATTTTCCGTGAAAATCTGGTTTAAAAGCGATAATCATCTATCTTTTCCCTTTTTAAACAGAGATCAAGAATATTGTTTATATACTTTGTGGAATCTCGAAGCAGATCAGCGACCAACTCTTAGACAAGTTCTCCAGCATCCATGGTTCTCAGTTAAAGTGTAAACTCCTCTCTGTATTATGGACCTTGTTTGCTGATTACGAGATGTCGTTTTTTTTTTTTAGTATGACCGATTATTTGTACTCGGTACAATTGCCTTGATAAATTGTGTGTTGTTACTGAGAGTCTCTAACAGTAGCCTTGAAATGTCGCGTAGTAAGGTGAGACAAGAAAACGTAGATTCTCCGACAGGGTTGAATAATGTCAAACTAGCTACAACGGTTTAGCGGAACTAAATGCGCAAACTACCTGAACCAGTTCATAGGGTGAAAATGATCTAACTAGCTGATATGGGACAACATGCACAAAAGGGATCTTATAATGTACAGCGAAATGGTGAGTCCGAACATAAATGGATCCTATTGATTCGGAGTGACGATAGAATCCCTAAAAGGAACCTAATAGATCTTAGTGAAATGCATAGCCTATACACGAATCTTAATGATCCCTGGCATGACGGAGTCCCTAAAAGGAACCTACTAATTTTTCGTGAAATGGAGTATATACACAGGTTCTTGAAATATAGTACAGTGAAATGGAGAGGTTACTGATTCTCTAAGGGATCCTATCGATTTGAAGCGAAATTTTGTGTCCTTAACAGGGCTCCTACGATGTACAATAAAGTGGACAGTCTCCATCATGGTCCTTGTAGACCTTGTAGCGTGATGCTCTGATAAACAAGGCCACACTCCGAGAGAAAATCTTCCATGTACGTTAAGATTTTTCTTAAACATTTTGCCGTTATTTTAATTGAAGTGTAAATAAAATGTCGCCTTGGGAAAAGAGTGTAAAAAACGTTAAAAACTTTGTTTCCAAATTATAATGAAGAGCCAAGGGCCCACTTCCATAAAATACCAAGGCTTGGTCAACTCATTCTTTATGTCTCCTTCTCTTGTTGGTTGATTTTTACGTCAAAAATGAAAATGGATACCAGACAATTTTGTTTCTGGATAAATTAGGCTATATGAGATTGCTAATTTTTCGTCTAAAAATTAATTTATATGATTAATTATTAACCGGCTTAATCTAAAACTTACGCCTATTTAATGTAGAACCCCTGACTGAGCGGTTGAACGTTATATTCACCATCGTAAATAAGAAAGTTCAATCGTTTCTTACAAGAAATTTTAAAGTTTACGTCGTCTTGATCTCTTATGTCTCTGATAACAGAAAAAAGTCTAGTCTAGCACGAGTTTAGTTGTATTCTCTTTCGATCTCCACTCGTTTCTCAATGAATGGAGTCTTATGGCATGCAGGGTCATTTCGTCGCCGTCAAGAAAATGGAGCAATGTCGGGATCTGAGAAACTGCGCACCCACCCCTCCCTAACCCAGCTTTAACCCTAACTTGATGACTGTTGTTAGGTAGGGGTGGGGTAAATTCGCAGTTGCTCAGATACTGACATAAACGTTCTCGTCCGAATCGTGAGCTTCTAGTTGTATGTGATCTGTGGCTTACTGTACTCTCTCTTTAGCGTTCACAATGCAAACTGGCTAAGGAAAAAAAAATTAAACTCGTGAGGTACGAGTTGAAAACTCGAAGAAAAATTCCATATCTGCGCGCACCCATGTATTATTCTCAAACTTATTCCATGCGTTAATTTTCGTGAAAGTCACGTGAAAGTCACGTGAAAAGCACGTGGACATCTTTATTTATCCCACAACACACAGTGTTTCCATATGCCTTTTGATTTAGTTGTTAAAGTCCTTTGGTGAAAATCTTTTTACCTACGTATTTATCTACGGCGACTTTTGGCTAAACACGGGAAAAACCGGAGCAGCGAAATTGATGGACTTTCGATTCATATTAAAGCGTGTGAATGAGGTTACTAACTATAACTTGATGCAATATTATGACGTCATGTCCCGTCAAGCCATGCGAACTGTAAAGAAAATCTACTACCTCAAGACTGTAAACATGGCGCTGTGTCAACAACCCTGGCCGGAGGAAATAGATGTCTTTACTGGACCTCACTTGCGGATGAAGCAGCTTGTTTATGAAGCTTTAGAGAAGGTATGTACTGGGTGTTTGAAGTTAAGTGTGTGAACTTATTCGGTTCCTGATTTTACTGGTATGTGCTCTATCGCAAACTTTTCTGTGATAATTTTCTAAGTGTCTTTGCAACATGCACGTAAGGTTACGTTAGCTTTCATAGAAGCTCCAGTCCTGGAAAGATTCCTCGAAGTATGCATGATATTGTATAAAATGTTATTTTTACATAAACATTTTAATGTAGGATATATAGCTATGTTGGCAAACGTTATTCAATAAAATAATGCAAGTTGAGATTCTGAGGATGTTAATTAAGCTGTGTTGTAATCACAGTAGTTGTACGAAACTCCATTCTACAACACAAGTTTCGCTTCGTATTATCGAATATGTGGTATTGGATCGATCAGGAATTGGTATTAGCGTATCATTGATTTGATTTAAAATATATGCAAAGAAAATATGGCTTAAATTTGTTCTTTTAAAATAACGTTGATGGTTTTTAATATTGTTTTACGACTTTCAGCTCTCGGCCACCAACTTTAAAGACGATGTTTCTCTGATCGGACTTTTGGGGTGTATCAACTCCACCTTTCAAGAACTGAAACATCATGAGGAAATTGAAAATACTTGCATTATGAAAGTTTTGCAGCATCGTTTGATTAGTAAACAGATTCAGGCTATTGTGCGTGATGTTCACAAAGACAATCATGTTTTGGAAATTTTGTCATTAGCAAGGAAAGGACTTAAAAGTGCATCAAAAAGCAGAACTAATTTGAACAGGAGAACATTTGAAGACAGACTCAAAGGAGCGTTGGAATCATTTCAAAGAGAATTCCTCCCCCACATGAGGCATGAAGAGGAGGTAAAGGCTTTTGAAGGAGAAATCCTTTGCTGCAACAGGCAGAGATGGGTCCAGACAAATTGATGTGACAGTTTGTATAATTTGACTTGTATATGAAATGCGTGAGAAAGGCAAAAATCTTCATATCATCATACTAAATTGTGATGAATATTCTCATTTCATACTGAAAGGAAGTAAGCATACTTTTACCAAGAATGTAGTGTGTTTTTGTTCATGTAGCCAGACTTGGTGAATATAAGTCAATTGATGGGTTCAGCAATTGATGCTTTGTTGCATGTATAATAGAAGGAAAAGGGAAAAGAAGTTGATTTTTGGGTGTTCCAGCAAGGAGAGGACTTTTCTCAAAAAATTTCCTTGGCATTTGTACCAAAATATACACATGTTTATTTGCAAGTCTTAGGTTTCTTCATGCAGGATTTTACTTGAAATAAGTCCAAAACTGTTTAGCCAGAATTCATATTAAATTGAGAAATTGCTGGACCATTTAAGTGGCTGAAATTTGCAGTCTCCAGCCTCAAAAATGACCATACAAAACATTTTAGGTAAATCATGTTACTTTATTGTGATATTAAATGAGAAGGATTATCATAATTTAGTGGGATGATATGAAGCTTTGTAACATTCTCTTTCACTTTTTCAAAATTCAAAATATAAAGCTATCACGCCATTTGTGTGGGCTCCACATGGAAGAGAGTATTGCTAAAGAGATTTCTGCCAATGTGAAGTTGGTGGTATTTGGGAATGTACAATGTTATATCTTAGCTGCTATTTTTGTACAGTAGTGCTGTTAAAGAAAGATGTGCAGCTGTATTTGTTTGATGGTGAGCATGGGAAGAAAAAACAGAGTCCTCACTGAGGAATCAAACTTTTGGCCCTTGGTCCAAGCTTGGCTCTATTGTGTGGTGTTACATTTCCTGTCTTTGTTACTTGCTTGCAGAAAAGTGGTTACATCTTTTCTTTTCTTTTTGATGACTTTGTTCAAAATTTAAAGTCTTCATTATATGTAGTTTAGTTACTATGTCTGTTTTACTACTAGGTTTTCTTAGGGGACACTTCAGAAAATAGCTACTGTAGTAAGTTTGAAATACCACATGATCCAAAATGGAGGAACTAAGCTTGGTCATATTTCAGAATAGTTCATACTTGTGTCCAACTTTTTATAAATCTTTTGCCTGCTTCCCATTGCTGTCCTTTATTTTGATCTTCTCCTATTCAGGGACAATTTGTTTCTGGATAGGGGACTGAGTTGATTTTATTTGAAGGATGTGCCTCAAGGAAAGACCCCAGGTGTAGTCACAGTCAATTAAAATCCCTACATTGAACCTTGTGGGTGCTGTACATACCGTTGCTTTGTTTGTGTCAGACCAAAGAAACAATCATAACTTACTTTGTATATCATACTTAACACTCAAGAGCTTAATCTCAGGCAGACATCTCTCTCTCAATCTGATATGGTCATATGATTATTAGTTAATTTGATAGCAAATTCTTGTATAAAAATCATAGAGATCCCTAAAATCTTCTTTGTTATTGATGTTATAATGTACACTAAGACTGCCACATGGCATCCTCTCTGATGTTTTCAGGTTTTCCAGCCGTTACTTATGGAATACTTCACATTTGAGGAATTGAAAGAAATCAAAACCAGGGTTCATCAGTTGCACTCTGCTTTTACTGAGGTACATTGTTCATAGCTTTTTCCCCTAAATGTTGTGGTGTTCGGATTTATAGATGTGGTGAAAAATTAGAGAGTATATAGCTCCAACAAGTTTTTCCAAAACTTATATTTAATTATTGAATAATTTGTTGGCTTGACTGTTAACATTTTGTTGGGATAATATTTATAATCATTCAGTTTAAAACACATATCTTAAAGAGAAAAGTCAATTTGATCTGAAATTTGCTTTTTGTCAACAACCAACACTTAGATTGGCAACTGTTTGTTAAAATTTTAATCAAAGTTATGCCAAACTTTGAAATTGAGTTTTATTTATCTTTCAGCATTCATGTTCCCACGAAACAGGGTCTCCTCCTCTCACCTCACAAATTAACAAGAATAGTGCATTTGATGCTGAAACTTATCAAAATCCTGACAATGAGGGTAACAAATCTTCTTCAGTGGACACAAACTCAAGTGCTACAGAACATTCATCAAAAGAAAGGATGTACCTAAAATCAGGCATGTCCACAGCAGACAATTTTAAGACTAGTGAAAACAACCTCACAAAAAGGACTTTGAAAGCTGAGGTTGATGTTGTGACTGAAAAAGAACAACCTTTGCTGCTGAGTTTTCCACCTGAAATCACACTAAAGATTTTTTCTTACCTGGGCCCCAAAGACTTATGCCATTGTGCCCAGGTTTGTCAGAAATGGTCACACTCTGCTCGAGATGGTGACTTATGGAGAGAGCTTTATCCTGTGCGCTGGATCTTTAAAAAGGATTGGAGGTTTGGTGCAGATAGTGATGACATGTGCTCTTGTAACTGTGATTCGGAGATACCAAGTTTGGGATTTGATGGCAGGTAAGAGGCATTGAGTAGAATAAGTCACCTTTGATCGTGTTAAAATGTCCAGAGCTTAGGTGGCTGGCCATTTCTGAAGATGAGAAGACTTTCGAAACTAAGGGTAATGTCATTGGATTTATCTTTATGTCCAGAATGAATGGGTACCATATCTATTCTGCACATTACTCAGTAACTGAACTTTCGTCATGCATACTCACAGAAAAGTTATAAATAATGTTGACTAAGATTGAAATGATTAATAATCATGTCGTTGTTATCAGGAAGTGGTTCTCCCCATTTTTTTTTACAATAGCTCTTGTAAACAGCCAGTTTTAGCAGCTAATTTTGTGATTCTTTGGAACCCTTTGGACTACTCCCTGTGTACTGTAGCTATTTTAGGTATAACATAGATGTCAATGAATTGAAAATGTTTTCAGCTAGCTTAGTATATTATTTGTTTACTTGAAAGGTATAATTACATACCTTGTCTTTTCTTCAACTGACTTGAGAATCTTTTTGAATAATTACTTTATTAATGGAATTTTTTGCATTGTGGGAAAATGGATTTGCTGGAATGTAATAAAGCAGTAAGACTTTCAAGTTGGATAGAATTTTAACCAGTATTTATTAGTACCATATTGTTCAGATGGTAATCTGATTTTGGTTCCATTACATGATATACTAACTAAAGAAATTTTTTGTGCGGAAGTTCTTTTACTGACACAGACTTGGACAAGGAAGGGTCCAGTGACACTGAGTCCAGTGACACTGAGTCCAGTTATGATGGAGACAGTGACAGTGAGACACACACAGAGATACATCAGCTGCTGGGTTTGGTTCGATACCTGATACCAATGATTGGTCCAACTGTGTGGGTGTTAAAACTTGGCTGTTGTCCAATGTTGAGTAATGGTTTGGTGAGTTAGTAGCTTAAGTGAATGCTGTGACCCCATACAGGTCAGGTTACTCCCTCTGAAAGCAATGGTCTTGTATACATGCTGCATGCATGATTTTGAGCCCAAAATTTTGGCAAGAAGATGCTGCTATTACTTGAGTTGTTATAGTATCATGTTTATCTAAAATGATTTATGTGGATGGCCAAATTAAGTCAGATGAAAGTCCCTATCAGGTTTATAATCCATTTTATAACAGGGGGTGTGAATAAAGAGCCAGTCACTCATGGTCTAACACTGTAAACAAGGTCTTGTGAAGTCATTTTCCTGTGTTCTGATAAACTGCTATGTAATGTCAGATTTATATGGCTCATTTTCACTGCCCATTTCACTATTGACAAACACTGTTGTGAAATGGAGTAATGGTGCTTTGCTTTGTATTAGAGTGCTTTTAACTTCTGTCTAATTTTGTTAAAAGTATCTAGTTATTAAGTAACTTTGGCTCATAACTTGCACAGGCATTCAAGATTTTGTCTCAGTGTCCCAATCTAAGGCAGCTTGATTTATCTCAAACTGCAGTGTCAGACTTGGGTTTGAAAGGGTAAGTGAGAATGCAGATCTGTCTTGAGTTGTAATTTGTTAATATAAATCAAATGAATTTTTGATTAAACGTGCACTTTAAATAATGTAATAGACACCACCCCCTTTTTTCCAATCAACACCTTCCTTCCAATGCTGCATAGGTTGTATTGGATGTCCTATTTTATTTAGAAGTCCCCCATGACAATCACCACATTAGTAGCCAATTGCATCTAGTTCTTTGTCATGTTCAAAGTAAGGATAACATTTGTCTACCTTCTTGATCTCAGTTATAGGCAAACCTCCCAACCCCTTTCCAAGTTATTACTGACTCAGAAATAAAAGGGGCTAACAACAACAAAACAACCCTTAATGTAGATTCTAACTCAAACTTTGAAATTTGACAGAGTGATATGGACCGGTAGGAGGCAGTGTGGTGAAGTGGTTAGGGTGCTGGACTTGTAATCTGATAGTCCTGGGTTCAAGTTCTTCACCCTGACATTCTCTGGATTTGTTCTCAGCTGCCCCAGGTTTAACTCCCTGGTTGGGCTGTGTAAATAGCCAACTGGTCTGCCTCCTGCTAATTGGGATTTTCAAGCACTTTAATATGTTTATTTTCAGTCATTGTAAAGTGCTATTGGATGGCAATAGAAATAGTGCTATATGAATGAAGTATCATTATTATAAATATTACCTGTAAATGGCCAAGAAATAGCATAGGAAAGACTGGAAAGCCTTTTCTATATTTCCACCAAAAACATATTTAGGTTTGTTGAGCTTGTTGTAAAAGCTGACTGTGCAAGATCTGTTTTTAAATCAAACCTTTTTCTTGCATGATCAGGAAGCTGTAGACAGGATATAAATGTATTGTTCCAAAAGTGATGCATTCATCAACTGAAAACATCTTAAATGAACCCTTTTTGTAATTTCAGATTGTTTCGAAAGGGTGGTGGCTTACAGTTGGAACATCTTGATGTATCTGGCTGCAAAAACATCACAGACAAAACTTTGTTTAAATTGTCTTCATCACTGGGTAAACTTCCAGTTGGATCAGGAATTTCTGACATTGAGGATAGCAGTTGTGACTGCCATACAATCTGTTCTTGTGGCAGATTGATAAGTACTGGTATCACTCCAGAGACAGCTAAAAGAGAGCTTGTCTATCTTGGACTATCAGGTTGTTACCAGATTACTGATGCAGGTCTCAGGTCAGTGATAACACTAGACACATAAGATGAATTTGAAACTTTTATTTTTTCCTCCGGAAATAGAAAAACATTTCCTGCCTATGCTGGAAAAAATTATTGACTATATTCTTGAACATGTGTATCATAATAATAATAAGTATTCAACTGAAAAAAATCAAAGGTCTAATTTGGCTATTTTGGATTTATCTTGTTTGAAACCTTCATTTTCAATGGAAAGATTTACGAGACTAGTGTGGATAGTAAGCCTAGGAACAAAGGCACATTTCTGAAATCATTTTAAATCATGTTGAAGGATCTGTAATGGAATTTTTTGTTAAAAGCATAGATAGTTCTCCTTTATGCTGCCCTTAAGTTGACAAAATGTGAACCAGTCCTGATTTATTTAAAAAAAAAAAAATTATAATAATGTTATTTTTTGGTGTGACATTCAAATTTCTCCTTGACAAGCTGACATCTGCACAGAGAAATGACTCCTTCATTTTACATCATTTTTATCATCTTTTTATTTATTTTAATGAAATGGTATTCATCATATTACTGTTGCTATACTAATGTACCTGGTGCAACTTTGTTTATGCAGGGCATTGGCAAAGTATGGAGGACTTCCCAAGCTTAGGCATTTGGACTTGTCAGGCTGCTTACATGTGACAGCTGAAGGACTTTTGGACTTGGTTTTTGTTTGTCCAGCTTTGGATCATACAGAGTTTTTCTATTGTGATAACATTGATGAGGGTCCCTACCCAGAGACAGCCAGTGGATGCCAGAATCTGCAGTGTAAAAATCGTGTCTGCTGCCGCACTGGGGAGTAACTTATTGCATGTTCATAGTGCGCACAAAAATGTGCATCTCAGCATTGAGCTTGAAAGAAGTTTGATTATGTACTTGTTGTTGTTAATAGTTAGTTCATTTGTGAGAACTTCTTTGTTTGGTGCCACTATGAAACTGATATTAACTTTGACTGTACACTAACTGTTGTTTGTGTCATACCAAGTCTACATAAACTTTTGGGTAGACACTGTAATGGTTGGTAGTTGCAGTCTTGTTTTATTGTATAGTTTTGTTTCCAATTTCTTTTCCAATTTTTTTTTCTTATAAAGAATCAATATTTTGTTTTGTAAATTAAAGGCTTATGGTATTGGATTTCATATTACAGACATCAGGTTTGATTGGCATTTATTACAATTGTGAAAAAACACATGATAATGCAATTGATTAGTCAAAAGAGAGCAAACTTACTATTGTATAGGATCAATATTTTGTTTTGTAAATCAAAGGCTTATGGCTTTGGATTTCAAATAACAGATATCAGTTTTGATTGGCATTTATTACAATTGCAAAAAAACATGTGGATAGTACCATTGATTGAGTCAAAAGAAAGCAAACTGACTTTAAAAAAGAAAAAGTGTGTGATAGTTGTGTTTGATAAAGGTGAAGCAGATATATACAGAAGTTGTGAAACTTACAAAACTTTCTCTGTGTTTCGAGGAAAAAGCTAATCAACTCTGAGAAAAATAAAAGCAAAACAGGACTGTTTTTTGCATATCCTAAACTTAATTGTTATTCAGGTCAGTACAGTATGAACCTGTCAGAATCAAATCAAAGTTTTCACCATTTTCTGAGTTTAAAACATGATTTTAAAAAAATGAGAGAAAAGAGTCAAGTGAAAAAAGTTGATTAACCCTTTAACTCCCAAGATCTCATTTAGTAATTTTTCTCACTGTCTGCCATACAGTTCTTGTGATGTTAGTTTTGAGAATTTGGTATTGGACAAACTTAAAATACCCTAATTGATATTTTTCTTTATTCTCATCACTCGTCTGCTCGATATTGTGTTGATATTATAAAGAGAAATTCTGTCTTGGTCACTCATGGGAGTTGGAGAGTTTAAAAAAATTACTGTAATTTTATATTTAGCGCTCTTTTAAATAGTGTAAAAGACAAGCTAAAAGCATATCATAGACAGGAACACTTTTGATGCCAATTGTGAGATTAGATATGTACAACAATGGCAAAGTGCATGTAATGAATACATAAATATGAATAATGTTGTTACAAAGGTTATGCAAAGTAGTTCTTCTTGATGATTTAGCTGGTAAAGTACCCCTGCTATGAAAATGAGGATGTTTTGTTACCATTTGACTTTGATATCATCCTTTTCAAACATCCACCTTTTCAATTCTACACCTCAATTTGAAAAGTTAGCAGGTTTTTTTTTAAACATCAATTTGTCTTAATTGTCCACCATTAACAAAATGTAGTTAAGTCCTTAAAGCACAATATCCCATGCTGCATGATAAAATAAGATGCATTTACCCATTGCAATATGAAAGCTGCAAGTCTTTCACTTAAGTCTTGCCCCTAGCAGAGCCTTCTTAGCACAACTCGTCTGGAAGATAATCTGGAAATGGTGCACAGATTAGGACTTGTGATAAAGTAAAAAAGATCAAAAGTTTGAGTGCAAGTATGATTGACTGCTTAATAGAGGCATTTTGCTTCATGTAATTTTTGGTTGAACAGTGGAAGCCAAAGTTGAAACTTGTGTCGTTTATTCTGTTCAATATTTACTGCAATGTTAGTGTGCGACAGGTTTTAGGAAGACGAGTAAAATAAGGTAAATGTTTACTTTCTGCAATCCTCCACTGCATTTATGAGCCTAGTAGCATTATAAAATGGATTTTTAGAATTTGCTTAATACTGAAGTTCAGTTGGTGTGTAGCACAGAAAATTGCAACGCATGCTCCTGTATTGAAGTTGTAACTTTGAAGACAATTTCGCTACATATAAATTCTTTATGCAAGCCCGTTTGCTAACTTGTCTTAAATTCGCGGAGTAATTTATCGCATTTTAGGCTGGCGGCCAAGTTATCTCGAAGTAATTTTGTTGTGTAATTGATAGATATGAAGCTTTTACACAAAGAACCCTCGGAGATCGCGATAGACTTCTCGAGATGAAATTCTGGCTCCAGAATACGAGAAATTTGAAGAGTTTCGAGAATGTTGCTCTCTAAGTAAGTTTTCTTATTTGGGATTTCTACCAGTAATCATGCCGTCGCTTTTGAACAGGCTCATCAAGTTTCACCAAGTACACGAATCCCTATGTGTCCAGCTGGGACGTGGAAAACAAAGCAAATTCTCGACTAGGCTATCTTTAGAAATGACACACATTCCCACTTAGATGACAGTAAAAACGTCCGACTCCAACAGCAATCTACAAGGAATCAAACAAACTTTTTTGGAAAAGTTAAAATATTTATTCTTTTCCTCCCTATCTCACATAAATGTATGGGATAAACAACATTCCTCTTGTTAATTTCACGAACATGAATAGGAATTGTCTAAATTTTATATACAAGTTGCATAATAACAATAACACCTAACTTCACTCGTATATACAGGGTGTTTTACCACGTAGTTCTCTATAACTTATTATTTGGTAGATCATAGAATTCTTTCCTTGACAAAAACAGTAAATAAAATTCGCTTAAAGCTAACACCTAGTAAGCATTGTTGCGCAAACGTACACGTATGAGGAGAGAAGATTTACATTTGAAAGGAACCAGTTCATCGTTCAATTACCTCTGAAGGTGTAATTAACCTAAAACACTCTAAGAATTCCTAAAAAATACAACGAAGAGAGGTAAAAAATAAAATTTTCTCGCAAAGTAAAGTCAATTGTCACCTTGATAACAAAAGCAAGGTGTTAAAAATATTCGATTTTTATCAAGGGCTTAGAAAATCGTGTACTTCTTGCAAGACTAGTAAAATTATCTTCCCACTATTTTTGGTAACACAGTTCTGGTGTTAAGTTTAGCAGAGTCTGTTACCCCACGACCATCGTCCAAGATCTCTTCGATTTGTCTTCGTGGCTTGGTTTTCCCTGATGTTGGGGCAGCTGGCGGAAGCTTGGCGACTCCCGAGCCTGAATTACGCTGGTGGTATGATTTCTCCACTGACGCGTTCGATTCGGGTGCTCGAGGCAAGCGCCTTCGAAGCCATGGATGACGAAGGGCTTGTGATGGAGTCATACGCTGAGAAGGGTCCCATTCTAAACATCGCTTTAGAAAATCGATGAACTGTGCATCTTCACAGCCTTTCAAAGCCGTTTGCCATTTTTTCGAGCCAGGAGGGCCTCGCGTCTTACCGTGTCGAGAACGACCACCAGTCAAAACTGTGCTTCCATCTGGAAGAGTTGTTGCTGTACAATACCTTGGATGTCCTTTCGAATTAATAAACGTCTTGTCCCGCTTAGAGTTTTCTAATAGTTTCTGAGGAGGCATGCCAAGTAGTTCAATAATGCAAGCAAGCTGGTCTCCTTCATCTTCACCGGGAAACAAAGGATATCCTGTCAAAAGTTCAGCTAAAATACATCCAAAGCTCCACATGTCTATTGGCATACCATACTTTGCTCCAAGAATCACTTCAGGCGCACGGTAAAATCGGCTTTGAATGTACGTGTAAATACGCTGATGTTCATAGCAACTAGAGCCAAAATCAATCACTTTAATTCCACTCCGTCCTTGCTGTTTGAGAAGAATGTTCTCTGGTTTCAAATCACAATGAATAATACGATTTCGGTGTAGTGCGTCACTACATTGAAGAATCGAGTGTGCGAACTTCCGCACCAGTTGTAGACTAAACCCCTGGAATTTGTTTTTCTTTATGAGTTCGTACAGGTTCATGCTCAACAACTCGAAAGTCATGCAAACGTGTTCGCGAAATTTGAAATGTTCCAGCATGTGAATAATATTGTGGCCGTTGTCTTTGTCTTGCTTTTTCAGATGTTCTAGAATCCTGATTTCTTCCTGAGCTTGTCGGTGGAATCGCTTCTCGTTACGGACCATTTTCAAAGCCACATTTGTCTGAGTCTTGTGATCGTAAGCTTTCACAACCTGCCCGAAGCTTCCCTTACCGATAATCTTGACAACTTCGTAGCGGTAAGCAATATGATCATGTGGAACTTGAATGTAAGAACCCTGATCATCATCATAGCCTCCGTTATTCGCACCACCAACCACACCCTGACGTTTCTTCGCATTTGGACCAACAAACCAGATTTGAGGATAATTAAAGATCTCATGATGTTCGTAGCTGGTTAGCTTGTGCATGAATTGTTTCATTGCCTGCTCCGGCGCCATGGGTAATCCTCTAGATTTCAGCGATCCCGATCCGTTCAAGCTAGATCTCCTTCCTGACGCTGGAGAAGCATTCCCTGAGTAAGATACTGGCCGATGAACAGATGGAAGGCCTTGTATTTCGTTGGCAACCTTTCCTTTGTTTTGTTGGTTAGTTTCTTCCTCAAATAGTTGTTGTACTTGTACTCCTCCAACAAGCGGTAAAGCTCCAGAAACGTTCGATTCGTGAGCCTTCACATTACCCTTCGTTGACGGTTTCAATGGAGGTAACACATCCGCATTACCGTTTCGGTCCATATAAATCCCATCTCCTCCAGTTCCTCTCTTTGAAACCGCTAATGGCTTTCTTTGACTAGTTGTGAGCATCATACGTTATAAATGTTAAGATCGAAGCCAGTATTCTGTTCGTTTTGAAGCTACGAAGTAATCAAGCCTCATAAATTGCTTTCTCTTTTGTCAGCCGCATTTGATGTTGTTTCGTTGCGTCGTTGCCAGGTGATTTCTAACCAATCAGCGCGCTTTCCCGTGGCGTCTTGGAAACCACAAGACGTAAACAAACCAGTTCGTTGTGACGTCATAGTTCGGACGTGTGTGAAGGGTTCTTTGTTTTCGACGAGGAACTTCATCTTCTAAGAAAAAAAATGAAAGTTTAACTGTATCATGATCTCAATTTTGAAACTGTTTCACGTATTAACTTGTTAAAAATAGGTAGGTATGACTACCTTTCGCGGACTATACTAAATTAATCCTGATGAACTACGTACGAAGCAGCTGATGCACAAAGGATTTTAGAGATTTATGACAATAAGTTTTATGTGTTTTATCAGAAAGAAATGGCGGAAATAGAATAAAACGTCAATTTTCATACAGCTGATGACCTATTATAGCATCGTGTGAGAATTATTTCGGTTAAATCGTCAAAAATTTAACATTGGAAGAAAAAAGAACGTTTTTCACAATTTTTATGATAATTGAATTGATACTTTACACATGACAACGGAAAAAATCTCAAATTTAAGTAAAAATCACCTACCCAAAAAATAATTCTCGATATATTTCATCATCTTTATGCTATAACAATTCTAAAAGTAACTGACTGAAAATAGACTATAACCTCACATTTGATGTAGCTGATGATGTAACTGCCACAACTATAACCAAAATTAATTCATAGCAGGTAAGCAAGTTTGACTCAAGCTTAAAAATTACTTCCATTGCCACAGATCCTGTTTGTTACTTCCTGTTGGTTATTTTTAATTCTTAGCCTAAATTACAAATAAATCATATGATTTTTATCAAGAGTAAGGGTTCATTTTCAGCACTGAATTTATCATTTTTGTAGCTATTTTCAACAGAAGGAATTTACTCTGTATCATTTTTGAAAAAAAGTCCAAGAAATTTATGTCAGAAGAATTAAATGGGTTTTATTAATGAAGCCTTATTTAATACTTCAATTAGATCAAATAATTATATCAATTGTAAGTAAAAAATCATGGTAAATCTCTCTAAATCATCTTCTTTGAGGAGCTTACTATTTGAAACTCAATAAGTATGTGTAAATGTATTTGTGTTTGCATGAAGATATCTCATCAGGACTATCATTATCATCAATATTTTGACTACAAAGAACTGGAATCACTTGTGGTTCATATGTAAGTACGAAACATCCATACAAAGCTCTCATCAAAATCTATTACCTTTAAGCACTGTTGTAATCATAGTATTGCCAGTATTGATGGACAAATGTCATTCATAATACATTAGAAACCCTTTTCTTAGTGCTGTTACAGCACTAATTTGAGATTATCACTTTGCCAGCTTGAAGTTTAAAGTTTACATTTTATGAAAACTTTATTGCAAAATTGTATTTTTTAAAGAGCACAAATAAAGATTATGTCTCCTTTAGGAAACAAAAAATAATACTCTATTTGAAAAATAGGAGTGGGAGTACTATTTTCCAACAACACAAGAGGGCGACAAGGTTGCTAAGTAAGATTCAAGTTGGTGGCATCCGTGGTCAAATTTTTCGAACACTTGAAAACAACTTTGCAATGGTTAAGTAATGTGGTTTCTGGAGCACACTTTTCCCTCGATTGAACAAAAAACCACCTTACAAAATGAACTAAAAGAGTTATTATTAGTTACTTACCCACGCATTATCAACTGTGAGTGCTAAGTAAAAAGGAAAATACGTTCAAATTTATCAATGGTTGCATTTTGCTGGGGAAAATTCGCGTGACCAGCCAGGAAGCACGAGGAGCTCTTCGCGTTTCGGCTGAGCCCACGGTCATTGCCTCACCTGGACAAGATGGCGGAATTGAAGCTGTGAGTTTGTGAGGTTTTTATATTTCAAGTTATAGTAGGAACTGCCGTTTTGTTTGGTTTGAAAATTGTTTTCAATGAATTTCTTAATCGTTTTTTCAGGGAACTTACTGTGCCTTTTTCGACCGAGTCTGAGGCGCAAATTGTTCGCAATTCTCTCTCCGTCGATCCGGAACCAAAACGTGGCGGAGCCAAGAAACAGCTAACAGTGAAAGACAATGTGTTATACGTGTAAGTGTTGCAAATTTAGCTCTTTTCCATCTGTGTATGTACTTGTTTCACTGTGCATTACTTTTGAAAGCTCTTTTCCGGGAAAGGAAAGTGGACCTTTGGATCAACCTCAGCTGTTTGTAGGTTGTAGCGTAATTGAAAACCCTCGAAAGCTAAGACTTGATAATGAAGACTCCTTTATTTTCTTTATTTGACATGATCTTGTTATGGTTTCTTGCCAGAAACGTCTAGCTCCGGTTTTAATCCCTCTAATAGTGATTTAGTCGCGATACGTATTCATTTTCAGATCTTCGGTCTTTGTTTTTGCTACAACCGCTGTTTGTAACATAGTTACGTTTTTATCAAGCTTTATCAAGTTGCTACAAGATATTAAAGTTAAAAAGGATGGGGATGTTCTAATTCGTGAATCACACAATAAGTAACCAATCACTATCTTCTCCTCTTATTGATCCACATCGTAAGCGGCTGTATGACGAGATAATCAACAATTATTCATATATTAGAATATAACCAGCTTACAGTTAATGAATTGGACTGACAACTGTAGAGAGTTTTAGGATTTATTTTACCTTTCTGTGTAAAAATAATTGTTAGTCTACGTCATCCTACCAACCAGGATGCAGGCAGGTATACTCTAAGGTTTTGGTTTATTTAAAGCCCTCTTCTTAGGTGATCAAATGGACTACCATGAACACAGATAGTGATTGTCTCTTTTGTCATATTCCACTCCCCACCCCTTTGCATTAAGATTCAACAAATCCCTTGCAGTTTGTTCTTTCTCTGTGCTGGTAATTTAGGGGGAAAAAAGGCCTGTAAAAATAGACTTCCTACAGGAAGACATGATACTGTTTGTGTGACCAGCACTTTTCATTCCTACAGAACAATATCATCCCCTGAAGCTAAGACATTGAGAGTCTGTGCAAATGGTTTCCTTGACCATTTGACTCTGGTTACAGAAACAATTGAAGCATTTGGTCCTCCCTTGGAAGAATCGTAACCTTCTTGGATATCAACTGATAGCCATTTTTTTGGAGAGAGAGTTTATTGCAACACCAGCAGGATAGATTGATTTATATTGGGTAATTACCCAGTCAAAATTGACCTCACAGCATTACAAAGGTGCTCCATGTGCTTAACAAACACTCTACCTAATAGGTAAATTACTGTTAAGTACTTGCCAGCTGCCATTATCTTGTTGTTATTAATGAGCCGTTTTGCTTGGAATTGTGTACTGAAAAAATAGGTTTCAAGTGGCAAGGATACAAACCACATATGTGTTGGCATGGACTCATGTCTGTGTTTTACTTTAGTGTTTGCCTCAACAACTGAAAAACATGGTAAATGTATCTTAAACATTTTTGCAGTTTCACAGCAGGAATTTTGAGGTAATGGAAGTTACCATGGTGTGCTTCTCACTTGTGTTGAAATTACACCATAAACAGTCATGTTTTAGCAACCACATGGTAAAGTTGGAAACTGTCATTTCTTTCTTGTTATTTAAGAGTACATGTACTTTATGTGGTCATGGACTTTTCATAGTGAAACAATGTGCAAAATAACTATTAATAGTAACAGACAACGAAGTAAGGCACATTTTATTATTTCTTCTCTCTCTTCTCTCTCTTGAGAAGGGAATCAAACATTATTTACTTAAGCCTAAGTTACCACACTAAGTCTTTGAATAATAGCTAGCATTACAAATGTGCTAGGTTTTGACCTTATGAAGCAGCTTTTGTAACTAAAATGAATGCTTTGAGCAGGACTCTTGATGGCTGCAACATTATTAATTCTTATGATATCTAAAATTAATTCAAACCAAATACAAGGGAAAACTCTACCTAGAAAGTCGCCTGTTGTTGAAATAGTACATTTTTATATCTTACAGTTAACCTTGTAAAACATGTACCAGTATGTATCATGTCTGCTTATTGCAGGGCAAGTCAAACTATGTTCATACTTAAGGGGAAAAGTATGTAAAGTGATTCACCTTTGAACATTTAAATAGAGATCTATGCAATTACCCTTGGACTCTTGAAAAAAACAAAGCCAAATATTTTGACATTAGTGTTTTGGTATGACTTTCAGCTGTACCACATATACGCATTTTGATTAAAAAAAAACCTATGGTCCAACAGAACCCTACATGCTGGGAAACTGCCCAAATAACAGTCCTAGTTTGTTTCACCTGTGCATCAGTTCAAACGGGGTGAAAAAAAAAAGCACAACTGACCACATATAATTCCCTGAAAATGTGGAAATATTCATCTTGCAGATGGATGACTTGATATGTTGTAAGGCAACAAAGGGTAGACTACTTCTACTTCATATTTCTCAGAGAAAAAAAGTGTCATAAAAACACAAATAAAAAGAGACACAACTGAAACTAATACTAGCTAAATAGTGACCACCTCTCAAAAGCTGGAGACAACTGAAGTATGAAACAAATCATTTAAGTGAAAGTGGCAAGAAAAGGATTGTAATAAGAAATTTAGGTTAAGTTACGCAATGAGTGAGTTAATATAAAAGTTGTGACAAACTGTCATTTTCAAATTCCGCTAATTGATCAGCAACAGGAGAAACAACTGCAACTTTCATGTTGATTATCAACTGAAAAGAGTTAACCTGCAAATTAGCAAAAATTTCACACTTCAGTGTTCTACATATAAACAAAGAATAAAAAAACTGATTGGTCCCATCACTCTGGTTGGAAAGTGGCTTCAGAAAACCTTTTTCTCACCAGATCAATGTCATTGGTTAATTTGTTCTTAAGCTTAAGCTCTAGGAGCAGGGTGCCCAAGAGTTTTCCAGGCGTTTTGATTGATTGGCATTTTCTGAGTAATAATTTGGCTTGTAACATTTAACCCTTTACACCCAACATCAGTTTGCATATTCTCCATACTGTTCTCTAGGCATTTCCTAGGGAGAATTTGTTTTACAATCAAGAGCAACTTTAGTTTGTGATCAATTACTTTATTCTCTTGACCATACTGCATAATTCAGGGGTGATACTGCAAGGAGAAATTAGATGCTAGTCACACTAAGGGGTTAAAGGGTTAAAGTGTAATTTTCATCAGCTGTTTAATTGTTCAATTGCCAGCAACTGGTAATCAGACAGGTAAAATCTTGCAGTTTGATCCTGCTACAGCTGATTTGAGGCTTTTGTTATTTACGCAAACTGTAAAAATCCAATATTGAATAAAATCATGGCAGTCATACCTGAGTTTTAAAGTAATGATCTACTTTTTAGCTTTCTTTTCCCACTTATATGTTCCACTGTAAAGAAATCCACTGTCTTTGATAAGAGTATCAGATTCTAATGGTCCTCGGCTGTCCAAAAAAACAAAACAAAACAAAACAAAAAGAAAGAAAGAAAAAAAAAATCTCAATGACTGCCAAAAAATGGCAAATCAAACTGAAGACAATTTACCTCATGATTAGTGGATGTGCATGTTTGCCTATATAAAAATGAAAAATTAAGATTTATGCAAAATAAGTTGAACTTCTTATACACAGTCGTACTGAGTTTCTAGCCCTTTACACACACTGTAAGATCAGTATGCAAGTTCTCTGTGCATTTTGAATGTTATTAATGAGAAGAATTTGTCAAAAAATCAAGAGCTTGAGTTTGCTATCATTTCCTTTATTCTTCTGATCTTACTGTTTGATTCAGGGATAGTACTGTAAGGAGAAATTTGATCTTATGATTATGGGGGGTCCTGGGTTAAAAAAAATCAATTTTTAAAGGAACTGTGTGGTTTTCATGTGCCTCTATATGACCATGACTTCTGGGCCTTCCATAAGGAGTGTTTTCTTGCCTGACTTTCATCTTTTCAACTTTTTTAATCAAGAACTTGAGTTTGCTATCATTTCCTTTATTCTTATGATCTTACTGTTTGATTTAGGGATAATACTGTAAGGAGAAATTTGATGCTTATGATTCTTGGGGGTCCTGGGTTTAAAAAAAAATCAATTTTTAAAGGAAATGTGCAGTTTTCATGTGCCTCAGTCTATATGACCACGACTTCTGGGCCTTCTGTAGGGAGTGTTTTCTTGCCTGACTTTCATCTTTGGTAACAATCAGTATACATAAGTGGGTTTAACTATCAGTAAGAAAGATTTAACCTTGAACTAAGTTGACCTTAAATGCAAGTGAAAGCAACAATCCCTAGAATCCAAATATGACTAAGCCACACTGTGTGAGTGATACAGTTTGACTGAGGATCTTGTCAGCTTTGTGTAGGAGGTCAAATAATTTCTAGAGCAATTTGGAATGAACAAGGACAAGTATCTGTAAATTTCTTAAAGACTAAACAAATTGAGTACAATTTGTTGCCTAGGAAAATTTATAAGTAATTAAATTTATTTCAAATTAGAGGAGAAATCTGTTCATGTCTTCAAATTTAGTTGCATGATTGGGTGTTTTCAATATTGAGTTATCAGTGATACAGTCCCAGTGTATCTAACAGTGACATACTAACCATGACAAAGTGATTGACCTTCCTCTACCAACTGTTACGTTTGACAAACTTAGGGTCATTTTTGTTAACGATTGGCTGTTATTCATTTTTAATTGATCATTGAAAGTGCTTGACTGCTATAACTGAACTTGTTTAGCACATGTCCATTATTAACAAGAGTTAATACCTTCCAAACTGATAAGGAATTGGTTTTACATTCTCCTTTTCAATCTGATGGAGAATAGGGGTAAAAATTCTCCAGGCCTCGGCAAGCTCATCACTGGAAATAAAAAAATGTGTGACCCATAAAATTACTAACTTATTATATGTAGAGAAAATCACAATAAAATTATAGCAATATAAAAGAATTAAACAGTTCCTAAGTTTTCAGACCAAGACACATGATGCAAGAATTTACTGCAAAACTTTACTGAAACAAATGGCAGCAAAACTTTGCTCCCCATGGCAAGGAGATTTGTAAGAAAAACCTTTGTTCTTAAGACAGAGTTAAACATTGCTGCAATCAGTTGCACGACCTCTAACAAGTTTTCATTTGTGCAACTGATTGTGGTGACCAAATTCCATTGGAAAAACAAATATTTCTCAAAATTCTCTGTGTCAAATATAAGGAAGCTTTTGTAGCAACTTGTCCCAATCACCTCTCACACTAACTTGTTCTTGAAAAAGTACATAGTGAACAGCATGATACAACTTGTTATCAATTGTATTGTGGTCTACAACCATTGAGATAAACCCAACAGTCTGATTTGTTTGTACCTTCTGACAAAATGAGCTTGATTTCCAGAAAACACATCAAGAATAAGTCTCTCATAGGCATCAGGCATCTTCACATTCTGTTAAGTAAAAACAAAAGTGTTAAGTATTCAAATGTTGTGCAATGTTTGAAGAATACTATTAGCTGACACAAATGCCTGAAAAATTGTTATTCATTGGGATTTACATGATAGAAAGAACAAACTTTTAAGTAGCTGAAAAAGCTACAACCACACCGCAAAAAAAGAAGCTAATTCTGACAGATAGAAAAAAACATACTGTGTATCTGTCAGAATATGTTAAGTCCAACTCTGATTCTTTTGGTTCAAAGGACATTCCTGCTTCCTTAATCATCAACTTGACATAAACAGCCTGTAAAATACAACAAAAATATTTCCTTCACTAAAAACAAACAATTGTTTCAATGCACTTGGATGTGATATTTGAGCACTACTCTTTTTTTTGGGGTGGGGGGAGCAGAAGTTAAAAAAGACTAATCCTTGAAAGTTCAAATGTCTGGGGGGGAAGGGTAGGGGGAAGTTGAATTTTCCAATTGATTGATGCATTGTTCACATCTTTTACATGTGAGGATATTGCTGTCATCACAGGTATATCCACCCACAATCAGTGAGATATTATTATTATTATTATTATTATTATTATTATTATTATTATTATTATCATTATCATTATTATTACTGAACATTTTCACAAATTTAAAATTGATACCATGGGAACACTATTTTTTATTAATAAAAATGGGAAATTTCTGCATACCTCATTTGGCTGAAGTCTGACCACTAACTCATTCCTCTTGCATCCTCCTTCAAAGATATCTCCAGGTGTGTCAATGAACTGAATGCGGACCTCTGCCTTACGCTCATTCAGAGCTAGAGAATGAGAAGTAGATGGTGATTTTTTAGTGTAACAGCTAATGATTGCTTCTGACAACAATTCTTAAAATTAAATTAAAACTTTAACTAATTTTATTTTGAATATTATTAAATAAGTAAACTTGTATTTAATTGTGTTAAGTCCATAGAGGCTGATGATTGCTTCTGATAATAATTCTCAAGAGTAAATAAAACTAACTCAATTTGTTTTGAATATTATTAAATAAACTTGTATTTAAATTTGTTGAGTCCATAGAGGCTTAAATCAACACAAACATGAGACTAATATTTTGTATTTACTTCTACGTAAATGAGACAAAAATGCTTTTTATTGTCAGATATAAAATCTGAAATCATTCAGACTTAAAATTACAATGTATCGACAATTTGACATGTACCAATAATTATATTAATCTATAATCAGACATGTATAAAATTATAATTATTGAAAAATACCTTTGCCACATTTGAGAATAAATGGAACACCTGTAGACATGAATGAACAAAAAGTACAGTAAAAAATATCACAATGAAGTACTTTGGCTGATTCTATCAATACTTGATTAATTTGTCGTCTTCCTGCCTACCACTTCTTAACACTGAAACATGTGTAGCTCTTAACTTGTACTTAAAGTTAGTGCTAGAGCTAAAAGTTTGATCATGGGAAGATTAGTCTCAGTTCTGCTCCTGTTTGAATAGGACTTTTGTATATCAGTGAGATGGATAAGTGTCATCATTTGAGTCTGGGAGTTGTGTGAATGTCATTTGCTTGGTTTATTGAAATGGATTCATAAAACAATTACTTTAAGTGGACTTGGAACATGTGACTAACACGTGACTAACATGTGACTAACATGTGACTAACATGTGACTAACAGAGAACTACTCACTTGACTCTAATGATGACTTAAGCCAAGGTTACTGAAATATCAGTCACTATAATCAACAACATTACTGAACAATGACACTGGAAGACAGAGTCTTAATGCTGGGTTTCAACTCTTTCTTGAATTGTGTTTAGGTCCCTCAATTCACTTGCCTCAGTGAGCACCTTTAACTTACCATCCCATTTTTCGTTGCGTATGTACATGACAGAGGTTGCAAAGGTTGGTGTGATGGATCCTTTTGGTACAGTTGGATCATCAAGATAACCAAATTTTCCATCACCTTCTGCATCAGGATTTCCAATATACTGACCAAGCACAGTGTTTTCTAATTCAATTGGGCTTATGGACTTCAGAACTTTAACCTGAATGAGTAAAATGACAGGATAAGTCAACAAGTGTAACCTAACAAAAGCCCCCCCTTTCCTGTGGAGAACAGGAAAAGGGGGGGTAGGGGTAAAAGGGGGTCACCCTGCTTTGAATCAGCAATCTCACGTATGGGGAGGCAATAACTCTAATCATCCGTGCTAAGCTGACTGTACCTCACATGCCCCATGAATTGTAAATTGTTTATAAAAAATTTAAAGTTTGAAAGAACAATAAAAGTATACAGGGATGTCCACTGGTTTCTGCAGGAAAAAAATTGTTTCTGGATTAAAAAAAGAGTTAGAATTTGTTGGAATAAAGGTGACTGAACAGTTCACACAATTGTACTCACCTTCTCATTTCGAAGATCTTCCGCTCGTTTACTGGCTGGTTTTTCCATGGCAACCAAACAAAGAACCTGTAAGAGATGATTCTGCATCACATCTCTGCAAGAGACATGCACAGTTTGTATTAATCAGAAGTCAAACCTCAAACTTGCAAAAGAAAAAGAAATTCCCTCTTTGACTCCAAACTAAAGGAGGCTCCATGCTATTAATTATCATACACTGGTAATTGTCATTTACATTTATCAATGGCAGGTTACTCAGTTAAATAAAGATGGATAGAAGTTGCAGGTTCTGCAGAGGCAAAGTTCAGCACCTTCTAACAATTTAAAATTGAAGAGATGAAAAACAAGGCAATTTAATTCAAATTAGTTTTCACTCAGTTGTAAAGTGCCTAATCCTTTTTCAAATTCAAAGAAACCCCTCTCTCATACTTAAAACATGAGTTGGTATGCTAATCTTTTGGTGATGAAACACTACAGTAATGGTGAGATGGTTGATTATAAGACTTGAATTTTATTCAGCAATTGTGGCATCATTTAATCATTTACTTTAAGTTCCTATAAAGCTGGAGAAACACTACTATTCCACATTTTGGTAATTATACTCACTGTACTGGTCAGAGTAAATTGCTACAAATTACCTTATGATTCCATATTCATCAAAGTAGCCTCCTCGCCCATAAGTTCCAATGGGTTCTTTGAATGTAATGATGACACTTTTGACACTCTCTCTACACCACACTGGACCAAAAATTCGGTTACCAAATCTAATATGAAGAAATTGTTTATAAGGGAGTCACTTGAACTATTGTTACCTTCAATTTGCCACCTAACCTCAGAAATAGAATATCACTGGTACTAAATTTGTGTGTTGCTGATGGTTTTCTCTGCCAATCATAAACCCATTACACCCTAATATCAGTATCCATATTCTCCAAAATCTTCTCTATACATTTCCTTCAGTACTGACAAAGAGAATTTGTCAATCAAAGTTTAGTTGGGGATCATTTCCTTTATTCTCATGATCTTGATGAATGATTCAGCTGTATTACTGTAAGGAGAATTGAGATGCTGGTCACTCTCAGGGTTTAAATAGTTAAAAAACAGTTTCATTAGAAGAGTATCAATCATTAACTAACCATAAATTGCCTTGTTACTAACCATTATAGCTCGTGTTAACACAGTTACCTTCATTACTTGTGGCAAGGCAGAAGAAAGGGCAAACACAACATCATAACAGACCTAATTTGTTTTAAAATCTCCCTTTACAATCTTGACCATTAACAACTAGTGTGTTCAATGACTGTATCTATCTATTGACATAAGACTCTTGTTGGAGGTTAATTCAAAGAGCCATCCTTAAAATTTGAAAGCAAGAAGAGTAAAGGGAAATAAGTCCTACCGCAGCACCATCAGGTTCTGTACCATTTCTTTTCCAAGATAATGATCTATACGATACATGGAGTCCTCAGGAAACAGTGACGCTAGATGATTGGACAACTCAGCAGAGCTGTCAGAATCCTTGCCAAAGGGTTTTTCTATCACCACCCGATTCCAACCCCTGTACAAACCATACACAAGTCCAATCTTAGTTATGAACTTCAAAGTAGATTTTGCACATCTAAAACTTTGACAAATATAGTGATAGATGCTTATCCTGATTATTGAAACAAGAAGAAACCAAATGTGCCACTACTCACTAAGGATGGGAATCCTATTCTATTGCTCTGTTTCAAGCTTATCCTGATTTTTTAATCAAGAAGCTAATATTAATAGGAGTATAGCTACTCTTTCTGAAGAAGTTCTGATTCCAACCCCTGTACAAACCATACACAAGTCCAATCTTAGTTATGAACTTCAAAGTAGATTTTGCAAATCTAAAACTTTGACAAATATAGTGATAGATGCTTATCCTGATTATTGAAACAAGAAGAAACCAAATGTGCCACTACTCACTAAGGATGGGAATCCTATTCTATTGCTCTGTTTCAAGCTTATCCTGATTTTTTAATCAAGAAGCTAATATTAATAGGAGTATAGCTACTCTTTCTGAAGAAGTTCCTATTATATTGCAAGGGGAACCTTTATTTCAAGCTTATCCTGTTTTTGCCACATGAAAAAACTGAGGATATTGCTACTTCTGCTGGTTATTTGCATGGTTTTCCTGTAATTCATCAATCTTCCCTGGCCATTATGTGCTACCTACTTAGAACTCTTGGGTGAAGGGGGGCACTGTGGGAGTAATACAGCAAGTTTAACCAGGACAACTGAAAGCTGTCCAGACCCATCATTGGCAAAATCATTATGCATACATCTCATTACATCTTGGTCATTTAATTTATAAAATTAAGGATCTGAAAAACTTTGATACAGGAGTGCAACCTTAATGCTAAAAATTACTCTCAATTCTGAGGTCATTTACATGATTCTAAGACACCTGGTATTGACCTGAAGTGAATGGAACTAAAAAATTAATGTGAGTGGAAAAAGTGGAATTATATAAGATTATTAAGAATTACCCTTACTAAACTTGCTTTGACTTACTAATTGCTTTATTGAATGAAAAATTGTGAGATGAAAATTATTGAATTTTTAAATTTGGTCATTTAAGTCTTTTTCCCATAGTGGAAAGTTTGTGGGAGAGAGTGGACCAACTACATGACTGAATTAAATGTGATTTAAATTTTTTTCTACATTTCAAATTTTACAGACTTGTTTGATTTTTATTTCTCCTTGTCCTGAACTCATCATCACAATAGCAAACAGAAAAAAAAAATTCAAACGAAACTAGAGTGAAAGAGTTTAAACCAAGGAGAAATCCAAACCACCATGTACACTATTCATCAAACCATAACATACTTTGAGCCCATGCAGTACTTCTTGATGTTCTCTGATGTGTCCATGAAAACAGAAGGAGGAAGTGCAAGATAAAACAGCCTGTTGACAACATCCTTCCCTTCTCCAAGTTTCTCAAGCTCTGCATTCAGACTTTTAAAACCTGAAGCCTCATTGTAAGGACCTTTCACATAGTAGCATCTCTTGTAGAATTCTGACAATTTTTCATTCTCTCCATCTTTAAGCTAAAAAGAAATAATTTATGACAAATTTGTTTAGCTTACAGAAGAAAATTTTCAATAAATGAGAGAGAAATGTACTTATCATTGGTTTGCTTCTCTTTGATTTCACAGCAGTAAAAAAGTTATGCTGCCCTGTCAATCAAGCAAGTGGAAAACTAAAACAAATTTGATTGGATCATTAGGGTTTTTCCATGCTTATATGAATTCACATTGAGTTCCTTTACTCCTGTTGATCTTTCCTTGGTTCTGATTGGCCACAGTGATTACTTTACTTTGGGTTTATGATACTGTATAAAAATGGGCGACCCACACCTCTTCCTTACATCTAAGAACTGTCCTCTATCTCTAAATATTAGAACAGGAAATTTACTGGTTGATCCTCTGAGTTAAAATACTCCACCAGAGGTTAATTTTCTACTCTTAGCCAGAGGAAAAGAACTCACCTTCATGAAAGGCTCAATTTTGGCTCGTAATTTGTCAACAGTCAGATCTGAACGAGCATACCCAATTATTTTAGTGTTTTTTGGAATGAGATCATCTTTGTACAGATACCTAGTAAGATAAATGGCATAGCTTAATTGTAATAGCAAAAATGTGCACTTATTGAAAGATCAAACGCAGACCTTGCCACAAGATATAACTTCCATTTTTTTTCTCCACCAAACAATCACTTACTTGTCAGTTATATGTACAATAAGTGAACTCACTTAAGAGATATATCAGACTTTAAATGGAATAAAAACCTATCATCTAGCATCAATTTCACAACACCAGTTCAACATGTTCCCTTCAAAAGTCTTTAAGCATCATGATACTTCGTTAAAAAATACTTAGTAAGAGATAATTTATTGTAATCTCTATCAGCTTTTTCATGTCTGTGATGACTAATGTCTCCCTAGCCCTTGCAATGAGGTTAGATGGCATCAATTTGATTTAAGTATAATGCCATGGGAGAGTATCAAAAAGCAAAAACATTTAACATAACACATGCCACTATGAAATAAAGATTTTCCTATTGATATCAATTGTTATAACAAATTCCTGGTTGAAAATTTTTCTTTCTTTTTTTATTTACACAGTCTTTTTAATTTGGAAATGAAAACTCAAATGAAAAAAGTTTTAATCTAAGTTTTCAACTTTTATTACAATAAGAATCTGGCTGGAAGAGTGACATTTGTGTCACATCATCACTGACTATTGCGTGACTTTTCAGATTTAATAGAATTGTTGACTAGTAAGTCATCCAATATTTGCTTACAAAAGATTTATCAACAAAACTTTGTATTACCATAAGGTGGGGTAAATCTTTTTCTTGGCAAGGTCTCCCTGTAATGATAAGTTATGAGAAATACTGAGGAAGTATTACTTTGATAGTTTCACAAACATGATGGGCGACCTACATCTTCAAAATTCTTGCTATCACATTAGTGTCCGATGAGCATGTTAATGCAAATTCCTTACAAAATCTTTAATCGCAAATAAACAGCTCTTTAACTTCGACTGATGTAAAATGGCATTGAGACTGACAGATACAAAATTCCAGCCTTGCGTTCGAACCCTGTAATCATAATATTAAATTTCAATCTGTGAACTTCCAAACATGAAGTGAAACTACTTAGACCTAACTTGCAATATTTGCATGTGTAAATTTGTTCGATTTTCTGCACGAACGATTGAAGTTGTGAGCTGTTTCAAAATGAACGCATTTGTTCATTAGCAGAAAGGATTTCGAAGCCAGGAGATAGAAAAAGATTTTTAAGCGGCACATTATCTTGGTAACAAATAGAAATGTTCCACCGTGCAACTTGGAAAGATAGATAGAAGCGAAAGTCAAACCTGTCACTTACCGAAGCTCCGAATACAACTAGTAACGTTTCTTCGTTCATCACTGCTGAACTATCCTCTGGATCTGGCGAAATTTATAAAAAAAGGAATGATTACAACGTTTTTAGTTTTAAAATTCTAATTTTCTAAGATTTACAACTTTCTGCAGACCTTTGGGTCCTCTGGGGCACTGTCAGAACACCTTGGTGTTTACGTAATAATGATCATGCGCAAATTACCACATGATTTGTTACCCTGGAAAAATGGCAAGTCTGTACTTTGAACAAATACTTCTCGACATGTTTTTGATTGCTTCAGTCGTTGACTTTTATTTTAATTTTCAAATGCATCGTTTCAAAGAAATGAAGGGCATTGGAAGAAGAGTTTACGTGGGTAGACAATCTAAAACGGAAAAATCCACCCAGGTTTGTCACGCAATCTTGGGTTCACGTGATGAACAACAACTTCGTATGAAATAAAGATAAAGCTGTACAAAGATTGCGAAAACTACAATGTCTGTTTTATGACTCTTATCTGCACTGCGTGAAATTTTAGTTACTAAATATTAGAAGATTTTTATAACATCAGGTTTTCCCTTTCGTAATTTTAACCTCACAAGGAGACCCGTCAGCAGAATGGATGATTCCACCTGTTCGAAGTCATAATGCTTTTCCCGAACTTATGTGTCGCTTCGGTCACTGATCACATGGGAAATTTAAGCTAGTGGCCAAGATGAATCTGACGGAAGTCGAAACCCAAAGTAGAACCCAAGCCCTATCATCATTTTTAGTTTATGTCATTGACGAGGTCTGTGTTCACCATGTCTCCTCTTTATGTGTTGTTTGTTAGGTTGTTTGTTTGTTTAACGTGATGCTGGTATTGCACCAACGAAGAGGGGAGCACTTAAAAGATGTTTGGGTGGAATTGTGCAGAGATCTTAAAACCTTTACCCTTAACATAAAATCCTTTCAATGATCTCTTAGCCAGTTAGAACTATATTATAGGAGATCGTGTCAAATCAAGAGGCCCCATGAGGGAGGTCTGAGTATCCTGTATTCCATTAATTTTGGCCATAATATCCCGTATCCCGTTAATTCCTGTAGTTTGTATCCCCAATTTTTTACTTCGATATCCCCGAAGCCCGTATCCCTCTAAGTTTTTCCTCAAGTGTCTCGTATCCCTATAATTTTTTACCCAAACATCCCGTATCCCGGTAATCCTGATGGGGCCTTATCGACCATCTGGCCATGTCTAGTCACGTATTTTTCGGAAAACACAAGCCCAAAAAATTCCCCCAATTCAAAACCAAACAATCATTGAATACTCTTATAGGTTTTCAGAAGGAATTTCGATTACTGTTATTTTTTTTGTGACCAAAGACTGAGCCGAAATTTACACAGTGTCGAAAGCGTAGCGATTGCGTTAGGTGTGGACAAAATAACGCGATCCGTGGCAAAATTGTTTAAATCAAGAGCGGCATACAGTATACTTGGTTTATCATACGAGTCCATTGGACTACTGGAAGTCTTCGGGGGGGGGAGGGGTAGGGAAGGGCGACTTTTAGGGAGAAGTGTTCCTATTTAAAGTTGCCTTTTAGTCGAGGCGCTTTGACGAGATGTATCACTTCAAGATGAACCTAATTTTTCTTATTGAGGATCTAAGGAAATCATACATTTCTGAGGTTTTCTTGTTCATACCACGTAATCTCAAACGCACAATTGGAAACGAACAAATATTTGCATTTAGCAAAAACAGGATAAATCCTTTGTTGTTCATTCAAGCACGAAGTATAACGCTTGAATAATATTGCCCTCCAACCTCTTTTTCCTTGTTACAACGCTTAGAAACAAAACTCTCTTTCTTTGTAATAATTAAATAACCAGGCAATAAATATCAGTGTAGAAGTCTATCTACAGTGACAACTAACTTTTTGCTCAATGATTTTGAAAAATGGAAATTCTTGCCCCTCCCCCGTCATCAAACATAATTTATATATATTCATGAATGGTTGGCCATTGGAGCTGAAATATTGACTTTGTCTTTCTAACTGTTTATGAGGGATTTTTAGTAGAATAGAAAACGTGCTTCAGTCTTTCAAATTATTACAACGTGGTCTGAACTCAGCCACGAAGATCAAGATTTGCCAAAAAAACCTGATTACTGATCAGGAAATCTATATTTTGGTATGTTCACTGGTAATAGCCATTTCTGTCACTGAACTTCAATCATGTCACGCAACGCAAATCTTTTTTTGATACATTAAATATTCACAACCAATTCACAAGGTAGTACCTCTGTCCACCATGAGAAAAAGAACGTTTAAGCTCATAGAAACAAACTTGAAATGCCATAATTAGAGTATTCTAAACTTAAGTCAACTTGTGTAAAACTTAAGGGAGTCAAGGCTTTAAAACAGTCTGTTTGTTAAGTGTGTGTCTTTACGTGAAATAATTACGATAATCTTACCAGTTTGAGATGAGTATGCTCGAAGACGACAGAGGTCAAAATTATGCGTTTTCTCTGGTTTTGGTTTAGAATCCAAATTGAAGATCCATGAGTTATCAGGTTTAATTTTCCTTGCCATGATTAGTTATTGAAAAGATCAGTCAACGACCGCAACTTCCCATGCGTCTTTGCTTGTTTTCTTTTGATTTGAGACTGGGAACTAATCCGTCACGCTACAATAATTATCTACCGCGAGAATCACCATTGAGAATAAACTCACATCTTCCAAAACTGAAAAAAAGGTGATTAGACAATTTCTGTGTATTGTTTCGCATTGAAAAGAGCAACAGGATAGTTTGAAATATCTTGTCGCTGGCAGAGATGAGTTTGGAATCGTTTCGGAAAAAGATAAACTTTCAGCTCTTGAACCACGTGGGCTCATTTCCCAAACAACACGTCAATCAGACGTCATACACGACTTACGACGTCAAAGAGCAGTATCAAAAATTACAATAAAAGAGGGATGACAAGCCTTCATCACTCCTACGATTCTTGACATTTGTTTAGCTGCCGTCGTCTGCAGGGTGTTTCTCCATACGCGTTTCTGAAGAACATAACAAAGTGCAGTACACCGAGGGTGCATTTAGACCCGCTCGACTGTGGTTAAGCGTCATGATCTGCTTAGTTTCCGCGGAACGTTACCTGTCGGTTTGTTGAGTTAGAACCTAGCTTAGCCGCAGAGTTTCAGTATCACTGTGCTTTAGGAAAGGTCTGCTCTTGCTCATCTTTATTGCAAGGCATTGCGAGAAAAGCAGGTTTACAGGCGTGATTAACTGAATTTTAATTCCTTTTTGGCCCGCAGCTCGAAGCCTGGAATTAGTCCAGTCTATTGGTAGTTTGCGAGTTTCTGCCATTCAAACCATACCAAGTCTCACTCACAGAGCATTCCTGGAGTAAACCACGCTGAACTATTACCTCTTTTTTTTGGCTAACTTATCAATGTATGTACTGCTCTCAATCATGAAGTCACTCAGTGGCACCGTGATAGTCAAGTATCTTAAACGAGGACACAACACAGTGATTCAGCCTGGGCTCGAATTCGCACTCCTCGACCAGGAGTCTAGTGCTCTTACCATTAGATCACCGAGTCTCCCATGCCAACATATACAACTCGGCAATATCGAACAATCTGACCACAATGCGATTCTAGAGACCAACTTTGTCGGGGAGTATTTTTAATCAGGAATAAAGTATTCTCGTCCTGTACATTTTGTCTCACGCTTATTACAAATAATAAAACAGAGGGAGATTAAAATAAAAAAATACATAAAAACAAATTTGTTTTTATCCTAAAATTTCTCTCAGACGATCAATAGTTCTCCAAAGGCTTCAGATCCAAGCTTTTTTCCCTCACATTCTAGCTCTGTTCTCTCTCTCTCTCCCTTTTTTTTTTCAATTGAACCTAAGATCAATATGCGTGATTGTTATTGCTGTTAGTCCAGGATTATGTCTTTTCTCTTCAACTGAAGTCAGTGTCAAAGTTGTAATCGTCATCTTCAGCCATTGCCTCTCCTTGACTCGTTGCTGTAAGAGAATAGAACAATTCATATTCAATTCGCATGAACCACCCTGAAATATAACACTACAGTCAAGATTCCATCGAGTATTTGGTTCTAATATGTCTTCCTTGAGTATTTGGAAACTCACAACTCTCGATTCCAGCTACGGTCAAAAGCTTCAAGTAAACTACACAGCTACAAAGAACTCTATCGTGATCTGGGCTATTACTGCAGCAAGGTTCAGATGTGACTAGCGTCCTGTATATAACGTTAAGACCAACAATGTCAAAGGAGTTGATTGTGCTAAAAGATTGAGAAAGTTGGTAAATTTTGTGCTTGGTTGTCTACTAAGGAGAAACTTAACTTACGAGGCGAACCTGGTCCTTGTCATTCATTACAGTCTTACCTTGTTTCCGCTTGTCCCTCTGCTGCTTCTTAAAAAGCTAAAAAAAAAACAAAGGCCAAGTAATGAAAAAAGATGGGAAAAAAGAATTCAAAACACATTGCATTGCTATCTTGTAGCGGAATGGCTTGGGCACGAGATACCAAACATATTTTACCTTCTTTCTTTCCTTATTAGTCTGTAGATTAAATTCATTGATTTCATTCGGCGCCAGTCCACCTGAAGTCGCTCCTCGAGATTTCGTGACCTGCTTCGGATGTGTGACAGATTTTGAATTCTTGACAAGAACTGTCATGCCATCTTTTTGTGCCTACAAGAGTAAAATTGGTCGGCATAGTGATAAGTTTTGATTCACCCTTGACTACACTTTTGATTGGCCCTTAGGATTTCAGCTATCAAACGAATCCAAACACTTCTCATTGTCCGTTACGCCTCGTTCTCAAGGCGAATCTAGTTTACATCCTTTAATTTAAAAATGGGATTTCATTCACATACAAAATAATTTTAAAGGATAAGCTATGCAGCACGCTTCGTTGATCTGCGGGAGACTTGGATTCAGGATATTCACTACCTCATCGTTTAACCTAAATTTTGGTTGGACTTCATTGCTTAAATTTGATGTTTTTAATCTTTTTGACTCAAGATGGTGTTTGGTGGCTATGTGCTGTAAATGTTTAAAGTGGTGACATAAACTGAGAGCGTCCTATACTGACGCCACTGATCTCTTTCTAACACAAACAATTCACTCAACAGCAAAGTAATATCATTTGTAGTTTAGAATGAAATAGTAAACTAGGACCAACCTCCATCAATCAAAAGAGCACCGATTCTCAGCAGATTTCATGTGAGTCGTGAAGGTTAAGCAGTAACTTCAGTCTGTTATCGTTGTCGTCATCATCATATTTGATACAATTATTATCAATATGTAATGTTATATGATTCTTACCGTCACTGTTGTTGAAGTTTTTTATTTGAATTATCATATTTCATCGGTAGCATCGATTTCTCCTCTCCGATCCCTTAAAAAACTGTTGACGTAAGAAGAATAAACTTGATCATACCTGCTCACCATCGCTGTCTTCCATGGCTTCTTCTTCTTCTTCGTCGTCGTCGTCGATTTCCTCATCATCATCGCTGTCATCTGAGTCGTCGTCATCTTCCTCGGCGGATTCCTGTGTTAAGCAAGGCAAATAAAACGTATGTTTTTCAATTTGTTTCATTACAAAAACTTCTACTCATCAGAAGAAAAAGTTTTATAAATTGCGTTTCTTTTCAGTTCATCCAACCAACTTTGAAATGCCATTTCGCGTCCTACACTTAATCCATCAAAAACTTCTACTTAATACCAACTCGACGGAAAACCGCTCTGAATGGCCTGATGGAAAGCACGTTTTATTCCGGATAGAGAGGTCTGCTTAGGCCAGCATTCACTGATGTTGTGTTCTGGGAATGACGGTTTATTTCTGACAGTAGCTCTCTAAACTGGCTACGAATAATCAACAACAGGTAACGATTAACTGAAAGACAAACCTGACTATGACGCTCATGGGGACGAATAGAAAAAGAGAGCTCAGCGACAGAGTGGGAATAAAAAGAACAGAGACATAAAATAATACTCCACTATCCTCCACTCTTACGTAAGAAAGCTTGGTAGGAAATTTGAAAACTTCAAGAGAAATAGCAAAAAAGTTCCAAAATGGATTAATAAATGAACAGTTACAGCTTTGAAACTCACCATATCTTCCTCATCAACCTTAGCTGCATCCACAGGGTCACCCGCTTCAAGCACCATTGCATCTTCCATTGTGTGCCGCAGACCTACCAAGGATAGCAAGTACATGAATTTCCTGATTAATTGCTTTACAAATGTATATACCCAAGCCCGTAGTTAGAAATGGTAACAAAACACTGAAAACCATTTAACAGTTGATTTATTAAATTGTATCAGCATGCAACTATGATGGAATGTTTACGATAAAAACCGTCTTTGCAAACACACAAACCAATTTCATAAGCAACCTTGCGATTTACCCACTTTCAAAAGTTTTTTTCCTTTTTTTTTTCAGTTGGTGACAGACACATTCGAGCAAAAAAGGCAAACAATATTGATTTCTCTCGTTTGTTTGCTATTTTTCCTTTTTACAACACATTTCGAGGCCAAAAATTGTCGTGGCTGAAAATGTACGAGGCACCAAAGATGTGAAAACCAATTGCTTCCCGTGCCAAAAATTGTGCAGGAAAAACTTAAGCAACCACTAAACTGGGTCTTTCCTCGCTTAGCGCCAGTTCTGTGGTCTTTCTTTCTATCAGCAGCAGACTTACCATGCAATTCGTCATGTTCATTCTGTTGGAGAGAACCCTGAAGAAAGAGAGGTGCAATGAAATTAGTAACGAGGAATGTGAAGATATAACAGACATTAAACAACCCAGTAGTCTGAGCACAGCTGTTCATTCATCCCTCTATCTTAGCCAAGCGAAGCGTCTTCACACCTCTTACATCTGCTGGCATTCGCATTCCATAACTCTCTCGCGACTCTTAAAAGAACCAGCGCTTTGAGGAAAAAAGGGTTTGCGAACATATTAACACCCCTAGAAGGGCAGTAACAATTTTCAAAATCGATGCACTCTCAATAAAAGATAATATTGTTCAACAATTTGTCTTGAAATCAATGCTTTTACGAGAGTTATACAAAATTGCTTTGGCTTTAGCAAATAACTTAATAATAAACCAAAGTAAGTAACTTGGTATGACGAGTGATGATGAATAATTGTCGGTTCAGTTAAAGTTTAAGAACACTGACACAAACACATGAAATTACTGAGGAGAATTTCATCTCCTTCCTTTAATATCTTACCAAATCAAACTCCTTGCTCCATTCACTGACAATATCAGCTGATAAATGGGTGGGTAACTTGTGCTGTTCTGGCGGATGAGTATAGAATACAATCTTTCCACTGTGGATAAAAAATCATTTTTCAAACACAACTTAAGTTAATATGTCTCACTCACTAGGTGCCAGTGACCCTCCAATACAACATGATGTCTGTATTTGATAAAGCACACTCAAATACTTGATGCATCAGTTTATCAGGAAGTGTAGGGTCCGGCAATCCCTTTCTTTCTGTCAAACAAAGACCAACTCCCAGTGCAAGGTAGGAAACAATTAGGAGAAACGTGAATTCTACAAACGCTCAAATGTTTTTCTCTCTCGCTGAACTCATATCAAGTTGAAGGTAGATTTGAATGGCACAACAAATGACTGGAAATGTTTTGAGAGTCTTCCTTCAATTCTGCATACAAAACCACAAGTCAAATACAAAACCTGTTCCAGTCTTTCAACACTGATTTCCCTGCTGCATTTACATTGGGAATGCCACCTGCAACAGTTGAAAACAAAAACAACAAACAAAAATCTAACACACTTTCACCCACTGAAACAGAGTCAATAAATCAAGTTGGAAGCCTATACAGTAATCTAAGTTATATAATTATGATTATTAAGTTCAGTACCAAATTTAAGCTAACTTCTTATGAAGTTTCATTGGTGTTTATATACTGTATGTCCTCTCTTCAAAATCAAGTTCAGTATGAGAGAAAACGATACATATACAATGCAGTTTTCGTAAATTTGTGTTTAGCCCATTAAGAGAAAACTTGATTTTGATAGACTACTTTCAAATCACTGCGGCCAAATAGGTAATCAATTACAAGAAAGGTTTTGTTCTAACAAAAGGTTAGAAGGGAGGGGTGGGAAAGTTAACCTATGATGACCTATTGTAAAATGAGTAGTATCAACTCTAGTGACCTCCCAAACCTGAGGGAAACCAGGACAACAACCAGCATTAAACTCCACCCATGAGAGGCCCAGGATCAATCAAACCCTTGACATAGCAAAGGAAGGCCATCCTCTCAGCACTCTGCTATCCCTTTGTCCCAACTAAAGAATCAACAAAGATGCCTTAGGAGCACCACCCTCAACAAAAATATCCATCAGCAAACAGAAATTTACTATGTAACTTGTGATTTAAACCTGAGTTAAACAGGATACCTCGGCTGCAGATAAGAAAATGTACAGTTGCCTACTTCAAAAATTTCTGACTTTACTTTCTTTTATCATAATGTACATCACAATAATTATCATTCAAACAGTAGAAGAGACCTATGTAGAATGGAGTAATTCTTAGATCATTCATTTCAAACATTTAGTTTAACTATCTTACCTTTCTTTAACTTTCCAAGCCTTTTACCAAGGTGAGAGAGAAACTCATGCACATCTGTATAATCTGGTACTAGATATTTTTCCATGACCTTTCAAAAAATAGAAAGAAAGAAAGAAAGGGCTCATTATCTTTAAAAAAATGATAAGCCAAAAGTTGGTCAAAGAGCTGTGTACTTGTACAGGGTTGAAACCAATAGCATGATGTTTGAAAAAAAAGTGCAAATTAAAACATAATAAGATTTGCTCATATCTATAAAGTTACTTTTCAAATTTTTTAATATGAATGAAACAAATAAATGAGGTTAAAAAAATTACCTGTCGTTTGTTACATCTTTTTAAAATAGCTTCAACTGCTGGGACTGGATCATCAATGCTTTCTATCTGTTATGGAACAAACTGCACTATCAATAACTAGTAGAAAAAGAAAATAAAAGAAAAAATTGGCTCTATAGCACCAGAGCCATAAAATCACTAATAAATCAGTGAAATACTGTGTGGCCAATCAAGATTCTTAACTCACTGGGGGATATTAGTTGGTTATTAACAAGCATAACAAATGAGCTAAACTTAAGACTGCCGAGAACAAACCCCACATAGTGATACAAGTGGAATTGAACCTGATGCACCCAGCTGACCCAGTGGCCATTCTAACTCCTGGAAAACCTACAGAGCTGCACCTGTCTTGTGTCACATGTCAGTAAAAGTAGAGGGAAGAGCTTCTGCTACTCTCCATCAAAGATTCTACTTTGGTTGATGCTTACCATCAAGTTGTGCTTTGTTATAAGTATCACTGGATTTCCTTATCAAAAAGCATTTAGTAATGCAAATTGTATATCCAACAATTTTGAAGATGCAAGGCTGGCCCAAACTTAACCTTGAAAGTCTTTCACCTGTACTACCAACTGGTTATGCACAATATTTTTAAAAAGGCCATTTGATGCGTTAAACCCATGTGGTTATTGATATACCATAGTATACCTGATAAAAAAAATGTCATAGAAATCTTGTGAAGATTTGATGGCAGTGAGGCACATGGATGCAGTATAATTTCTAATTAAGGGTCCTATAAACATACTGGTACGATTTCAACAAATATTTCTACTTTATACCTTAACACAGTTCCGTAATATAACAGCTGAATCAGAGTTTCCACTGTCCATCACAATACCAGGACTGTCCAGAAGTTTGACATGTTTGTCCAAATGTACCTCTTGCATGCTCCTGCAGTTTAATAATGTCCTATTAGATTCTTTTATGATAATGTGGGGTAAAATGTTTTAAAATCCTTACCATATTGACATTTTTGAGGGAAAAATAATTAAAGAGAAAATCACTAAAAGGAAGGTGAAATCAATTTGAATACTAAGCAGGACATGAAAATTATCAAAGATCAGAGTTCTCAGTGTAAGTCCTTGAACAAATTCCTGGGAAAAAAGTACATCTGGAGATAAAGGCTCAAAACAAAACCTCAATATGTTACTTAGACTGGCTTAAAATATCATTTACTTTGCAAATCCTGTGAGAGATACAGTGTAGGGTAATAAGTTCACTTCAGAGTAAACTTCATGCTGCATTTAAATACAAGTAAAGAGTGCTGACTTACTTTGTAACCCCTGGAGTGGCTCCAACAGTACATGCTTTACACCTCTTTAGACTGTTGATGATGCTACCAAACAACACAAAAATGATGTTGATGATGTACAAAAAAACATATTACATAGGACAAATTTTTTTTTTGCCATGATTTGACTTTATTAGCATTCTCTAAAAGTTTGAGGAGTCACACACCATTTCTGCAGTCGAGAAAAGTAACCCCCAATCTTATGAACATGGCACCATTACACTGTGTATATTAAGCTACTAGTACTGCAGATTCCCATTAAAATTGCATAAAATCCAGACAATTTATGGGCAGATGGTCCTAAAGTACAGAGAACTTGGAGGAATTGGATCTTTCTACCAATTATACCTCAATTATTTTATTTACTCTCTTTATAAAATGAGGAACAATACTGCAAAAATAAGATACACAAACTTCTCACATGTATAGTTGCAATACAAAACTTAACTAAGGTCCATATCATCAAACACAGCTATCATGATAGAACCTTGCTGCTGTAGACACCATATGAGGATCACAAGGGAAAGTCTACTACAAAAGTAGTTGATTATACGCTATCTTATTTTGTCACTTACACACCACAACATTAGATAATTATAGTTCACCTGCTTTTGCCAACATTAGGAAAACCTAGATATTCAGAGGGAAAATAAAAAAAACCTATAAATGATCAGCTCCAAGCATATAATCTCTAAATGTTATTGCAGTTGTATTATGAGTGACCATCCTGGGGTGGGGGCCTTGTAAAGAAATCAAAGTGAATAGGCTTGACCTATTGAAACTGTAAATGTCCTGCGGGGAAAAAGGACAAAACTCCATGTTATCATACCTACTATTCCAACAGTAATAGCAGTCTTGATGTCTTTATTACGGCAATAATTTCCCAGAAGTTTAAGTAAAGTGTCTGCTCCTAAACAAGCACTGGTTGCTAATAGATCTCCTGAAGCTAATGACAAAGATACCTTACTTTGATGCTGGAGAAAAAGATAAAAAGAAAGAGACTGAGAATAACTAACTGACCTAAAGTGACTGATAATCAGTTACTACTAACAGTAATTGATATTGACTGGACTCTTCAAATATCTTTTGGTATATGTTTACTAAACATTTTTGAAACATAAGTGTAGTAGGGTTTCATGTAAAGCACTTGGACCATCCAAATACATTGCATATTGTTGAGGTGAGGTTCCTCTGTTCCTTTCAGAAGTCTCATGTCTACATTAAGTTTTCCTTTCTCTTCTCAATTGTTCATTCAGGTACATGTTAGGTACATGCAAGGAAAACAAAATGTTGATGATCAGCAGTAGGAGGCAAGCTCCCTTCTTACCATTGTTACATCCATGCTCACTTAGAAAACTTAATGGTGTCTGACATTTCTTAGAAGTAACTTTTACTAGTTTGTGTCATTTGTCAAGAATATTGAACATAATAATGTATGCAGCTTTAAGTGACAACTTGCTCTCAATCAAAACCTTAAAAACTAGTGACCATTAACTGCCTATAATTTCAAAACTTCATCAAAAAATTCCACTGATTGCCCTGCATTATTAGCCTCTGCACACAAAGGCTGAACAAAGAACTACTTGCTAAGTTAAAGAGGATCTCTTGTTCCAAAAATATTTATATTTAGTTACTTACCAGGTTCTGTCTTTGGTTCTGTGTAGATGCCTTAAAAGCAATTGTTGGAAATTCATTACGGAGATATTTCAACCACTGATCTACAATTTGTCTTGGCACAAGATCTGCAAAATAAATTTTTTTTGTATTCTTTAAATTTAGTAGATAAACTTTTGGCACAAGGAGTATAAAATAACAATTGTAACTTGTAAGCACCCAAGAATGCAGTCCTAGTGTACAACTTCATTTAACATTTTCCACTGATTTTGTTTTTGTTTTGATTTGTTGGTTTTTGTGATCAGTTGAAGGTGTTTAGGGATGGACTTGGTGGGAAATGTGGTGGTTTAATGGTAAGTCCTATAAATTTTGGACTCAACATATTCTTTTGCATAACAGTATACTCTCCGTGGTCCCCTCTCAGTCCACAAGAAAAATTGGTACTACAGAGCTGAAGAGAATTGTGAGGAAATACTGAGGGTACAATGTAGTGGAATGGAAACCATCCATATACCAAAACCCAAATAAGCTCTGCTGTTACTGGTTTGTGTGAAGTCATCTTAAACCTTGGCAAAAACTCACCTATTTTATTTAAAATCAGAACTAATTTCTTATTGACTCCAGAAGATAATACTGCCTCCTCTACCTGTGAGCAGTTAAAGAAATATTTAGACATGTGCAGGTACAGAAGCTTTTTTCTTGTCAGTGAAATGGTGATTATCTTGATCATCAAACTTGTGCAAAGTTCAGACATTTCTACCTTAAGGCCTTAAGTTCATATCAAATTTTGCAAAAATCGAAATTGACTCTAAGTGCCCTCCAAAAAATTATTTACATGTGAGCCACCACTACAGTGTTGTCTTTCATTTATAGCTCACAAAAAGCCAAAAAGGTATGTATTCTCTTAATAGTATCACATCACCTGTGGACATCTACAGCCTAAAGGATCACGGGCATCTAATACTTGCAGGACAACATCTGCAGCATCAACAACCTAATAATGAATACACATTTCATCTATGAAATAATCAAGTGATACTTTTTATTTTAAAAGCCCATGTGCAATATGGTTGGACTCAACTCTCTAGAACTATTATTTGGTCTAGAACATTAAGGTGACACTCATCAATAAACTTCCCAATGAAAAATTATGTTAAACTGCATATCAGAACATTTTGAACTGCATTTTCATGAAGTTCCACTATGCAACAAGGGAACATTTCTAAGAGGAAATTACTAAATAAAAAATAAAACAAACTTGGTTTCTCGTGTGGCCTCTGTTCTTATGTAAAACCACTGTTTGATGACTTTAACTCATTACATCCTACAGTGTACATCGTAACATCAGTATCCATATTCTCCATACTATTTTTTTAAGTTGCTCACAAAGAGAATTCATTTAACAATCCAGAGCTTCTCTAGTTAATGATCATTTCCTTTACTCTTGTGACTTTAATGGGTGATTCAAGGGTGATATTATAAGGAGAAATTGGTTGTTGGTCACTCTTAGGGGTCAAAGGGTTAAAGGAGAGTGAGAAATCCCTTTAAAAATATCAATTTGAACCCAAGCACTTCAAACATTGACAATTCCCTAAAACTAAACTGATGGAGCAGTATATATAATGAACCTCCAAAGGTCTGGTAAAATTGCTCATTAATATTATTGCTTATTTCTAAAATTTAAAGTATGTAATATATCTGGAAATTCATGCAATTGTATGTTCATAACAGGTTACTGTACCTTCTTGAATTCTTTGTAATATGCTTTAAGTGATCCCTCTGTGAACAAGTTAAACAAATATGGCAGTCATAAAAAGAACATGAATGATAGAGTTAGACAGAGATAAATAAACAAACAGTGTACATTGTCAATCAATTCATCAAAAATAAATCACTCAATCAATTTGATCAATAAAGTTAAAGAGATTGCCAAAAAAGGTAAGTTTACAAACCAACACAACAACAATTAACACTTTTCAGTAATATTAAGAGACAGAATGAAGAATATTCAATTTTCCTGTACCCACCTACTTTTCTGCCTGAGTTAATATCTGATTGAGAATTTTCTTTAATTGCTTCCTATAAAAAATATAAGGTTTTCCATAAGAAAATATTAAGTAACAAACCCTCTTTGACAGGCAAAAGCTTGGCCTTGTCCAACAATCTGACTGTGTATGTATGATACAATGATAAGGAACATTTTTTTCCAGAAAATGAAACAGTTTTTCTATTATTCACCACCACTTCTTGTGCTACAAACACCAGTCAGTGGCCTGACATATGACCTGCCTACTAACATAAATAATTTGCAGGCTTGTCTCAAATTCCATAAAAATACAGAGCTGTATACTTCATATCCCTTTGCTACAGACACCACCTAATCATACAGTGGTTTAATACAAAAAATTTTATCAGAAATTGCAGCAAACACATTCCAGTAATTGTACCTTTCTTTCAAACTCCTTTCCTCTCTTAAGAGCATCCTTCTGCAAACTTTCTAGATTTCTTTTTTTATTCACTTCTTTCAACCTGTTCTTCTTTCTTCTTTCTTTATCTTCTTCTTGCTGCAAGAATTACAGTATGATCTTATTAACACTAATTTATAAATAAATGTTCCCTAAAATATTAGAACTTCTTCACAATTTAACAAAGAGGCAGTTTAGAAAGTTAACCAGCACAACCTTAGTGGGTGGTTGTCTCAGACAACAACTGCTATTTCAGCCACAGGTTCAAGTGGTCCCATGTGGCTAAATTGCAGTTGAATCTTAATGCTCAAGAGCACCTTTTGTTGCGGTTGTCTTTCAGTCCTGGATAGTTTTTAGCAATTTTTTTCAAGTATTCACCTTTTTCTTTACTCTCATCACTTGTTTGCTTGATATAATGTTGACATTGTAGGGAGAAATTCTTTCTTGGTCACTCATAAGAGTTAAAGGGTTAATGGCTAATTTTATTGTCTATGTATGTTTAGTTATTAAGTACTCACTCTTCTTTTCTTGTCCTCTGCTTGTTTAAGTATTTCCTCTTTGAATGGAAAAAGGTTTGGGACTCCTGGATCTTTCTTGTGTTCTGAAATATTAACATTGTTAATAATTAATCCAAGACAATCATCTGGTGTGAGGAAAGGGCTTGAAAATAGAAACAACCCAAACCAGGATCAGAAAAACTCTATGAAGCAAGCACCTTGAACTAATTCAACAGACTGTGAATACAAGTTTTCCAGCATGTAAAAACAATTTCAGGTTACTCCAATTTGTCTTATGTCAGAAGGACTGAATTATGTGAAACAGAGGATCATACAAATCAAACAAGCTTGAAACAATTTAGACTTGAAATTTGTTTTAAGCAACAATGCAATATTAAGACACAAAGTATTTTCTGACATGTTTATCTGGGTTATTATCTGGCTCAATTTAAGACTATCATTTATGGATTTTATATACTTTTTGTTTTTCCACTAATTTTGGCTTCTTTTCGTTGTTTCCGAAGATGCTCCCTGATCTGGAAAAAAGGTGAAACAATATTTAACAACATTATCTTAACTACAAAGATATATTTTCAGGTTTGTAATGATTGATCCCAAGAAGGGTATGTAGGACAAGTTGGCGATTTTATCTCTTTATCATAATACAAATGATTTTCAAGTGACCATGCATCTATTTTTCAATGGGACAAAAAATGCACCAAACAACATGTTGCTTTATATCCCTCCAACTAATGTTTGTAATGTTAATATTCATGTTTGTACTGTTAATATTCATGGAGAAAGGAATAAAAAAAATAGGTGTCGGGTAAAACCTTGAACAGCACTCATCTAAAGGTAATTGCTGATGTTCAAGTCACAAAGGAATGAATTGGAGGGGGTATAATGAAGAAGTTGGTGTGGCATCATCTTGATAGTATATATGATATGTTTAGATGTGTGATGAAAAAGTAGGTCATTCCTAGTGTTTTAGTCTATTTTATCCCCACTGTATTTCTTGACTTTGGGTAAGATATACATGTAGTAGCCATGGTGACTCCCTTGATGAGACTCTATCCTCAAAAGTTCAACATGACCACTATCTGATGATAGTCTATCAAAACAATTTAAAGCTAGGTTAGTTGTTCCCTTTATCCACTGAGGTATAGTGTTGAGGCATTAGACAAGCACTATAATTTTTAATAAAAGGGTACGTTTCTAAAGAAACCGTAATGCTGTGTCAGTGGGAGAGTATAACAGGGTAATAAAGTGTTATCAACTAAGTTGATAATGTAAATTGGCCACCATGAAGAGTTTAAAGGCTGACATTTTAAGCGATTATTGATCTAACAATGGGCTAATGTTCCAATTTACATTATCAACTCAGTTGATAGCACTTGATTACCCTATTTCTTAATAGTTTAGCAAATACAGATTTATTGTGAATTATGTAAAATGGGAAATATTACTTGGGTTATCATAAGTGAGTTTACACCATTATCTTGATACAGCAAGTGTGCAACTCCAACAAAATCCATAACTCTCCCCAACCCACTAAAGCAGACAAGCTATGGTCAGCTAAATACATTGGAAGCAGTTCAAAGAATTTTAGGAAACATGCGATTAACTGCAATTGATCTTTCTGAGAAGTTTACTCACAGACTGACTCAATGGCATTTACAACTGTCAACTGACTGGAGTTAAGCCCTATTGATGTTACATTAGTTAGTTAGTACCTGAGATCATAGTTTTGGATAGGATGGTTAAAATTCCCACTGATTGGAATGAGGCGACTCTTGATACTACAAGATTGATTCAATTGATAACATCGAAAACGCGTAATCCATAGCCTGAGAATACTGATTTCATTGATTCACAAGTACAATACATATGAAAGAATGAAACCCAATGATGCAATGGTCATCGATTTATAACAAGGTTTTCACATATCGATTTTTATTGACTGCCCACCCAGGGAAATGGTATGTCTAGTGAGAGGGCAGTCAAAACTCGATCTTCTACTTTGTCGAATACAATTGTTTCTATCTGAGCAGACACCCCTACATGTTACTGACTGCAATGTACTGTGACTCAGCTGTACTACTACGATCGTCACATTTCACAATCCACAAACAAACCTTTCGCTGTATTTTGTATTTCTTGTGGGCCGTCATCCGCTTGCTCTGTTTCTCTGAAGACAATTTAAATCAACGTTTCAGATATAGATTAATGGCAAAAAAATCCGCTTGCTGACACGAAAATTTACAAAACTTACTTGGACGGACCATACTTTATTTTGTTCTCGACTCTCAATAAACCAGCACTCCACGTGAATCTTTCCAAAATGGAGGAACTAGTGCCCAGTCTCCTAGGGGCTGCCTAAATTTGTTATCGGTATGTACAGGATTTCCTTACCAGATTATGTTAACGTAATATAGGGGTCAATATGTAAATAGAATCGCTTGTCATGGTATGCAAAATAAACCTCCGTCTCGCACCAAAGTAAGATCTCGTTCCCATTAGGAACGAAGATGGAAATAAAGGGAAAAGATTTTCGTGAAGGTGGAGCATTCAGTTAAAGACATGCATTCAAGGAGAAAAATGGATTGGAGTGCGCCCATTAGGAGTCGAACCCACAATGGCCTTCAGATAAGTGCTTGAGATGCTCTGTTAGTGTGCTGTAGGAGACACACCCCAGGCAATACCGTTTAACTAGGTCCAAAATGGCAAATTTCCATCATACCTCTTAGATATGAATTTCAAGTACGATGCTTTTGCGCCATCATGATGGAAATGAAAACGGTAAATCTTAAGCCTGACGATTTATGTGAAAGATGTATGTCATAGGCATGCTGTGATGAAAAAAAAAGAAAGAAAAACTCCTAGTGCTCCCAACAGGATTCGAACCTACGACCTTCCGATGAATACTTCAGATGTCCTACCACTGGGCTTTTGTCGACTCGTGGTGAGCTAGGCCGTTAAAGAAGTTCTGAGGTAAAAAATGTCCCACCATGATGCTTTTGCGCAACGATGACGTAAATGAAGATGATAAATTTTAAGCCTGGTGATTTAACTGAAATGTGACTTTGCCACTGAATGACACAGACATACTTGGAGAAAAAAAAACAGAACAAAAAGAGGAGTGTCTCCAATAGGATTCGAACCTACGACCTTCAGATGAGTGATTCAGATGCTCTACCACTGAGCTGTGGTAGACTAGTTTTAGGTTAAACTGTTAAAGTAGTTCTGTGGTAACAAACTTTCACTATACTGCTTGGATAGGAATGTCGAATGTTGCTTTTGCACAATGATGATTTAATGAAGATGGCACATGTAAAGCCTGTTGATTTTATGTTAAAGATGGTGTATTCAGTGAGCGACTCAGGCATATTTGGAGAAAAAAGAATTCCGAATTCTCCCAATAGGGTATGAACCTAACACCTTCCGATTAGCGCTTCGGATGCCTTACCACTGAACCATAGCCGACTCGTGGCAAAGTAAATCGTTTAACTAAGTCCATGGTGAATAACTTGTTCCATACTGTGAGGATAGTGCCTCTGTCACTGCTCTCTGACTCAGTGGCAGGCGTACTGGATTCTAGCGGATAGGCTTATTGTCTCCGGTATTGATAGTGCGTTGACATTTATTTTGTTCTCCCCGAGTTATCAATTGCGCAGGCAAACACATCAGCAAATTTAACTAAAGACGTCGCCATTTCTGCTCTCCGAGATTCTTCCGGGCGTGGTGTGGTTCGTGAATGGAGGGCGACTAGATGACCTAGGACCGATTAAGTCAAAGCTGATAGAGCTCAGTGGCAATGCACCCGAAGTTTTAATCGAAAGGACGTACGTTCGACTCCTATTAGGAGAACTCGGAGTTTTTTAAAATCTCATATCCTCTGAATATGTTTGCGTTTTTCTCTGAATGCATCGTCTTTCACTTAAATCGCCAGGTTCACCTTTACCATCACCACTGCGAAAAAGTATCATATTCGACATTTCTATCTAAGCAGTACGCTGGACGTCTCTCACGATGGACACGAGTCCCTTATGGCGTGACGTGGGAAGCCTACGAAATCGGTTAATACCGACCGAAATGAGACAGAGAAACGGGACGCTTCTTTTCAATAAAACAGGGTAAAAACACGGCTGTGGGATAGAAAGAACCTGTACAATCTTGTTGAAATAAGTCCCTTAACATTGGCCAAAGAGGTAAATGTAACATACATTTAAAGGAAGGTACGACAATTCCCAAGATTCCTCCAAAGTAATTGAATTTAATAACTATTTAAGTAACATAAGTACATTCCCTACGTAAAATAATAGTTTTAAAAAGGATGTACAAATACGGTCCTATTTTATGAGTAAGAATCGTTTCTAGACAAACTGCAAACGAGAAAATGTGTTCCTACAAAGAGTCTTTTCTGATAAATATTCACGAGAACTTTGCAATCTTATTGCATTCCAACCCTAATGGGCTCCTGTGTTTGTTTGTTCATTTATTGTTTTCTTAATTCTTGACAGGTTTTTACCACCATCATAATCATTTTTCATTACATCAAATTTAGCCATTAGATCCCTATATTTTGTTAATTAGTGAGTAACGGCTCCCGCATGAGCACTGGAAACTACTCTGGAGTACTTCTGAAGTAGTCCCGTGAGCCTTCTGGGCGGTGGTTGCCATCTTAACTTTCGCTCGCGCAGCACGTCATCTGTGAGTTCCTAAGAGAGAAATTTGTAAAATTTTTGAGAAAAGTGTGCTCTTGTGCAAAACAGCTTTCCTTGTTTAGGAAAAGAAAGAAAACGACGACAACATTAAGCTCATTGGTCAAATAACCATACAATGCATGTTTGTATCGAGCTTCTGACAAAGAATAACTCTGAGTCCCAGGGAAGAATTCAGCCCGCGACTTACATCTATAACCGTCTGTTTTCATTCTATTTTAGATCCATTTTAAAAACACTGATGAAATGCTTGCAATCTGATTGGCTCTATGCGCGCTCGTTCGATTTTGAAACCACGAGTATGAATGAAGACCAAATTGCACTACACTCAGTTCAGTTATCATTATAAATCAGCACTGCTTAAGCTGGTAAAAATAAAGTCATCTCCATCCTTTTGTTATTGAAAGGTACTCCAAATGATGGTTTCTCTTTCTAATTTTCCGGAATCACAAAGCCAGGAGAAAATAACGTGCATTTTTAGTCTCGCAGTCATATTCATTTGCAGTTTGTGGTGCTAATATCATTGTTACCAAGAAAAGATCGCAAAAAATTAAGTGGACTGAGTGTCCTGAAACCAAAACCAAGGAAATTACAACATCCAATCGGAACAAAGGAAAATATTTCAAGGAGCCAATGAAAAATCAAATTAAAACAGGCAAACAGTCTGAAGCACTGGAAATCACGTGAACAAGTCGCGATTGGTTTACGTTTTGGATCTGATTGGTTGAGAAAGTGGCGAAAGTATTCTGGACCAATCACAGAGCTGAAAAAAGCTAAGCAAAAGCAGACCTAGATTAAACTAAACTTACCACATGCAAAGTTGCATTTTCCTGATCTATTACTATGATATCACCATCTTGTATCAAACCTATCGGACCTCCGACCTGAGCTTCAGGTGACACGTGACCGATCATGATACCATGGGAAGCACCGCTGAATCGTCCGTCTGTTACCAATGCTACTTTCTTTCCCAGTCCTGCGCCAACCAGGGCACCGCTGGGGACCAGCATTTCTGGCATCCCTGGACTAAACATGAAAAAAATATTTTGAAAACTTTCTCTTAAGAAGCTTTAAACATTTCAGCAGAATGGACACCATCATTCCATCTATAAAAAGGGCAAATTCGCGTGAGCGCCATTAGTTCACATAGGCTTAAAGGTAAAAAGTTTATGCAAACTTCTGTTGTTTCAAAAATTGGTAGAGCTACTGGAAATCTTCGTACAGTTGCATAATGCTTGACTTTTTCATTATTCATGAAAATCTTTGTTTACGACAATTATTTTCTTTCAGGAAAGTGTGGATAGCTTCTGTCATTTACCACGTGAACCTAATTGTGGTTATCATGTATAACAGTACCCACAAAGCCGTTGGGTCTCATCACTGATTGCTTACCCTTTTATGGTGAACGTTTTTGCAGTATATTAGCCTTTGTGTTCGAGGATTTTCTCCTAATAGTTTTCGGTTTTAAAAAAATCAGTCATCAGATAGAATTGCTACTCCTATAAATTAATCTGAAATTAACGAGTAATAAACAAATAAAAGTTACCCTGTTAACACGTTTTTGTTTCTAAGTGATGCATGAATTCACGCCAAAAAAACAGAAAAGTGGACAATGTGACAAGAGAGTTCAACCAGTGTCGACAGATTGTAATTTATACTAGTCTTTCGTGAATTTTACGAGCTAAAAAGTCGTTTTATTGATTTAGGAGGCAACATATACTAAGACTGAAATGTGCACACATTGAAGCACTGGGACTAAGGACTGCTAATAGTACATCATGTGCAGACCACTCACCTGCCTCGTGGACCTTCATATCGAATGACCAGTACATCGCCGGCTTTGATCTATCAAAGAAATCGGGAACTTCATGAATCTTTTTATCGATTTGTAAGATGATTTCCATAAACTAACTTCGTCACACCGTTGTGGCTTCTTCTCGACTGCTAGCAATCATCGCGAGTTGACACAGAGAACAATAACAGCAACAATAACGATAATAATGGGCGGACAAGATTACCAGATCTGTAAGCGAGCCCAGATGGAACTGTTATCGCTTGCCTAACTAAGCGAGCCTGGGTAGTGAATTTCGAAAGTAATTCGAGATTGCGCTACTCTCTCAACCTATTACAGGAAAACCTTAATTAACTGCGATGCTAACATTTAATCTGATTGGCCTTTGCGATTAGTTTGGTTCTGGTTTTACGATACTCAATACAAAAGAGCTCCTTTACAGATGTGTCAGATGCAGTCACTGACATTGGACTTACTTTTCCCTTCATAACACTTTGAAATGCTTGCTCTTCTCCATCAAATACCACTGCCTGTGCAAAAAGAAGGAAAACTTATCCATGCTTACACACTCTTACACAGACAAAACACTGCAGAACGCGAATGTGCACCAAAAGAATGGTGACAGTCAGTCGAGGAAACACTATTAAAAGTAACTGATTCAGCTGAAAGGATGTGAAAGAGAAGTTATCCTGCTTTCATTTATGTAAATACTTGCAGTCTGTTAGGCACTTCGTACGTTATTCTAATACTCGAATGTTACATTGCTATTTGCTATCCATGAATCAAAATGAGGCGATTTCTTGTTGTCTACAAGGGAACAAAAAATCTTCGCTGGTAACCAAATTTACAGAAATTACAGATTCGAACTCATGTCTCTCAAATACTAGTTGGATGCTGCTGCCAACTAAGTTACGAGGCCACATGCTGTGAGCGAGGCAAATTTTCATGGATTTTTCGTTCCCGTCAAGGAACCTGATCGCAATTCAATTGTGGTGTTGAATACCATGGAAATCTGAATCCTTCAGGCTCTTTTTCTTCCAGCTCACTTGCGAGGATCTCGTCGTTGCTTGATCATCGTGCACAGGTCAAAAATAAAAATTTGCAGCAGGGTAGTATCGTGCAATTTTTTGTCGGCCAACCAAAACAAAGCCATAAAGTTACAAAGACACTCCTTCCCAAATTTCCCTTGGGCAAATAATGCAAGCGACGGCTTAGAAAACTAGTCCATAACTACGGTCTTACCAGATTACTGTCAGGATTATCCACGACTTTTAGAGAAGTATCTAGGCGAGCAAGCTTTAAAAGTCAGGAAGCATTTACTGTTCGTCAGCCGGATGAAGGTGAGAGTGATCGAGAAAGAGAGCGAAAGGAAGAATGTCTCCACACTCAGAGTACTATGGTCGTAACCACAATGGCCTTTCAAAATTTATACTTGCGTCAGGGATTGGATCCCATTTCCACATATCGGACTGCTTTCACCAACTGTCCGACAAAACAGAAATATGTCTAGTTACAGCACATACGTATTTAATCTCTGTATTACTCACCGGACCTCGAAACACTCCAGCTATATCTTTTCCACTTAATTTGAGTACAGCGCTCTCAGGAGCAAGATTCCCCTGAAAAAGAGATCACAATCCCGATAAATTTTCTGGAAAAATTGTGTAGCTACTTGCATTTTATTTATAACGAAACTGATACGAGAAAATTCCACAAGATCCCTATACCCGTTTTACTTAAATTTATATCTCAAATTGATAAATTCGTAAAGATACAGTGGTAACATAGGAGCAACATTATCACCGACGTGTGTCTTTCAGAAACGTATCTTGGACTGTAGAAATGAACACATTGTATAAACTGTAGATAGCTTTATTGAGCCTTTTAAACGGATTATCCGAAGCCCCGAAACGAACAAACGAAAAGGCTGGTTTTGAGGCTCAGACCTGCACGATTGCAGATTTTAAAACTATCGATTTATTAATATTGCTTCGGAACCGTTAGCAGGACTTTTGAGACAGGCCGCTGACCGGGGAAGCGTCTAAGGGACGAGGTTCAGCATTTTGTCTAGGCGTCTGTACGCAGCCCGGTCAGCTAGCGAGCTTGTAGTAAATCAGTTGTGCTCCTGAATAAAATAATGTGAGGAGAAACCAACATCAATATTGGTTACGTCACCTTTAAAATCAAGATGTGTCTGCCAGCTGGCGCCACTGGAGATGAAATTGGAAACACTACTTCCTACGACATATGAACGAATAAGAAGATGTAGGTTTAAAAAAAATAACCAAAATCAAATCATCATTAACAACACAAAGAACAACTCAGCTGCTGAGTGACTAATAATTACGAAACCAGGATATTGCAACATACCGTGATTTTTCAGTATAACGCTGATCCACTATTTAAGATAGCCCTTACAGGCGTGGAAGGTTATACAAATGCAACGGATATCATTGTAGTTGGCATTTGAATCGTATTTCAATAAAGAGTTCTAGCAGGATATGTTCTTGGTAGAAAGCAATAGTGGATATGCTGTACGAAGCGAAAAATGTACTGTAAAAAATATAGAACTTTTTCAGTTATTGATATATGGTCCGCATGTAGGAGCTGAATCTTCTATTTTTGACATAAACATACTGGCTCCATGTACCTGTTGTCCTATTTCAGAAAGACGTTGTACATCAGCAAGATTTTCAGCCATTGTTTTCCCACTAACTGTGATCTGATCTCCATGTAGAAAACCATTATCCAGTAGTTCTTTCAACACTAACTGCAACAAAGATGGTTTTGATTATCCCTTACTTTGATGATCGCGGGATTTTTCCCCTTAGTGACAAGTCTGTCATGATAAATACGTTTCAATGTTTTATAAACACTGGACTAAAGGACAGCAAGGTAAACTAGCAATATAAGGGTCAATCTTCGACAACAATTCTTGCAGCACTCGTTAAATTAATTCTACTTGTAACAAACTAGCGCACTAGGTTTCCTAGTTTTCTTTCGCCTTTCATTATTATAATGTTGGTACACACACAATACTAAATGGCAAAAGGACGATGGAAGGAAGAATATCATATCATCGATATCATTGTTATTATGATGGTGATGATGATGATGATTAATATTATTCATAGATCATAAAGAAATGGTTGGTATCTTAACGAAGACTAAGCCTAGTGCTACGTCTGCTGAGAAAGTGGTGTTTTCTCTCTCCAATCTTCTCTTTCTAGTTTAATTTTCCGGAAGACTTCCTTTATACCACAGGTAGGCATATAAAGATACAAAGCTATAGGCAGAGCTGAGCTTTTTAATCGAAAAACGTTGTCTTTATCCCAGCAACGCAAGGGATATCTCTGTGCAAGGTTCTTCCACGTGCTATAATTTACTACTGTACCGTGAGCGATGGCACACAGGTCAAGCAATTGACGCAAGCCGAGTTGTCACACACTTCGTGTGTAGGCTGTGGTCTACCGATGGCCATATGATATATCCTTTATTGACCGAGCTTGTTTGGTCAAGATAACTAAATATAGGCTTCGTTCTCTTTTCCGTTAAAAGGATAGTAAGGGCACGAAACTTGATTCGGTATTCTGTAGCTCAATCCATTGAATTTCTTCACGAAACACAGTAACTTACTGCTAAACAAAGTTCCAAATCTTTACTTACCGGAAGACCTCCAATCTTGTCCAAATCAGCCATTTGATACTAAAAAATAACGACAACAAATCCAGACCGATTAATTCTTAAAGAAAATGAATCGTTTTTGGGCTGATGTGTACTTTTAGGTTTTTCGGCCGAAAATTCATCGATTTTAGTCGAGAGGATGCGGAGAGTGGACTATACCTACCTTGCCGTGTGGTTTAACATTTGCTATCAGTGGAACCTTTCCTCCAACCTTATTAAAATCTTCAATGCAAAATTCTACTTCAGATCTGAATGTTAAAGAGAAAAACAAGATAAAACAGTCGTCTACAAATGTTTACGACTTGCTGGTTGGAGTGTTTTAATTCACTTAACGGTACATCTCTAGGTTAGCCTTGTCAGTAAACCTTAGCACTAAAAGCGATGCGTTTCTTTGAGTACATTCTTAAACACGCCTAAATAGCGAATAAATTTTAAAATTAGTTTTTCAACTCTTGTGAAACCACCGCCACCACTTTTAACCTTACCATTTCATTTTTAATACAAAATAAGTGACAAACACCCCTTATACCATTTGTCCCCGATCATAGAAGTTTTCATCAAATCCCTCTTTGAAAGATTTAGAAGCTGCACCCCCATGCCCGACAGCTGTGCCCTTGTGACGTATCATTTTTTTTGGCCCACTTAACGTATCAGTCGTTTACACGCAGTCCCACTGAACAAGCAAGTTTTGCGATACAAGGAAAACTTTATTTGTTGCTAGAGAGATGCAAGCCGAATTTTCCACGCAAAAAGTAATTCAAATAGAGCCAATTGAGCTCAAAAGAAAAGTTAAGGCATCTTCTGTGGACACGGCATTAGGATTGTCCATTAAGTGACAGTGGCATAAAGATGTAACGAATGACGGGTTCCACTCCTCAAAGCTATCATAACACTTTTGCAATAAAGGAAAGACAACTTACTCATGGGCGAGAGCTAGTAAATGAAGAACTCCATTAGTTGATCCACCTAAAGCGTACATAACTGTTACAGCATTTTCGAAAGCCTGATGAAAATGAGAATCAAAACAAAACAGAGTAAACTGGACCATAAGTATTGGCAAAACGTCACGGCCTGTTCAACAATAAATTGATTCTTTGAAAAACTTTTGCTGTGGTTTAATCATCGATTAGGCGCAAGAACATTACCCGAACTGTCAGCGATTTCATGGCGATGTTAAGTAAGTGCATGGTCACGATTATACATCAGTCTCACCCTGAAACCTACTTATGTATTAGTAATGTTTTCCTTTAACTTACATTTAAAGTACAAAATCTAAAGGAGAATCAAAATAATTATCGCCTCGGTAACAGGCCTTTGTTGTTTGATAGTGCCTTAGCTTATCTTTATTTATCTCAAAAAGCCGCTGTATGGAGAATTTCCCTTCTGGTCAACCAAGGCAAACCAAGGATTTAAAACTCCTCAAAGTGAAGTACAAATACTACTCAGTATTTGTAAGACCAAGCACAGTTTTATGCCAGAATAGATCCAAGTGCCATTTCCTGATTTAGCCGTGCCCAAAATCACTAGTGATCACTATAAAACAATACACTACTTCATTATCAATGGGTAACATAAAGAACAAGGCGTAAGGACAAATATCACCTTCCTACTCAAAATATTTTTTGCAGTTTTTCCTGATTTCATCAAAGAAAACAACGCCCTCACAGCCTCTTTGACTTCCCTCTTCTTAGCTGATATCACCTGAGGAAACAGAAGACGGTGAGAGAGTCAGCTCTGTGTCCCAGTGTGCCTGTCTGTCTATCTGTTTATTGGGAATGAACGGTCAAAAGACGTAGAGCTGCTCTAAACGGCGGAGAAGAACACGATCAAAAGAAGTGATGCATCTAGTTTAGTAAATAAGGACAAAAAGACTTATTCATTTTAATATCCACATTTAAAACTGAAGCCACGCACATTTTCATTATTACATTAAGTTTGAGAAACTAACCTTGTTTTCCCCATCTACAGCAACACCGGAAGCACTACCTATCAAATTGACGAAAAAAAAAACCAAACGAATTAAATTTGTACGTTATTAATAACATTATTTGAATTACAAACTGGAATATGCATGGAGTAAAATTACTCTTCTTAAGATAAGTCTACAATCAGTGGTAAAACTCTAGATCTTGGAGGACTAATTTTTCTTCTATCCTGTTTTTTATTGATGTTTTCTTATCCCTTCCCAAAGTGAGCTTCTCGGTCTAACATCACAGCTGAAGTCCAACATTGTTCAGGGGGAGGGCTCCTGCATTGGATGAGAATTTCTGAGATCAAAGGAATTTGCCAAGGAACGTCATTTTCCTTGGTGAGGAAATCAATTGATAACTGAATCATCACAAACCTGGTAATGACAAGCCAAGAGTTTCTACAACAGATGACATGGTGTTGGCAGTGAACATACCACCTAAAAATAAAATTTGAAAACACGGAACCTGATGAAGAATGTAAAAAACTGGAAAAAATTGAAAATTTCTGGAGCTCACAAGCACTGAAGAGGTAGTAAAAAAATTGAACAAAAAAAGAAACTTAAAAAAATGATGCCAGAAAAAGGTTGATGTAGACATTGGTTGCAAAAATTTTACAGTAACTCTTGAAAGTGTAGTGCACTGAAAAAGAATAGATGGCCTAAAAAAAAAAATTTTTTGATAGAACAGGAATAAAAAGCTCTGACAATTGGAGCCTTTCAGGGTAAGTAGTCTCCAAGACTTGCCTGTTATCGAGAACAAAAAGGAGTCAATGAAAATATTGTTAAATTTGCTGTCATAAATATAAGGCAGCTGTATATATACCACAGGCTCCAGCACCAGGTATTGCATGACACTCAATATCCTTCAAATCTTCAATGTCCATTGAGCCTGCACTATATGAGCCAAGTGCCTAAAAGGAAAAAAAAAGCACAGATTTAGTTTGATAGACTGATCATCAATCAAAAAACAAAATTAATTTCACTCACTACATCACTGAATATCCAACAATTATTCCATGCATTTTGTGTTGGATATCAGAATTGGCTACAACCAATCTCTTATCCAACAAGCATGAATGGAATTATTGTTTTATCAAATTTTATTAAATCCTAAACTTTTGGATATTTGGAGCCTTTTTCAGCTCTGCACCAGTTGGCACAATGTATTTCCATATAAGGTGACCCTGAATATAAGCTGATAACCAAAGTGAACCAATCAGAACAATAGAAATGCAATATTTGTAGAGTAATACCTTAGTGAGCTAAGGTCAAAGTATTATTAGTGTTCTGTTCCACAGCATATTTTCCATAAATTTTGTTTCACCCATTATACACTTATAGAAGGTCAATTGGACAATGATAATCAAAATGCAAAATGAAATGTTAGTCCTAATGGAGCACTGCAATAAAGGAACAGGAAACTACAGTTGAAAGGGCTACCATGAAAGACTGCAAACAGACCAACGGTAAAAACATAAAAAAGACTGCTGGAGGCCTCAAGGAAGCATGTGTTGGTTGTCATCTACAGTCACTCTGGTTTCATGTGGAATATGTTAAATTTAATGCTGACTCTTCAAAGTACCGGAATTAAATCGTAAAAATAAAGACAAGAGAAAATAAAGTCTACAACAAGGGATTTTATGCGCAGTCACTGTCCAAATAGCAACCCCAGCCAACAGGGCCTAACTTCAGTGAGAAGCACAAACATGTGGCTAATTTCCATATCTGACCACAACGGCAGTCATACAAATTTTTAACATGGTCTGCCACAGGCATCTTACCTCAAAAGGACTCCCAGCACTCAGATTTGTATGTTTCTTTCCACATCCAGGAAGCATTGTTCCTCCATAAATAACAACACCACACTGTTGGTTGAAAATAATGTAGGCCACTTTCAAACCTTAAAATCTTTCAGTGACTTAGTCTTAACCTGTAAATATCAGAGATATTTTGATAAAGCAACAAGTTTAAGTCAAAACTGGTTATACTTACAGGTTTATAATTAAGCATGTTTTTAAAAGAATTTTCTTTTTTCCTTTTTTGTTTTTGCATTGTCTATTCAAATAGGCTTTTCACCCACACAAAGTTAATATTGGGTTATAAAAATTCCTACTTACTGCATCAAGCCTGGGTAAGGCCATGGTGACACCAGGAATTGTCTTGTCACAGCCAGCAAGGCAGATCATGCCATCCTGGAAAGGGTATAAAGAAGGTGACACTGAATTTAAATGGTGCAGCAACCATTTAAATCATACAGATTTTCAGATGAAATTCTCACCTTCCTATAAGTTGTCATGACTATGACAAGATTGCAACTCACACTGAGAGGAACACCAGATCAAGTTTGGTCCTCAGCATGCCATGAAAGATGGTACGATAATAATCTCAAGAAAGGCAGTTACTAATAAGAATGTGACATATATTCACATCTGAAAACACCCAGACAACAAGTGCACTGTGAAACTTATAAGTGTGTTCATCAATATTTCATCCATACATTTACAACTTCATCTAATTCTTACCCCAGTGTATCCAGCATGGGTGATTTCAATACAATCAGTAATCCAGTCCCTTGATATTAGGGAATACTTCATACCACTTGTTCCCTAAGAAAATGAATTCAGTTGACTAACAGTCAGCTATCTAGTATTGATACCATTTTTATTGATATAAGATAACCCGTGCATACACACTGTTTTATATTATGCACTTTATGTGGACTATCTTCCACCCTTTCCCACCCCACCTCACTTTACTTTTACTTTGTTTTTGAAGCATCATGTTATTGGGAGTATTGCCATCCCAGATTTTTTTCATATTTGCCCATCAGTTTGTTGGCATCCATTGATATTCCTAGCTGGTTTTTTTTTCCCAAGAACACAAAAAACCATGCTAGGGCTCAAATCCAGTAGATCTCTCAACCCACAGATTATCAAGCCTAATTTCTGAAACTTTAGGACATCAAGCTTCAATTTTGAAATTTGTTAAGACAGCTCTGGCACCAACAGATCTTGTCTCCACATGACTGCCCTATCTTATACTGAACTTTCCTCATTAATTCTCATATGAACACCTTGGACAACTTATTTTTGAAGATTAATCAAGGCCAAACATTTGAACTATTTGAAAAGCCTATTACATTAACACATTTTATTATCTATAATTAGCCACTAACAACAGATCTTTTACCATGGTCATAGCATCACTTATGACAGGTGTGCAGCACAAGACAGCTTTTCCTGGTCAGAATTACAAAAACAAAGGCAACTTAGGTACAATGGAGAGAATGAGTATTTAACAGATTTTCATTTAGTTCCCCTTATATACTAATATTAAAGACTATATATAGTCCAATGGATACCAACTGATTTGTAGGAACTTGAGTCTGAAATAATGATATCATAATGGTAATAATCATAGATAATGTAAAAAAAAAAATGTTTTTCAGGTATGCATTTTGGACTGAGGTTATAGGTCATGACAAGTCAATAGAATTTTCCCAGAGGGGGTACCCTCTATTACAAGAGATAGGAATACTAACGATGAGAGATTTTGAATTTCAGGGGAAAAATCTGAACATGTGTCTGCTGACTCAATAGTGATACCAATTAACAAAGCAACTGTTGAGTACAGCTGATAACTCAGTATGCATGCAGGCAGCATCTTTTTTTATTTCTAGGTATGCAACACCAATTGACCTGCTTGATAACTTGAGGTATAAATATTGTCATTTCACCCTTTAATAACCTGCTCAGACCCAAATCCACTGTTTGCTCTGTTTAGTAATTAGAGTTTCATCTCTGTCTCCTTTTCCAAACAGTTACAAATTAACCCCTTCATTCCCAAGATCTCATTGGTAATTTTCCTCACTGTCTGCCATAGAATGTTAGCTAGAAAACTTAGTATAGGATCAATAAATAATCCCCTAGATGATATTTTCCTTTATTCTCATCACTTGCCTGCCTTATATCCTATTAACACTACATAATTTTCTAAAGGACACATTTGTGAGACATTTACCTCCTTCTTCTTCGACAGCCTCTATCACAAGATCTGCAAGCTCTCTTTGAAGATCACAATGACAATTATATTAGAATATATTTACTGTCTGTAACATATGCCTATTGGGTTATACATGATAACTCCTTATTAACCAAGCATGAGGGCCATTCTGGGGAATATTGACCTGACGTCATGGCAGTATGGAATAAACTTCATCTAAACGTTCTATTTGAGTTCTTCATTTAAACTTTTTTATTCAAATTTTCTGGCTTTCAAAAACAAAAATACATGGAAACAGTTCCTATAAAAAATCCTGACACAGTAAGAACCAATCAGAATGTTTGCATTTACCTCAATAAAGACCACCTTGCTATATTATAAAGTATGTTATTTTCCACCCTTTAGTTATGGCAAGTCTGAGTTATAAAATAGTTTTTTCAATTATAATTTAGGACAGCTAGTGAATAGTTCACCAACCTGAAGTGAAAGTTGCATGGTATTACATTGATATAGGGGCAAGCCACAGTTATCAAGGGTTTCACAAAATCTTCATCCTAAGTGATTAAGCAGTCATGCAAAGGTTATGATCAACTCAAACAATAAATACATGTATGATACTCTTCCAATATAATGCAAACACTATACCCTCCCCCCCCACCCCCAGCAAACAAGTAAGTATGCACAGCACTCCTCTTCTGCATTTCCACAAATATTAAGACATCAAAATTTTTATTATCATCTAGGTACATTCTATTACCCTGAATTAATCTAGTCTTATGCCAGTACATGTAAGAATACTTATTTTGTCTTGTCTCACTTTTAAAAACATTTTGGATGACATTTCTGACCAAACAATTGTGTGTGAATATATTAAGAGATTTATCATAAAATTTTTGAGCTTGGGAGTATGAGTGACAAATTAATAGGAATTGAGGTTAACTGAATATTAAAATATATAAAAGTGTAACATCTGGAAAAAAATTAAGTCCAGGAAGTTTACCTGTGTTGATGAAATTGATCATCTCACAAAATTTGTTTAAAATTTGTGTAAATTCATGATTGAGGGCAAACACACTTGAACTATAAACTTCTGATTTAATTAATTATCATATTATTTGGGTCTTGAACCAGGAAAAAACTAGTTGTGCACTAGTTAATGACTAAAACCTTAAAAAAACTTCAACCTGCCTTGAATCCAATGGCCCTCATGTGTGCCCTTGCCCCAATCTTAGGAAAACAAAAGGAAAAATTAGGAAAAATAAATAATTTAGGTGAAACAATTTTTTTAAAACTAATTCTAGGTTAAATTACTGCGTATGCTACCTAGATGCTTTTGGGGCAGCTTAAGTTGGATCCTAGAGTTAAATGAACTCTAACTTGGGCTCAGTTATTTGGAACCTGTCTCAATTAACACTTTTTTCTGAGATTCAAGCTGCATTGATTTCTCTTTCTCTCTCAAGGCTGGTCTTCATTGCTGCCCAAAAAGTGGTGTGTGGTTTCAGTTCCTACAGAGTGATTGATTTATTGAATCCATGGCTGCTAAAACAGGATCATAATCAATTATACTTGACACTATTTGGAGTAACTCAAGTGTCATTTGGCCAAAAAGGAATTTGTGTTTACATCTGTGTAATAGTTTTCAGACACTAAGTGACAATATAGTGCTAGGAACATTGTTAGTACATGTATATATTAAAAGAGTGCATAGCATTGAAGGCTTGCTCTGATTGGCTACTTATACTCTGGTACCCTTTGTTATTCAGCTCTGAGTAACATGCATGGGATTTCTGCCTGAAAATGTTGTAACTGTTACTGACAGGAATAAATGAGCTAAAATCATCTTTTTGTATTATATTATCTCACTGTTTTAGTATGTGCTAAAACAACTATTCACCTCCATGGAGGAAGTTAGTGGTGGATATTTACCAGTTAATACCAGTAAATATCCACCACTAACTACTTTCACTTGGGTAAATAGGTGTTAGATATTTATAACACAAGTATTTATTAGCACCTTGCATGTACCTTTTTAATCCAACTTGCTTGATCAGTAACATCTCCAGTGAGCACCTTACTATTGACCTGATTATTGACCATAATAAAAACAGTATGCCCTGTTTATATAACTCTTCCTTTGTTTTTAAAATTACTTTACCAGTTGACTCGAAATTAAAGATAATTAAATCCATCAATTGAAGTACAATTGGTAGCAAACACTATGAACTGTAGTTTTATGAAAATTCCATGAATTTCATGTGAAAAACCCATGAAGATCATTTCATGGCCCATGAATACTGCAAAATGAAATTTCATGGGGTTATTTTTAGCCATGAATTTTCCATGAATTAGGGGAATTTTTTTCATGACCCATGAATTTCTTCAAAGTCAATTTTTATGACCCATTGATTTGCCATGAAAGTCACCAGAATTAATTTCATGACCCATGAATTTCTTTATATGCCTACTTTCATGAGCCATGAATTTCTTCAAAGTCTACTTTCATGACCCATTAGTTTCCCCAGAAAGTCATCAGAATGAATTTCATGCCCATGAATTGCAATCAAACAGCATTTCATGGGCTAACAATTTATTTGTTTTGGGAGAACAAAATTAATGGGCCATGAATATTTCCTGAAATCTGTTGCCCATGAATTTCATTGATGAATCCATAGGCCATTAAAAGTGGTATTAATGAGTTCATCACAGTCACTGATTTATCAACGAGCTGACTTTCATGATCCGTGGAACTGACTTGTTATAAATTTATCCACTGATGGAATTTTGGTGTACAGCGCGAAAACTGTCGAATGAAAATGTCTCTAAACATCTTAAGTGGCCTTTGTTAACGTAAAATGTACAGGAAATCACAAAACAATGACTAAAAACAATGGATCTTCAATTTGCTCCTTTGTTGAGACAAATGGGGCTGGAGGCAATGACCCAGATGTTTGATCCTCACTTTGATTTTTTGGGGCCTTTTTGCCTTCGCCATGCCTGGACGACTTTGTTGAATTTTTTCTGCCTCACTGCTGGCTTTGATTGTTAGCCATGACTCTGGAAACCTGTTCAAGACCTTCTCTTACATTCTTACGGCTGAGGAATCTTCTAGGGCTTTTCCAGTAAGGCACCTGCAGAGTACAGATGTTTAAGTTGTACAGCAATGGTACGCATTGCATCTACACGAAATGTGGAACAAAACAATGAAAAATCAATCACTTTGTCACCTCAATTTGGAACTTTGAATAATGTGCAAATGTAACCTGAAAAAAATGCTATTTTTACCTCGTTCATAGAGTCGCCGGTTAACAGAGTCAGGCCATCTTCTCAGTCGGGATGAAACGTTACCTTCATGTATTCATTGAGATCGCCTTCTACAACATCGTTGTTGATTTCGTGATCGCTTTCACAGGAATCACTGTCGATGTCAGCTCTGACTTTCTTGGACTCTGATGTCCTGTCGGTTGTTACTTGCTTCGAATTCCAAATACCGAACAGCTTTTTGTGCTGCTTTATTTTGTAAGATTACAGACGCAGCAACGAAACCTCTTCGGAGTCATTTCGTAACGTCGAACACGATAACCTGTGAGGTCACTATGTGACCGCTGACCTATGATGGCTGCGATGACCTAAGGTCACCACGTGAAAGTACACGTGATTTACGAAGAAGTGGCGGTTTTTTTCATACCTCGAACGGAATGGTTCCATTCCAATTGCATTTCTCGTAGTGTTTGTGTAGCAGTCTCTTTTTTTCCAGATCAACCCAATGGACCGTCTGAAAAGTTTTTTCAAAGAGGTTTCCTCAAGATGAAGTTATCGATATGCATTACAACGTGAAGGGGTAAGTTCAAGCTTGGTCATCTTATTACGCGTAAACATCGGAGCGCGCACGCTAACTATTGATTTAACTTGAAAATTTTTATTCTGTGATCACCTGGCGAAACATCACAAGAGTTTGTATGGAAATACTTACGACCGTTCTTAGGAATAAAAAATACAGTCAAATTCTGAATACGAAATACCTCACCTCACTTCCACAGTGCGTCGCTTAATATCTGACGGCTTCATGTTGAAAAGAACCTGTTTTGGCGAGTTATCCATTTCTAGGTTTACTACGTACATAAGAAAGGCTCTTAGATAACTGATGATGTGCTCCCTTTATTTTGCAAACAGTGAAGAGTGTTGGTCTACAAAACTGATGAAAGGAAATGCAAACTTGCTAAAGCAGCCTATCTTGGTCCAAATGATGATGAAGATGCAAATAGTAATGATAACCGAAAGAAGGATGGCACATTCAGGTGGCCAAAACAGAGAGACACTGACATAGTCAGCCATAGATATATCTTCACACATGCAAGAGTACAGAAAGTTGGTAATTGTTTTGTTGTTAGTTACCTTGAGAGAATTGATCACAAGTGTAAAACATATCAAGAAATTTACATGAATGTTGTTACATAAATAGACATTTTAATAACTGTCCATAACATTTTACACATGATTTTAGACGAAGGAAATGATATTTGAAGTTTAGACAAAAATACATCAAACCAGTGAGTATATTTTCAATAATTTCGTCCAAATATTTTTCACATCAAATTAATTTATAATATACCTTCAAAATAATTTAAATAAACAGAAATATAGGAGCAGAATCTGTCTCCACAAGGAAAATCAGTGATATCAAAATAGAGCTAAAAATCATTAACATCTTAATTTTATGCAGAAAATTTCATACCAACTTTTTTTATTTAAGAAAGTGTAAACTGAATTATCACAATTTTGGAATCCTAAAGTAATATTTATATACAGCTGGTGAAACAAAATAAACTATCAGAGAATCCAGACTTCTGGTCATGTCTTTCATGTGTGTGTGCTTGTACAACAGGACCAAGAAGTTTCACAGATAGGTTAGTTCTTCAGTGTATAATTTAAGTGATAGTGTATATTACAGTTGTGGTGTGCTGCAAGCTATACACTGTAGTACAGTCTTTGGTACAAGAAAAGTGAAGAATTTTTAATTCCAAATTCATAGGGTTTCCAAAGAATTTTCATGGTGCTTGCATATTCCTAACAACCCCATGAAAACTAACTGGCAATTAACTTTCATGTGCCATGAAAAAACCATGTAGAGGCCATGAAAATTCAAGGAAAATTTTCATGGTCTATGAATTTTTTACATATTCACAGGATATTCATGGGTCATGATTTGCTGCAACCCATTAAAAACTAGTGAACTTTGACACCATGAAATTTTGGGCTTGAAATTCATGGGTTTCTCAGTACCTTTGAAAAGGCCATGAAATGCCATTTTCATGGGTATTTCATGGCTTCTAGGTCACTTTACTCAATATTTCATGGGTCGTGAATATGGAAATTTTCACAGGTTTTTCATGGGATTTTTCAGGTCTTTTTCATGGCACTGAGACCATGAAAATGTCATTGATTTAACCATGAAAATCCTGTGAAAAATCTGTGAATTTACAATGAATTATTTCACAAGATTTTCATGGGTTTTGAGTTCATAGTGAAAGGAGTAGTTGAAAAGGAAATTTTCTTGCATGGTATCTCCATTCCCTTCTTTTGGTTCCATGTTCCCTCCCCCTGTACATCACTAAGCTTTACTTGCTGTAATTAATTTTCACTATGGCCTTACCACTAGTTGGGTCAAATAATTTTGTCTCAAGATGTATGCATAATTTTTAAGGGTGAACTTTTATAGTGTAATGTGTTGGTCTGGATTAGTGGTCCAGAATCTATGACAGATAAATCTATTGCCCTAATTCAGGTGAGAAAATACATTCAGTGGAGCAATTAATAAACAACATCAGAGCAAAGCTCTCAAGACTCCACTTTGAGTTGTCAAACTTGGGATGCTGCTTATCTGAAAGTGCAGCTCATATACCAGTGTTTAGAGCAATTGTATCTGGAAAACAACAAGTCTAGGAGATGGCAAGGATTTGAAACTGACTGTTAATGTACTGAATGGTAATAACTGTGCTATGGGTGGCTGATGAAGTCCATTTACTCATCACTTGATGTTGACTGAAACATTTTCAAGCCAGCTGGCTTGAAATAGTGCTCAATAGTGCATTGATGAAAAGGTAAAGGTTGGTTGATTATCCCTTAATAATCAACTGATGGTCAGCTGATAGGCACTCTACTGATGGACATTGGTGGAGTATTGCTCATGTGTCAGTCTACCTTTGCCTTTCTGTACTTCACTTGACTTACCATTGACCAAGATATCAAACAATGATTGAATCATGACTATACCCATAATAAATATAATCCATCTAGAAAAAGTAAATTTAATCAAAATGCCAACCACACTTTACCCATAACCAGCGAAAGAGGTTGGTCAGTCCAAGAATCTCTAACCCACCTATAGATAGATAGATCACTGCCTATGCTTCAGCCATAATTCCTTCAATAATGTATTAAGCTCTTCTAGCTATTGGTCAACAGAACTAAGAATTTTATAGGTCAATGGAAGCCAAACCCTTTCCATCTGGTGGGATTTAATACATTATAAAGTAGCTCTGATGGAGAATTTGTATATCTTAACCTCCCCACTCTTCGCTAACCCCCCCCGTCTCGACCCCCCCTGATATCCCAGGGATTGTCGATAGTATAAAAAGAAAATCGATTATTTTTAATCATTTTGTACTTCATCCTGAACAATGTTATCCTAATGTATTTCACAACGAGAGAAGAGTGTCAAATGAAGTACCGAACGTTCTTCGATGATCATAATCAAGGAAAATCTGGGGTATTGTTTGGTAACGAAATGGCTTCCGTCAAGAAGCAAGAAGAAATTGATATTCACGATAATTCAGAATAAAATCTAGAATTTTTTTTAACATTCAGAAATCACATACCTTCAGCTGAGTCGCCATTTTTATCAGTTACTGAGAAACAAACCAGCAAATATATGATTCCAGCACCATGGAAAGAATGAATAGCAAATCCCGTGACAGAATTGTGACAACTGACCCATAGGAAGCAGTTGCGTGACTGGAGTCCAAGCCCCTGGCCTCGACTTGGCTTAAAGAATGGCTACACATTCAGGTTACGCTCTGAGATAAAATCAATTCTCGTTTTAACATTGGTTAAAAATTTTGCAAAAACTCAATTCAAACTTGAATGGGAATTTCAACATGGACAAACAGTAAGTTTCGCGTCATTTCGCGAGGTACTAAATAGCTATTATTATTTTGACGGTCATAAGTATACACGATAGTTGTCTACCATTTTGTTCATCTACTTAATTATTTTTTTATCTTTGAACATTTTTTATTTTTGTTGTTGGTTAATTTCTGACACTGCACCTGTTTTTACAAAATTGTACACAAATTTGTTGAACCAAAACTTTTTTGCATGAGTTATAATTTTTTAGACTAACCAAAAGTGAGTCTCTCTACTTTTCAAAGTTCTTCCCTTTTTGCATTAACTTCTTACTAACCGAGTGAGTACGACTTGGGCAAGCGAGGTTGGTAAGTAGTTTTTTATATGGCTCCCGCGCCAACCTTTTTCTTGTGATTCTGCCGACTTTCGCGACCGAAAAATACTCGGCTTATGACCATTTTCACGGAAACAGTCCATATGTCAAAATACGGACCAAGTAAGAACCAATCAGAACGTTCGCATTTACCCCAGGCTACTTTGTCATATAATAATTTGTAATTTTGATTTCACGACTTGACTTGAGAAAGATGGAACTGAAACATTTTGCTAAATTGACGAACTTTGGTCTCCTTTGTAAAATTATCTGCCACGTTGTTCATCTACTTAAAGTAATTTTCCTCTGCGCTAATTAGCAAACCGTTATAAGTTCGTTTTCCGGGATTCTTCAGTCCATCAAAACGCGCTCAAATTTCCTCAGGTGGTCGCTTTCTGATCAAATCCGGAATAGAAATTCAAACAAAAGAATATGTGAGACTTTTAGTTGTTTCTCAAGATTATTAAGTAATTACCACCTTCCGCAATTAGCGATTAAATTGCAACAAACTGAAAATTCACCTGACAGATGATTATTCAAACCAAAATATTTTTTCACCTTCTTTGATCATTCAAAAGAACTCATACCTCAACTTGTGATAAAAATATACAGAGAGATTTCGTAATGGAAATTGGTAAGTTATTCTAATAAGTTAAAATAAAATGAAGGGAAATATTTGTTCAGAAACGTTTTTTCTTTAAATTTTGATTTTAGATATGAGTTTCAAATATCGTGAAAAGTTTGATGCACAAAAGAATTTTCTTAGAAAGGAAAAAGAAACAAACGAAATTTGACAAAGAACGCGACCAGTGTTAGGATCTTTAGTTGCCAAAAATTGTAATCTTGTGGTACCGCTGAATGACGAAAATATGAAACATCAAAAGATGTTTTCAAAATTATCTAAAATTTGTGAAATATTTCCTAAGAAAGTAAAACAATACTCTCTTTGTGGCAAGAATAATAAGGTAAAAGTGTTATTCGTTTGACAGCAAACTTTATGTTTCTAAACCTTAATTTTCACGGGAAAACGGGTAGCTCTCGAAAGAGTTGTATCTAAAACATTTCTAAAATACCGCCCACCGGCTTGCTGGAGATCCAAAGTATTAAAAAAACATCAAATTATAAAGTAGCGTCGACTAACAATTTCCTAATGGTTAGCAGCTTATAATCTCTTGAGGTTATTAGTGAGTGCGCTCTAATACTAAGTAGAAAATTAAATGATGTATATGTCCAAAAAAAAATACGATTATAAAAAAAGCCATTTCTACATATAAACATGCATTCAATGGTATATGATGTAAGTGAACTCCTGGCCGCACCAGATGTCTTATTATACCCCATTCACACCAAAGCATAGAATTATGTTTTTAAAGTTGTTTGTAAAACATGGGTTAAATTTGTTTTTTTACCAGAAGCTCCTTAAACCGATGTTTGAGCGCATTGAAAATACATGTGAGCGATTAATTGAATGCTATGGAAAACTCAGTTTTTCTGTTCTCTGCTTCTGATTTTCTATCAGTTGAACGGTGTAACTAAACATGTTTTGGTGGTGTGAATGGGCGGATTAGACTCGCGATGCTCCGAGGGAATTATGGGATTTTTGACAAATAATACTCTTCAAAACAAGGATTCTCTTTGAAGTCAAAGAAATTATCCATGATATATGGAAGTCTCCAATTATCAGGGATAATCTTTTGTTCAGGTTATCGGAGTTATAATGAAGGTCTTCAGAATAAACTAGGAAAAACGGTTCTACTACTGCGTTCAGGTAGAGTAAGGAGAACGCTGAAATTAAAGCTCGGTCATTATCTTTCTGACATTTTTCCATACTGTGTAGTTTTGACATTGCTTATCCTAACAGTTCGCATGAAACATGTTACCAGTCAATCTAGGATAATGGTACAGCTTGCAAACAAACAAGTTCATAAATTATCCGCTAACAGTAAAACTGTTCAATGAAACGGGATTAGTCAGACTATACCATGATGCCCATTACGTTTCAGAGAAGGAAACTCCTGAAAGTAATTTTCATAATGAAGGTGACTGCGAAATCGAAAGTGTTCGAGCATCAGCAGATATTAGTCCGGAGCCCTCTTTGGAGGAAGAAGAAGGTAAATACGCTAACTTAACCTTGCATTTGACTTCCCATTCGCTACCGCGTTTTGTTTTTCTTTCTCTTTCTTTTTTTTTTCTTCATTTCCCGAGAATTGTTAAAGAGGTTCAATTATCAGAATAACTTGGTGGGCGTCTGATTGGACCATGGTCCATTGTTGTGGGGAACTGTCCGTGGAAAGGCTTTTTTTACGTCAGGAGAAGAAAACATCCTTGTTGCCTCTCCCGTGTGAAGGAGGCGTGGATGCTTGTCTTCTCACTTCTATAGGAAATCTTGGATTTCATCTCCATTCAGGATGCTACGTGAGCTGCGGTTTGCGTTTAAGACAGGGAATACGAAAAAGTCATGTTTTCGTCCTAAAGAGGCAGTAGGGTAGATCCTTTTCTGATATTTTTATTTTTCAGGCCAGTTTACAAAGTGTTCGAACACGTTGAATCAACTCTCTGACACAGAGGGCTCAGTTTATTATTGCCACCCAGGCAAAAGCAAAAGCCCAAACAGCGATGGAAAAAACAGCTGTGCAACCTCCTTGACTGAAAAAGCTAGCAGTAAAAGTTCTACGTTCACCTTAGTAGAGAAACAAAGTGGTGACTCACCAAACAAGAAACCAGGTTTGTTATTAGTTTATCTATAGTTAAAAGTACTCTTTGGAATAAGATTACTTTTATTATTTTTTGTTTTCATTTTGTTTTTATTTTATTTTTTATCTCCCTTTTTTTCATAAAAGAATTCGAGGTAATTGTCTTCGTCACTTCTTCGCGTGAACGGTATTTTTTTATTATTGTTGATCTTTGTTACAAACACAATTTACGGGAAAAAGTGGAAATACCTCATGAAATGAAAAAAGTCATCAGGACCGTCTAGAGTTTTAATTCTGCCCAAGAAGAAAGTAGAAAGTAACTTGAATCGGTGAAAACCCCAAATACAGTTATTAATTGGTGGATACTACGAACATATCTTTTAAGTATGAACTATTAAGTGTTTATTTTCACTCTAGGAGTAACAAAACAACTTTCTATACCAGCCAATCAAAGGAGCCCGGCTGCTTACCTATGGAATAACGATAACTCTAAACAACTCTCTCAAACAATGTAATATCTCGTTAGAGTAACCGCCACCGGCCTACCTCTGATAACGACGATATATGTACGTAAATGTAATGCAGTGCAGCGCTCTATTACATTGCGATCCGCCGACGTAACGATGCATGAACAGAGGTCTTTTGGGGCAGTTGTAGAAGAAATGTACAGTGATATTAGCTCGCGTAGCAGTTCTTCTGACGAGAGTGAAAAACACCAACGTGCAACCACGCTGGACACTTATGATTCTCGACCAACAACGAAGGGTAATTCATCTAGCATTTAAAACTTATCTGGAGGAACCCTTTTGGTGTTTCAAGTTGACTTTAATTATTTTCTTAACACCGTGCAGGCTTCTCTGCGATAAAAGAAGAACTTTTCTGCTATCAAGTTTGCCTTACACGTAGCTCGAATTTCTAAAATTCCCATGTGAGATTCGCTTAAAACACGCCAGGCCATGGCCAAATCGTTTCGTCGCTGAAATTCTATGAGGATTATTTAAACTACTTTTTTACTCTAGGATGATTTGGCACAGCAAATTAAAAGCCTTAATCTCAAACTGGATTTAAACTGGACTTAAATTATGCGGTTCAAAGTTTTCCACTTTTCCCGGATATCGTATTAGGGCGTATCCTACGTGACTTATAAATGTATTATGATACAGAAATATTAAGTTTTCGCACGATATATTTAATTCAACTGCTAAATTATTGCAAGTATCCCAGCTTATACGGCCCGAGCTATAATGATTTTTTTCACAATGTATTTCGAAACACTCTTGATAACACGCTAGAAGGGTCTTTAAAATTATCCATTCAGTGAGGCAGCTGTTGATATGGAACTGAGTTGTTTATGTTTCGATTGCTGCATACAATATTAATTTTTGCTATTCTTGAAAGCGGTAGGATGTTTTCACGAAGACAAAAAGTTTGATAAAATCAGACTTAAAAATAAGGTATTTTTTTTATCATAAAGTCATAATGTTCTCGATGAGAAAATCCTTTCCTAAAATTCAGATAGTTAAAATTTTATGGAATTTGATAGAAAAAAGTCATCTTGGCTGATGGGAAAATGAATAAATGAAATAGAGAAAGAAACTCCCGGCCATAAGTCAGTTTAACGCGCTTATTATTCTTATTGAGTTTTGTTTTCAATTATTTAAAATAAAACAGACAAAGATTATTTCAAACATTGAAAATTGCATTGTTTCAATGATTGTGTTTTTGCAATCTCTTCTTTAATATTTAACCAACCACAACCAAGTTTAATCAGAGCGCGGGTTCAATTATTCTAATTACGTTCCTAATATTCAGTAAAAGGGAGACATGTTTCTTCCAGTCAAAACGATGGTGGATTAAAAAAAATTGTCTTCCTATGAGAGAAATAACAGTCATCCATTAAGGCAGATCGCGTAAGGTAAGATAATTTTGTGAGCCATGATTCGACTTAAGTTGAGGTGAAATTGATTTCGGTTTGAATGAAGACATCACTTAGGGTTTGTCTGTCGATTTTAACACAATTTCAAGGAAGATATTTTCAATTAGAATCGAATTTTCCGAGGAAGAAATCGAGCAAATTTTAATTCCATGAGAAAAGTGCGAAAGACATATCTTTTTTGTGGTTTACTGCCGGTGTTTTGATTCCATGGTAACTGATATGTTAGGGTTTAGATATGGACAGGTAAATCGCTGCAAGTTTTGATGTGATTTTCAGTCTTATTTGCAATAACAGCTGGAAATCGAAGAAAACGCCGAGCGAGATAACTGATACAGAAAATACAAAATTAAACAAGATCTGTTTTCCTTTCCTCTTAGTTCACATAGTAAACTCTCTTGTTTTAGTTTTGTTTCCAATTTTTACTTCATTAATATTTTACTACTGTGGCAATCTGCGCGCTCGCTAAATATATCACACTTTATTGTAATGCAAGGTAGTCTCGAGGTAAATCCGAGCGTCCTGATTGGTGCTGAGCTGTGCACGTTTGGTTACAGAAGCCGGCGAAGTGCCATATAATAAACTACCTCGCTTGCTCGAGCCATACTAAGGAAAAACTATCTGGTGGTAGCAAAAGAGTTGATGGTATAATTGAATTATGTTCAAAACTAAAACATTTCCAGTTACCCATTTGATAGATACTGAAACTTTAAACACCTCGTCCCTATAAATACAAAAATAAAATATTTGATTTATTTCCAACTTAAGTTACCGCAAAAAAACTTGGTAAAAATCCTTATTCGCCTCGGGTCTACGATATTTTTCGACAAATTCAGTGCTCAGGCCGCAGGGTTCGAGAAGATCATTATGGAAGATTTTTTGATTTGACTCATTCAACCTTAGTCGAAGCAGAAATGTTTTTGGTTCTAGATACTAAATCTAATGACTGTATGCACCCACAGAGGTAAGGACTAATATTCCTACAGGAAGGGAAATATGTATGGTTTGTTGATTTGGTTTATTAAACTTATTTTGAGGTGTAAGAGCAAAGTCAAATCAAAAAGGCATCTCTAAATTATCAACACAAAGGAAAAAGAAGACCGTGCACCAAACGGCAATGGATCGATTGCTGTACGAGATTGCTGTGAGAACACAGCACAAAGCAAAAAGCCTGGAGTTTGAAGCCAAAAACCTGAGTGATACAGTGGACAACTTGCGTCACGAAAACAGAGCACTGAAACGACTTCAACGATCTCAAACAAGGGAAATTCACGATAGACATGACTTTGTAGATATGGCAAATCTGTCCCTGAAGGGATTTCGTAAAGATGTGAGATTCAGTGAAGAGAATCGAGTTGATGCTGATGCTAGTGTTAGGTGAGTAAATGCTAATTACTTAAAGAGTGGGTTGGCCTCAATGTCATGTCGAGGTCCAGCATAAAACATAAAGGGTGGAAGTTTCTAAATAAACTGCAGTGCTGCGTCAGTGAGGGTGTAACAATTTAATTCAATCAACTGGGTTGGTAAAATCAAATTATTAAGCGTAAAACATTTCAGGCGAAAACTAAGTTCAGAAATTTCATCCCATGGGCGGTAGGCGGGATTTTAGTGAAGATACATCTAATGATATAAAATTTGATATCCTGGTTGCAAATCGATGATATCACTTGAGTGAAAATCAAAGAATCAATCAAGAATCAAATTAAACAATAGAAATAATGCCATTTTCAGAGTAAAAAAGGAAATTTGTTGTAGTATTCATTTTTATCAGGGAATAAGGTATTTTGAATAAGGATACCACCAACTAAATGTTATATTTTAACGATAGGAAGAAAACAAAAAAAGTCATACGGCTTGAGAACGAAAGTAAGAGATATGAAAATCTCCTGCAACTTGACTCAAAACTCCCAAGCATAGAAGAATTGGAGCAGAAGATAGAAAAAGCCGATAGGGATCTGGAACTGAAGGACGAAAGGCTGAAGGTGAGAAGATAAATACTGAATATAAAGAAATTATTATCGATAGTTGTCAAGGGATGTAATTGCATTACTGCATGAGCCATTTTCTCTGAAAAATTCAGGGCCTCGCTGCTGAGCAGGAGTATAAATGAAAAGCTGAAAACTCTTATGGAAAGCGGACAGAATTCCTTTTATGGACGCCATCCTATAAGTGGGAGGTAGCAATCCTTTTAGACGCGGAATGCTCCGGAAAATAGGGAAGCAGATCATCACGCATGTGTGCAATGGTCATAATATCTACTTTTACATCTTACGCTTTAATCTAAAAATTCTTCATTGATACGCTTAAAAATTTCTTGTTATTAAGTTATTCGTTTTTTACTCAGGAATTACAAACGAAACTCGAACTGGATGACCAAAGAATCACCCAAGAACAAAAGAAGGAAAAGAAACGTTTCGTGAAACTGCAACATGAGATAGATGAAACTGTCAGAGAGTGCCACGATCTAACTTCCCGAATCAAAGTACGTACAATGAACTTGATCAACGTTAAATGTATAGAAATTAAAGTGTTCAGCTTTTACGGAGAGAAACTCGGTTTCTCAAAATTACTGGCCTTCATTCCATTCTCAAGTGAAGTTGTTTCATTATCATTTGTTGTATTCCCGCGCTCTCTTTCTTTATCCTCCTTTCTTGTATCTTTTTGTCTACTAGAATTCATTACATGCGAATGGAAGGAATTTAAGCCGCAGATCGCTCCATAAACCCCTCCCAGACATTGTTTTCTGCGCGAAGAGAGCTCTGCATGAAAACTTAGAATTCTTGGTTTATTTTCTTTATTCCATGAGAGACAGAAATGAATGCATTAGTTGCAGCTGTCAGGTTAAGATGGCACAAACTCTCACAGGTTTTATCCTCTTATGGAACATCCCATGACCGTTTTGCATTCTCCCGAACGTTGCCTCACAGTAATGAATTATAAAACATAGATTATTATCCGTGTAATACCACCACAGAAAACAAAATGCATAAGGGCCCATTCGCTGACAAAATATTCCTTTCCTTCGCAGACGGCAGAGAGGAAAATCCACAAGACAAATATTTACTGCCGTAAGCGAGGACCCTCAACCCAGGCCCTCCCGGCCATCACTTGGTATCCTCCTGCGATTGAACAGTCTCCAACAAATAAAGTTCAAACCTGGCTGAATAAAAATTCTGACAGTTCCACATGAAACAGATTTGCCTTTCGGAATACCTTCCTCATTGTGCAAGCTATAACTGTTTATTAAGGCGTCGAGTGTTTTGTCTAGAAGAATTGATGAGTTTTTGTGTCAAGATTTGTATAAAAAAAGACTTACCATAATTTTAATCTTGTTGTCACAATTCTCTTTTACGAAGGCGCTAAACGAGGATATCTTTGTAGACGTAGATACAAGTATTGTCCGCTAAATCACACAAAATGCCTAATGCGATTGACAAATTTTTCTTTTGCGACCGGGGTTATTTTAATCACGAGAGGCAATGTAAAATTTGCGATGTGCAAGTTCATTCCTGTATCCTGGCAGTTTTCATTGGTCACTCACCGAGAAGTGGAAGACTTGACAACTGGGAAAGGAAACTGCATTGCGCTTAAAAAAGCTTACCAATTTAAGATCACTGAAGATAATCAGCGAAGAAACTTCCGTCAGATTTTCCCCTACTTCAAGCTAAGGTTGAACCAGCAGTCTTTTGAGGGAACCCATAAGTTGTTTCAGTATTTTAAGACAAAATTCGGTTCAAAATAATTATTTCTTTGTGTACATCTACATATAACTTTATTTCCCTCCGTTTTACGCTGTTTGCCTAACAAGAGTCTAATGTTTTCAGCTCCAAGGCTGCACTAAGGTCTATGATGCTATCTTACATCCAAGGGAATAATATGAAAATCACTTATTTGACCAACAGAAAAAAATATTCTCATTTGTAAACACAGCTCAAGGAGTTGCCATTACTTAAATTCCGTACATCACTGCGATACACTCTTCTGTAATAAAGAAAAAGTATGCTAGAGAAATCATATCATTCTTCTCACTGAAAAAAAATGATTTCGGAATCATTACATAAGACAGGCCAACGCATGAAAAATTGCTAGTCTAAGTCCTGTAATAGTGTTTCACCTCTTGGCAGTTTGTTGGAACAATTAGGAGACACACCAAAACACATTTTCGAATCAAATAGAGAAGCAGCTGTTTGTAAACTTCGTGTTGTAGTTTCGCGTGTACGTATATGTTACTGAGTTGTTTTTCAAAATGGCAGCATTCGAGGTCGAATTTTTGGCACATTTCAAGACATCTTTCGAACGGTAAGGTGACTCTCTGTAATCTTGAGACGCAGTATGTTGTAAATTTAAAAACTTATTTCATAGTGGCGATGATAAAGATTTTATGGTTTCTAGATCATATTTTCCCCTTTAATTTCACGGTTATATAACGCAAGAAATGTAACGTAAGAATATCGTTCCAAACGCTGAGACTGATCATTACTTGACGTGGAAAAAGTCCAGTGTAGTTTGCGCTGTATTGCCACTCGAAATGTCTCGAGCTGTTGCGGTTATTTCTGTTCCTCCAAAATACAGACTGACCTCCAGTTCCCTATCCAAACCTCTCCACGTTTCAGGAGACTCAACCACAACGCTTCCAATCCTTTTTACTCCGGCGTCAGTGATAAGAAGGGCATTGGGGTTGTCTGCCGCGTAGAAAGAGTACTTGATCTTCTTTTCGTTTGGATACAATGGTCGATAGATACTTTTTATTCGCTGCCCGAGTTTAACGACTTCATTTTCCTTCACAAAGTAGTTGAGCAAATCATTACACATCTCCACACCATTCGCGACAAACTTCTTTTCTTCTGGGTGAACTCCGCGGACAAACTCTCGGCAGCAGTCGGCTCCATACGTCTTGCTGACAACTCTTTGCACTATTCTACCCGGATTCTTGCCAAACAAGACAGCCCCTTGGACAACAGCAGTACTGGTATCATTAGGAATGATTATACAACACCTGCTGGAAAACCTTCTTTTGATTTCTTCCTGAAGAATCAAAGAATTCGCGAATCCTCCAACTAATAGCATCACAGTGACTTTCGAAAGCCGTGGCTCGCTAAGGAGCACTCTTAAGTGATCCTTCATGGCTTCTAATACTGGCTGAAACTGCTTCACCATAGCTCTCGAACTTAAGCACAGGTACTCATCGTTGAGGATTCTAATTTCTCCATTTGCATAGCGTTTCAGAGCCACTGTGACGGCATCGTTGACCCAGGAGACAAAACTGCGTGGCAGGCGAATTCTTGTCTCTTTCTCCTGCACGACCCGAACCCCGCGCTTCTTAATTTCAAAATCGTTCATGAGTTTTAGCCAATCAGAAGGAAATTGTTGGCGATAATCATACATCTTCTGCTGACCAAATATTTGGTCCAAAAGGCTCTTAAACTGCTCATTGACCTTTACGCCCCCATACGGTCCACCTGTTACTTTGTAGATCTCCTTTATGGTACCATCATCCTGTTTTTCATGCACTGTTACATCAAGGGTGCCACCTATTGAGAGTTAAGAGATTTATTTAATCTGCTCCCGTTCCGTGAGGCTCAGATTATTTTATAGTTGTACAGATGATACGTATGCGAAAAATAAAATCCAGTTGCATTTAACTGTCTCTAATACAATTAGCGTCGTTAACTCAACAAGCAACAAACTGTTAAAACGTTTAGCTGTGTGGGACATTTGAAATTATTTTTAGATTTCGCATAATTTTTAGATTTAACTAATTGATAACTGTTAGTGAGAGTACATCACACTCTCGGTATCATTAGGTATCATACTATCTTTGGTCATAACGGAGTTTTATGAGCACAAAATTCCATATTTAGAACGGAAGGCTATAAGAACCATTTCTTCCTCGTTGCATTATATTTCTTTTTTCATTAGAAACAGTAAAGCCGGCGGGATATCTCTGGCAATGGCGTTTCTCCTTGTACGTGATTGCAAACTCTAATGTTCGTCGCTGACTTTTGTGCCTTATTTACATTGAGGCAATGTTAATGACACTAATAATTTTTTGCGATCAAAACAGAAGAACTCTCGTTAGGCATTTTGCCAACGCTACGAAAGAGCCTCTAACCTGACCAAACAAGACAGCCCATTGGACAACAGCAGAACTGGTATCATTAGGAATGACTATACAACACCTGCTGGAAAAACCTTCTTTTGATTTCTTCCTGAAGAGTCAAAGAATTCGCAATTCCTTTTATTGTGTAGAAAATTCTTATTCAGAGAACAGGCAAAGTAGCTGGCGGTATTTCTCTCCAATGGGCCACTTCTTGTAAGTTATTCCGCCCATTGATGTTCTTCGCTCCTTTCGCGTTCAAAACAGAAGCGCTATCGTAGCGCATTTCATCAACTCTGCAAACTATTCAATTTGAAAAAGGTTTTTCAGGAACTTAGACTACGATTATCTTTGCTCAGAAGAAGCCTCACCTCCAATGTCGACAACCATATAATGTACATTGGGTCGAGAGAGTTTCCCTTCAAGCGACACTGTATCTATCCTCTCCAGGTGTTTTTCTGTGCAGAACAGTGCAGCAGCTTCAGGTTCTAAAGCAATTATCAACTGCTCTGGATTGTCTGATGATCCAAGACCAGCCTATGAAAAGATATGTAACATGAGCTACTTATTCTTTCTTCTTTTCTTGATTCTTTAAAAATGATAACATACCTATATGCTAGCAAATTCAAACAAGCTCAAGGTAACCGAGCTTCGGTTTGGTTAAAAGACTTATTAGTGACAGGTCATTCAATTGTAATTGTTATCATTTTGCGATTAGATATTATTAAACAACTATGTCGTCAGCTTTCCGTCCAGTGTATGTCTGGTTAAAGCGATTTTTAAAGGCTAGCCGGTCGACGTCTTTTTCTTAGGGTTCGCCTGAAAATTCACAATTATCATAACTTCTGGATGTTCCACTCATTAGAACATGGATGATTTAATTTCATTACATCGCATACCTCATAGGCTGCTTCACGCATAAACTGCTTCGCTCGTGGAGTCCATATGGCTGGTACGGTCAGAACCCACTGGATATCCTCCATTCCAAATCTGTCATCACTTGTCTCTCGCCGAATAACGCTGAGCGCTTGTTCTTTAAGAAACCGGATAGAATGTGCAAACACTTGCTTTGCAGGCAGGAGTTTTCCATTTGCTGCAGCTATCTTGGTGTTAAGATTCAGGCTCTAACGTTACCACGGGAGAAAACATGAAATAACTAAGTACTTCGTGTGTGTTCTTCACATGCATCCAAAAATGTATCGTTATGCCAAGTGTAACCTTGATTGAAATAGTACTCCATCTAAACCGGAATATGAGCGCTTACCTTGCGATAGATGCAAGTAGCTTTATTAATCGATTCTTAACACAGAGATATGTCAGAATTTTACGGTCAAAAAGGTTAACCCTTTCAAAAATGTCACCTACTATTCTGAATGATGTGTTTCCAAAATCTGAAAGTATTTTAGCTTTGTCAAATTATTTCTACGAGGTTATATTTTTGTTAAAAGATGTGCACAATCTTCCACACGGCTATAAAACTCTCAAATGTTGAACAAACAACCTAATAATGGTAATGATGATCTTTATTTTGAAGTGAAGTTTTCTAAGGCTCTAACGAAAATCATAACAAGATTTAGAGAATGGTTAATCCACTGGGAGATGCCCAACAACTTGAAACTCCTGCTGTGGGTTTGTTTTCTTGGATCGGCCAGAATGGTGCAAAAAGTCTTAGACACTTTTACGAAACTTTTCACTGGATGGAACAAAAAGTGCAAGGTGCCCAGACCACGGAATGCGCCCTGATGCTCCTTTAAGTTTCCTGCATAGGAGGTGACTCGTGATGATTATGAAAATGATAGGAACAAAGCTTGTATTGATGATGGTGGTAACAATGATGATATGACAGTGATGATGATGAGCATAATAACACTTATAAAGATGGTTAGGGTTATGGTTAGGCAATGGTGACAATAAAGTGCACAAAACACGCACTATCGATCGTGACTGAAATGAAATGGTCATACATTCTTGATTCGCACATATACTAACTAATCCTTGAATTTAACAGGCCTCTTACCTCATCATTATGTAAGAGCATTTTGAAATGCCGGAAAAACACGTATTCTTTTTCCTCTGAGATGCTCGTCAGATTCGCGTACTTTTCTTCTGCTTCGTATCCAAACGAGTGAAATGACAAGTCTGGTTCAAGAAGCAGACATGTAGGAGTTTTGCTGGTTTGATGGCCCTGATCATTCATCCAGGCTCTGTTCATAAAAATCACGTCTTTACCGTCATCTTTGTTGAATGAGAAAGCAAAGCCACTATAGGTGGTGCCAAAGTCTATTGCAACCGTGGCAAGGAAGGACTTTTCAACATGTAGAAGCGAGGTGCTGAGATCTGTTTGGAGAAAAATGACACCAACATAACGCAAAGATGAAATAAAATTGAGCTGGGCTGCGTTGTTAACTAGAGGGGAGCCGTTACTTGAAGCAAGCTTTAACACAACTCTTCTCTTCGATTGGCGGCATACGCCTGGCTTCCGTACATCAAGGTTCGGTTTGCCCTAATAACCCTCATTCGATATGAAAAGCAGACCTAAGCACAAAATCAATATAGACCGGACTATCGTAGCCGTCACGATGGTCCAAGTTGTTTGTGGTGGTTTAGCATAGTTTTTCAACAGTAAAATTAATGGAAACCAGTCTCTGAAGTTATTTCTCCCTCTTTAGCATCAATGGGACATTTACCAAATGTAGAGATGGTGAGGGGCAAAAAATGACAAATAATCTTTATACATGTATGTCTAGGGTATTTGATTTGAGGCAATCCTATCCTCAATCAGCTGGATTTTGTGGAAGCCCTCTCATCCATTCCAAGAAACGGTTCCGCTCCCTTTTCCCCTTTATACATGCCAATAGAATCAGTATACACTCCAATCTTGCCAGTGTTGTATTTCTTGCGGAACTAAACTAGTAAGTAAAACTTCTCAATATTCTCCTGATTCCTGTTTATCTCCAATTTCATTCAAATGACAATCTATCTTTCCAGTTTTCTTTCCTTTATAACCTAATTCAGGTGGCTTTGATTTGAGTGGCCAGAAGCTGCACTATAAGCAGTTACTTCCTCGCTTTTATGTTAATATTCCTGTGTGATACTAATACTATTAGTTACGTGGTTGCTCTTATAAAAAAATTGATTTTTTTCTCTAAATGTTAGTTTTTGCTCGTTAGTGTTTCTTTTGTTGCTATAAATTTTCTAGAGCAAAGTAGGTATTGTGTATCGAAATCTTTTATGCAATGAAGTGTGTTGCAATGCGTTATAATGTAATGATACGTATTTTAACGTAAGATATTAGAACATCGAAAAAAAATATGTATTAACTATGTAAGTAATAATGGTGTATTGTAAGCACTATTGTAATGTTCATGATGTAAGGAATTTAACCATGTAAATATTGTAAAATTAGATTTTAAAAAATCGATCTACTGGAAGCGTTGTGGGTTAATCAAATTAAAAAACTTCTTTTATTCAACATTGACTATCTCTAGTTACTCTAATTAATGGCCAAGATATTATTCAAGAAACAGCGATCACGGAAGGGTAACAGCTGCCTTAAAGGTTCAATATTGTCGGCTCCAAGGGATAATAAATGATAGTGTATTAATTCAGTACTAGTGATATCGAAACCACCAAAATTCATTGGTCAATCCCTAGTTTTACAGTTGCCTCACTTCTATTTAAAGTACCCCCTTTTCATGAGTTAAGCATGTTCATGAGGACGATACAAATCGCCGGTAAATTACGTTATATTTCTTCAACTCTGCGTTAGCATTTTAGTTTCTGGGTTAAATCATATTGTAAGCAACTGGTGCCTCACGGTAATACCGCTAATTGTTCATTTCTTTGTTTTTCTCTGTTAGCCATTTAGTTGCATTCAGTCACAGTTGTGCTTTAGAAAATGATTGACCAAAACAACGATGCAAACTACAAAACGGAAGCAACGTACTACTGACTGACGTGTCAGGTTAAAACCCCAAAATTTACCATTCAGAAGCTATTAAATAATTAAAAGAGAAGACTATCTGCTAAATATTCAGGGAAACACAAGTGATTTTGAGAAACCTGCTTGAGAAGCTGTCTTCTATTTAGGTCTTACAACAGCCTCGCGTTTTGCAGCAAATCAAATATGGCGAACTTCAAACGACGGGCCAGGGAAATTTGCTAAGCGTGAATAGAATTTCAGAGACACCATATATTGCAAAACAGCTTTGCTGAAACGCAGATAATTAAGATCATGCTTTTTGTTTTCACAAGAACTTTGGCTTTAAAACAAATCATTCATCTTGTATATTCTAACACATCGCAAATAAACAATAGTAGATTCCATATGGTGCAATATTTCTTGCTTCGTCACCCAAACCTTATGAACTAATCAATGTATGCTAAAGTTATTGTTACCTGTCAAAGATAAGGCCATAGTGTTCCCAAAATCTTCTTAAAGCGAAAGCGAACACTTCAAATGATAGGGCAACAAATCTGTGCTTGTGGTAGCTATTGAACTATGTTCCTCTTTCCAACATGAAAGGGAAATTTCCCAGAAATCAATCTGACCAATAGGGGATCAAACGATGACCCGTTTCTTTCAAAACAACAGCGGGTGACTTGCATTACATCTTGGTCATCATTACTCGTTAACTTCAAATGTTTCGCAGTTTTGTCTTTTTCAATTTTTTTGCTTCTTAATAGGGTTGATTCTCAGAACCAATTTACCTCTACCCACTGATACTGACCTCTTACCAACGATGAAATTTAATCTTTTATTTTGTCACCTACGTGTTGTGCTCTGATCTGGACAGAGATCGTGTTCATTGAATTGTGTGACAGCTTCCGGTTTTCCGCGAAAGAGAAAATGAGAAAGCGGAAGTCATTTTTTCTTGGAATATCTCGCGTATTTGTAGGTTTCGGCGTCACTCTTGTGGAACTACATCATGGCAGGACAGTACAGCAAACCGACAAGTTCCAGGTCTGGACGTCGGCGAGAGTCTCTTGAAGGAACGAGTCATGAGCAATCACTTCCTTGGGACGTCGAGTTTATTCAAAAACTAAGAAAGCTTCCAGATGAACTTACCCGACTCTACAGTGAAAACAGTACTCTGAAAAGAGAAGCGGAAGGGTCACCCTCGAGGTAAACATTAACATAGATACGGCGTCATTTCGTGTTTTGAATATCTACAGCGTTCCTTTAGTTCACTGGAGAATCTAATTTGATAACTCTCTTTACTTATTACAAATTTATTGGCAAGAACCAAACAATTTTAATAACTTTGAATAGGGCTGAGAGAGATAGTGAGTGAATAGACATAGCCATGACTGTTTGGTTGTTGTTTTAGCTGGCACTCGAGGCGAATTTTGACTGGCTTTACAAATATGCAAAATACTGTCGTATTAGCTCAAAAGTCCTTCTGTTATTCGTTTTCCACCAAATGAAAATTCAATTTCAGTACGACTCATTACAGAAACCTTGGGGTCTCCAAGTGGCTCCCACATTTGTTTGGGTCCATGCGTTCGTCCATGTGTGGAGAAACTCAGCTTGTGGAAGTCAGGCAACTACAAATGTGGTCCGCTCATAAAGCTCATAAATGTAGTCGCCCAGTTCATAAAGGTAGCGTGAGGGCGGTCGTATCATTTGTTTAGTGTATTTCTCAATTTCATTTTACAGTTGCAGTACGAATCAATCATTTTGATCGACTGTCAGTACATGAGATAGCGTTACGCTTGCATCTGTCGAAAAACAAATCGCCTCAATCGTCAGAAGGCGAAGCTTTCCGCTCGCGGCACAAAATGCCTAGAAAACCACTTTTCCGTTTCCTTACTGCTAGCAGAAAGCCGTTGGTAATTCTTGCATGCATATTTCATTTGGCGGATCAGATTTCTGCAAAGTCGTGCATGCATTTTCGGGAAATTAATAATAATGCGTGTAGTGAGTGGTACAGCAACTGTCCTGTAAATACAATCAAATGAGACTACTTTCAATCCTGGTGCTCTTCGCTTTAATTTAAAGATGTTTGCTACCTCATAATTCTGTTTATTTATAAGATATCCGTACAGCACATGTTGATTGCTTTAATTATTTGTGTTCCCTCTATATCAATTTAACATTCTTCTCAGTCTATCAATTTTCCTTACATAAGATCTGATTAAACCGACGTAGTTATCGATCCACTTCCCAGGCTCGACTCATCTAGGAAGAGAATCGAGAAATTTTGGCAGGAAAGGTTAGAAACCAGAGAAAAAGAGCTAAAAAACGAGCAGGAAGACAGGTAAAAATTTTTTCGTCAGAAAGTTTATTTCCTGGTGCAAGTGTATCACTGAAGCGCCCCTTGTAGCGCCTCACGTTCATTATGCATCTATTGAAAAGGGCAGCTGCAAACTGGTTAGCCGATGTCCAATGCGTTGTTGTGTGACTGTAATCCTTTCATGTAGGACTGACCCTTGGTAAGACAAGGCTTACATCAAGAAACATGTCTTCAACAATAACCATTTCTATTATTTATTTGGAAATTTATGTGAAGGCCTTTCAATACCAAGGGAAATTGATGAAACCTCTTAAGCAAAATATAAGGGGGGCAGGTAAACTGTATTAGGGGGTTACCCTGAGATAGTGAATTTAGTTTATCGGCTTCATTCATTCAGTTCGATTACAAAAACCAGTTCATACCAATTTGAAATATCTGACTGAAAATTTGGACCAGGTGTGTAGAATTTGGAGCCGTTGGTTACTGTTATTCTGCGCCATCGGCAATATTACAGGATTTTACAGATGCGGAAGCACTATGAACAGCTAGCGAAGAACGATACCGAAACTTTACAGAAGAACAACACTGAGCTACAAAACCGCCTACGGCGAAGGTAAATCCGCGAAGCTTTATCATAGTCATGAGGAGGATAACAAGTCAATTCTAAGATAAATTAATAATAACATGGAATATATATTACTTTTATGTAATAACGCATAATAAGCATCTGTGCTATCCTCCAATCGATCACAAGTATGAACCAATCAAAAGGTGTTTAAAATTAAGCTAAATATATAAAAAGATAATGTAAAGCCATTTGAATTAATTATTGAGCCAGCTAATGCAAATTTCAAATTTGGAATTTCTTCCTTATGCATTTTTCAGATATATTTAAAATTGTTAATGTTTTTGGAAGAAAAATTGTGGGTTAAAAAAGGGGAGAAGGGGGTTTGAAAATTCGTTTCCCAAGCTCAGATTTTCCAGAATTTTTGTTATCAACCCATATCTTTTTCGATGCCTTTCCATACACATTTTTGTTTCATGAATCAATCTCCTTGTGACCCAAATCTCATTTTTATGAGGGGGAGGGGGGGGGAAGCCATATTCAAGTTCCCATTTTGCCGTTTCAGACTCCTCTGTAATTCCTTCTGCAATCCACATTCTCAGTTTAGAAATTTGCAACAAGATGGAAGAAGAAAATAAAACTTTGCAGAAAAAATTGAAAGAATCAGAGCGCCAGCTGCAGGAGACTGTCAATTCTAGTCATTCAAGAGACGCTTCGGAAAGGTAAGTGGTTGCCTCAGCAAATTTAGAGCAGAGGGATGGAAGGGAAATAGTGGTGTATGGAACAAAAAGAAGTAGGACAAAGGAATGGTTCTTTAATCAATGAGTGTGTTACAGGCCTCTCTGAAGCTTTGGTTTCTTATTTTTCTGGCCTCGCTGGATGACAAAAGTGCTGCATTGAATACTGGTGTGAAGTCAGTTTTTACACGTGGTCATATCCGCCCTTAATTAGGCTATAATCGTCGTTCACTTTTCAAAATTAAAAACAACAAGAACAAGATAGCTCTCGCCATAGTCAAGTAATTTCCATTAGAAATGTTGAATAAAGAATATTATTTTATAATAAACTTACTCTGAGAAATCTGATTGGTCGTGGGCATTCAATCAATAAACGATCATTGGTTGAGATTTTTGTGATATAAAGAATAATCACGGTCGAGGTAGGGGTTATAAGCCGAAGCCAAAGGCTGAGGCTGATAACCTTTACCGAGACATTACAGTTACAAAAAGTGACATTCAACTATTTTTTCGATGTCTCCCTCGGTCAACGAAGTAAACCTGGAAGTCATGTTCTTGCTTCTTTACTGACGGCAAGCAACACAAAGCGCGCGAATTTGACATGTTTACCCTTAGAAATCGTGCACCGCGGCTATATATGATGTGAATACCCCTGACCTTGAGTGACCTTAACATGATTATTGTATAATTTGCGGCTAGATGACGTCCCAGGCACCGATTTAGGAAGTTCAACGTACGCTTTCGGCCAATCAGAAAAGAGACAGTGAGTTGAATGTATAATAATATACAATGGTACGTGGAGGGAGGTGACATGGCAAGTGCAATATCTACAGCGGATGATATTGTATTTATCATGTCGAGTTCAATGTCCGTGTAGTGTTCTCAAACGTTTGCAAACTCAGAGAGAAGTTTCTTTATTTGCAGATTATTAAAAAAAAATGTATAGTAAAACTATTATTGAACTCGGTTTTGGCATAACATCATCAATTATCAAACCTCGTGTTTGAGTTATCCGCCTCAGCCTTCGGCTTCGGCAGATAACTCAAGCCTCGGTTTTAATAATTCATGATATCATGCTCAACCTCATCCAATAATTGTTTATCGTACGCAGAATAGTGCGTAGTTATCAGTTAGAGTTATCAGGCTTGATATCTAAAGGTCGCTGATACTGTGGAACAAAAGAGACTTAAAGATATTATACTTAAAGATATTATAATTTGCATAAAAAAGAGCTTGAGAGAGGAAAATGAAATTGAAATCTAAAATTATCAAGTGGTTACAGTGCAAAGTGTGGGGGCTGTAAACATAAAAAGGGACTGCAAAACCTTAGATTACAATGAATGTAAAGGCCTCCTCTCCACTTAATAACCGAGGTAAAACAAAAGTGATGCCCAAATTGGTGATGTAGTTTCTTTTAATAGCACTTCCATTAAAGTCTATATCTCTCACTTTGCTCCACCACTGCTCTATTATTCGGTTTTATACTACATGATTATATATACCACTATTATTTACGATATACTATTTGCGTATCACATATCACGTTAGGTAAAATGCTAAGTAAATCTGAGTTAACTCATCCCTTGTTCCGTGTTTATTAAAGAAGGCATAGTTATGAGTATCACTTGAAGAAAACAAAGCAAGCTTTGGAGGAGAAGCGTCGAGAGCTTGACAGATTCAAAGAAAGGTATGAATCCTGTAGAACCCCAACATTTCTCGACAACGTCATTACTTTTACCTTTTTTGTTACAAACGTTTGCCAATCATATGTCTGCGCACAAGTATCCGTACGTATTTTGGCACCAAAATAGAGGCTTTTTCTTATATATTAACATACCCATACATATATTGTACATACAATCATACTGAGCTATATTTTTAATTTTTTACTGTCATAAGGCATGCTGCTTTCTCGGAGAAAAGAGTGAGGTCTGATCAGAGAAGAACAGAAAACACCTTAAGTACCAACAGACAGTCTCAGCTAGAGAATGATTACGTCATTGAATTCAAGGATGGCACACGTGTTGATGCCATAGACATAATTTACAGAAAAACTAGTCGTTCCAGGGGAAATAAATCAACCTCAGCGGAGTATTTAAAGTGTTGTAGACTCGCCTGCCTTATTTTTGAGGTAATGATTCATGATTTGGTTTGATCTGTGTATTTGTATATGTGTGTCTATTCAATTTTACAAATTTTGGTAAGCAATTTTTTTAAAATTGGTGAAGGCAAATGAGTTCAGTAAGAAAGAAAATTGGTTCTGTCGCTTCAATGGTTCTTCGCGACATCCTTGACATTAGCCAACTTCACCTCTATTGCAATGCGTCTTTCACAATACGATGGCTTGTATATTACAGCTGAGGCCATGGTCGGTTCGGTGTCGACACATAATAGACTAGAATTGCTTTTGCATATTAGACTATCCTAAAGACCTGAGCTCAGCATATGGCTAAGCAATAGCTCATACAGATCTTGCTTGCCCAGTGTTACACAATGGCAATAACTTTTTTTTATTGCCCGACCCATTTTAACGATGACATTACCTACGAAACCAACTGAGTCAATTGAACGATCATAATGATAACGGAAATTTTTAAAATTTCTGACCACGGTTCACATAAATGACATTCTCTTTTTTTGGACTGTTCGTGAAATGTTTAGAGAACCAATGGAGACTTGATGTGTATTATTGAGAATAATACCTAAGCAGCGAACACGAATGCAAATCCGAAATGCTGAATTTATCACCATCTGTTTCAGGTAGCCTATGGTTCCGTTTTAAGCATCAAAAAAACCTTCGCCACTTTCACGTCTGCTGTGATTGAAGTCTTAGTCACTGAAGCTCCAGCGATTGGGTCAGATACCAAATCATTTCCGGTACGAGAAAAATGTCCGGATCTCTGGTTACTGTGAATTTACCATCGTATACCTAGTTAAAACGGGCACTCGGGAACTTTTAAAGCAAAGTGAACTGAGAAGAAGTGGATTCATGCCATTAACGTAAAGTACTCAATCTAATTAGAAACCTTTGGTCTTGGTATTGTTATTTTTAGGTGAGTCGTGAACTGTTCTATTCAACAAAGCAGCAGGCCTCAAACTATACGATAAAGTTTAAGGCGTACGCTGTCTTCGTTGCTACGGTTAAACGACTTTAGACAATTACTCGCTGTTTTTTATGGGGTGCGGAGACTATAAATGGGAAGGGAGCATGCAGTTTCTCTATGGTAACCATTTTCACGTACTTGAAGAACAAAACAATGCAACTAAGTCATATTCAGTGGTCATTTCTGAATATAAAGGGTATTTTTGAGTTTCTTTACGTTAATACATGTTCCCGTTTGCTAGCTTTGGAAGGTTCAGTGTGGTCACACAAGAGATGTGGTATTTGCTACTCAAGATGCCGTAGCCGAGGTTATGGTCCTGGTTAAAGAAGGAGCGAAGAATCACAATCTACATTTTCTTGAGGAAGTAAGTCTTGCCAAGACTTAATCGAATTGATTTTATTGTTTACCGCAATGCGTACATACTTGAAGAGATCCTAGAATGTTAAATAAACTGTGTGATGCTTATACTCAGTAAAATTGATGGGCCGTCACGTGCACTTCATAATCGCCCCTTCGAATTAGTCGGAAAGTAAAATATTGAGAAAACCTTATAACAATATGATTGAAATTCATTTTTAAAATTGTTATTGTAAGTGGCTCTTTGCAGGTGTGGCTTTATTATAGTCAACAAAGTGATGTTTTGTAAGTGCGTTTTGCTTGTTCAGTTTTTGGCGAAGCAATAATAGTAATACTTAAGAAAAATCCGTCCTTAAAAAGAAAAAGGTATGCCCGAAAATCTCCCAATCAAAGACCTCATTATAAATAAATAAACAAGTAAATAAATGAATAGATAAATAAATAAATATAAATAATATAAATATGTAATATAAATATATTAGGTACTAATACTACTCAAAAATGTGATACACGATGCGCGTATATTTCACATCAAAGAACAATGTCTTTTTTGCTATCGTTGGAGAGGCGTCTTGCATACTAACGTTCTCTTCCACCAGTTCAACGGTACGACATACATACATACATACATACATATATACATACATACATATATATATATATAACTGTAGAAAGTTTTCTGTTAACAGGATGTTATGAGCTCCATTTGTTCCATATGGCTTGAACACTTTCTTCAAAGGAAACAGCTTCTTCCAGAGTACGACAGAAATATCTTGCACAGTTTAAAAGATTACATACAGTATTGCATACAGTTTGCGTGGTGTGCTGTAACTCAGGTTCCTCCATTGAAGATTGACCACACGACGACTGTTTACAGTTCTAAAAGCCACATTATAAGCCAAGCTTTCAGTTTAACCGACCAAGATCGAGGCCGTTCTCGACGCTCTTATTCCTCCGAAGCACGAAATATCATGTGCTATCTGTGGCCTACTTTGTTGGATTGTGATGGAAAAGTTATTAGTAAAGGAGAGGTTATTTTAGCTCACTAGCATTAGAATCCCTTTAACTTAAGAAAAACACTTTGTAGAGAGATTTTAAGAAGTCATAATCGGTTTACGCTCAATGTAACATCCAGGCAAGAGAAAAACATCACATAGGAACTTGGTTTATGTTATATTTTCAATCTTTGATCGTGGCTGTACCATTTGATAGATCCTATAATAAACGGTTTTCTTTTGAAAGCAATAAACAATCACTTTCTCCAGAAGGCAACAGTTTTCAGGCCAAGGGAGGGGATGAGAGAAATTCAGGGGCGGATGTTGCTAAAAGCAGGGATGGGATATGGAGAATGGGGAATGGGGAATCGGAAAATGAAATGGGAAATTGAAAATGGGAATTTGTTTGTTTTCTTGTTTTAGATTTACTGTTTATAAAGAAGAACACATTTTTCATCAATATCCACGTTCTCTCTCAAAAACGTGCAGGGGAAAAAATCCAAGGAACGAAATGAATTGATGACAAGGAACAGATAACGTCCAAGAACAAATATACAAGCATATTTTCGCGTAAAATAGATGCTATTGTGTTTTTGCAACGCGCGTGGAAAATGTTTACGAACAGCTTACTGTTTTTTGCTCGGGATATTTTCTTTTGAGTGTTCTCTAGTACTACTTTATAGACAAACATTTATTTTCCTTCTTTTTTAACAACCATAAAACGCTCTTTCATGAACAATTAAATTTTAAACGAAGACTTACCTTGGTGGACGTAAGGTTTAAAAGTTGGGGAGTATCACTTTGATGATACCTTCGGATATCCTCCAGCTTTAGCTGAGAAATATTTGTCAACGTGATGCTTTTAAACTAGTCGCGCGCGAGCAGAAATATTTGATGTATCATAATCGATTATATGCCCCATGTGATATTCCCTAATTTTCAAGTTCTATGTCCATCAAGATTAGTCTTCGTTTAAAGTTAATTTTAGCTGAGAAAGCGTTTTTTGGTTGTTATAAAAAAGGGGACATGTTTGTTTGTTCATGAAATCATACTATCCTTCAAAAATAAACACCCCACGCACTGAGCAGTGAACTGTTGCAAAAAATTTTAAAGGAAAATAAGCAAAATAGCCTCCTTTTGACGCGGGATTATGCTTTTTCTTTCACATTTTAAGGAAGAGATTACTCATATTTGTGGGAAACCTTTGGAAGTTCAGTCGTTTGCAGCACACTCGCCACCAATGTTCATGCAAATTACCGCTTGAAACCTACGAGATTCATTAATTGCTTGGCGCGTTTTTATGGTCCTGAAATAATATTATTCTTTCATATAATTTGTCAGTTTCGCTGCAGCCACTAGCTTGAAAAGTGACGCAAGTGCTTTGTTTGATCGAAGTCCCTCTTCTAAGAAAACTTCTATTACTTTCGAAAATTAAAACAAATTTCTTTTTGAATGGATGTTAAACTGTGGGTTGGTTTGTCTTTCAGGGTTGATAGTGACTTGGATTCTGAAAAATGAAGGCACGGCTAATTTCTTTGAAATTCCAATTTAGTAAGTAAACATTCAAATTTGGTTTACAACATTTTTTAGGATTCATGCATCACTTTTTTCGTTATAATCAATTTATTCCGTTCCTTAAATTTTACCTCTCAACGTTTTTAATGATCGCCACCAAAAAAATTATATTCAGCATAATAAACATAAAGTTTCAAAAAAAGGTTAATTTCCCATTTTCAATTTCATCATTAGCCGTTCTCCATTCTCCATTCTCCATTCTTCACTCGTAATTCTTCATTGTCCATCGTCCATTCTTTATTCTCCAATCTCCATTCTCTATTCTCCATTCTCCATTCCTCATTTCCCTTTTCCCACTTCCCAATCTCCACTCTACATTTCACATTCCTCCTTTTATTAACATCCGTTTAGAGGCCACCACGAAAGAATCCTCTTAAAAATTTGTATAGTGGTCGAAATAAATTTTCCATTTGACTCGGGGAAACTACTGATCACAAAAGAGACCGGAAAAGCCGCGGCGTTTTCGTTTCCACCTTTTGGCTTAAACGAAAGGTAAGAATTCCGCTCGTAAAACAGTATCTGCTATAATCAACCAAAAATTTAAGACACTGGATCTAGTTATTTCCAAATATCTATAGCATATCGTCAGGCATTTCATTTGCTTATTTGCGTTAAAACAGTTTTATAACCGTAATTTAAGATATTGTTATTTCTCCGAACCTGAAGCATGCTCAAGGATACAGGAGAATATTAACTGTTGATATTCTCATGGAGGATGTTATTACAATGAGACAGGCATAAACATGACTGTTAATAATTGAGAGGGCTAAGTTTCGAATAAAACTGTGGTTCTGCATTGTTGGGGTATAACAAGATAATTCGGTTTAATCGATTTAACATGGCCACCGTAAACAGTTTGTAAATCCTACGTAAAGCCCTGTGTGAGAGCAAATAGAACAAATGTGATAAAGATGGAGTTACGCTGTAGGTGGGAACACCGTGACAAAAAAAAATGCGAGAAAAATAAGTGGAATGAGAAAGGTTATTTGATACCGTGTGGATTAAGAGTGCCGATCTGAAAGATCAACTTTTGTTCGAGAGTTGTGCGGCTTTTCGAACTGTGTAGGGGTAGGGGTAGGGAAAGACTGCAGACTGTCACATGCTAGTGACTGTTTTGGATGCGTCTTTGACATTTCCTTTTCCTTCACGAAGTTTTTCTCGGAATTGGTCGCCTTGTCGTCTTCCTGTTTCAACAATGTAAGAATTTCTGCACCAATCTCCACGTTAGTTATAATCGTTTACGGACTTTTCAAAAAGAGATAGGAATAAATGATTATTCTAGAAATTTAAGAAAAAAAAGTCAAGTGCATAACGAATACGCGATGGCTAATAAATATACAATAACAAAGGTGAGATGAGATAAAATATGAAATCACTTACGTGAGGGTTGTAACTGTTACGGAAACGGAAATAGAAGATACTAAACGCCTCTTGACTTACGCTGAGTTTCCCAACCATTTAAAAGGATCCCCTTTATATAAATCCTTACCATTATTGCGGAGGTACACTTAAAGTAATTTTTAACTATCCTGATCGGATAGTTCCTGATCGGATTTCTAGGAATTGAAGCTAAAGGTCATGGTCTATCAGGTTGGATTTCACGTGTAACATTGGGTTTCGATAGCATGTCGTGAACAGAATTCCTATCCATGTTGTATAGTTTTAATGTTCGTCATGAACTTATAAGACAGATTCAGTTTTAGACTTGTCGTTCAAAATTCGAGTGGCGGGTGTATAATAGGCTGCATTTGGTGGTTATTGTCATGTTGACAGCTAATATTCTTAGATCATGTCATATGACTCTTTCCTGTTATTTCCGGTCTTTCCAGGAAAGATACGGAAGTTGTAGTGAGCAGTGAATCTTTCGTCCGAAATCACAAAAATGAAACGTGAAAATGGTAGGTTTGGTTTTGCAGAAGGTGCGTTAAGTTTGTAGTGTAAGTAACAATGGCGGAAACACAACAGAGTGAGAATCAAGGCGTTAAGGAGGTTGAGATCGCAGAAGTAACGAAATTTCTGCAATCCCTGAATTTGCTGCTCACGGAAAATCGAGATATCTTGACGATTTTGCCAGAATTGATTCGCAAACAAGTCCACGAACTTGAAGCGCACTCAACACAAAATACCAGAACTGTCTCAGCCGATAACACTGGGTATGTAAATTAGTCGTTTAAAGGTGCAAATAACAGTCAAAGTTATCATCCAACCACTCTACTGTTAAGTTTCTCGCTTTGCAGTCACACCATCTTTCTTGACACTGTATCTTAGCACTTGCTACACACTCCAGACAGAAGTCTCCATTTAGTGACAAGAAAGGGGGTCAGAATTTCAGAATCTAGTCCGATAAGAAATGTTCCTCAGTGATCAAGTACAACACGTATTCAAATTGTTATCGCTAACCGTCTGGTAACCGAGCATTGTCCTAATGAATTAAATGCTCGGCAGTTAAAAAATTTTCGACGCGTTTCCTCTGAGTGGCTCCTTTCAGACTTCTCAGGTGTAAGCAACAAGGGTTTGTTTGGGAAATTTGAGCGACTTTAAAAAGTATGTCGGTTTTCTAGTCCACGAAATATCCGAACTTGTTTACACGTTAGAGGCCCCGAGTGTAAATATCGAGAATCGCTGGCAAGGCTCGAAAATTCGAAAATCGCGATACCTTGCCGAAAGGAGGCTTTTGGGATACTATTGTCGAAAATTCAATTTAAGGTTTCAAGGAATCTTAATTTTTTTTTGAGAAATTTGGGAAAAACGAAAACTTGCGATTTATCTTATTAATTATGCAAAAATAATGCTCGAAAATTGATCACTTTCTTTAAGCTTGTAATCAAAGACTTTTTCAACGCGAAGAAACGAAATAGATGTTGGAAAAGAGCAGAACTCTTCGTCTTTCTGTTAGTGTAAAAAGTATTACGTTATTTGATAATTTAGATGTCTAGCCGGCTTTTCAAAAATGCTATTGTGCGTGTTTTGGAAAACAACAATGAACGAATGTGTTGCCAGAAGTCAGATCCTTGCATTCGCGCAAAGATTTCTGGGATCGGCATAGGGCGAATATTGAAAGTTTCTAGCAAGAAAATATGTGGCGAAAGGTTGTTTCGATTTCCGAAAAAAAGACTATGGGGAGAGATCAGCGCTTTTTCGCCGCGGTGTGATCATAAATAGATGAAGATAATGCTGATACGAGGGAAGTGTAAGTTTTTGTTCGAATTAATCTTGCGGGGCTAATTCTTAGAAAAATCTGTAGGAGAGAAACCGATTGCAATCGTTCGGTATAAGGATTCTGGAAGGAAACAAAAATTACAATAACAATAGTCTGAGAATGATAATCAATACGAAAAATCTACCAAATTGGATACGATAAAATAACCAAGTCACAAGCATGTAATGTTTGCACTTTTCTACTGAAACCAAAACGCGAGAGACCTTAGCTGAATACGTTATTAGTGTCCTCAAACTAGTGAAAGGAATGGTACATGATTCTGCAACAATATCATGGTTACCATTTGCTCCTTCCCCACAAATATTCTTTCCGGGACCAACGTCAAAGACTTGCCAGACCTTCACTCTCCCAGCAGAAAAAACTGACGTTATTCAGTTTACTGTTTCCAGCAACCTCTTGCTGTGACCCGAAAGGTAACTACTCATTCTAAAGAGCGCCTAAAACGTTTATGCGTCTTGTCTTGGCACGTGTTAAAACAAAATACAAAGGTATTTTTACACCATTTTATAGGAAACATCTCTTAAGTTGAGATAATTAAATTGAGTTTTAATAATGGCACAAGCATTCCGATTTATTTAAAAATGAAGCAGGACCGTTGGCTATCTATCTTGCGATCTCCCACGTTTCTTGCTGATATGTTGCCCGCAACTTCTGTTGTCATAGCGCATCTCGTCTTGCCATTTCTCCAGCGATTACCGCAGCTATCTCTGCGCTAGGAGCATACAGTCATGTGCACCTGTCACTCTCGTGCGACGAAAATACCTGATGCTTTACAATTTTGCAAGGAGAGGTTTAAGTATGGCATGCAGAAAAAACGCAAAAACACAGGTTACAATCGAGGGGAGCTATGGTAGTCCACCACTTACCTGTACAGGCAGGTAGCAAATTTCTCTCGCTGTCGATATTCTCAGTGATGGTTACTGGATTTTACAAAACTTCAGTTCACCTCCCGACTACAAATTTTCAAGTCAACAAATTGGACATCGTTTAGATTTTCAATTCCTGGACCACAAGCTCCACCGACAGGGGAAGCAAAACTGCAAAATGACATTCTTATTCAACACACTTATAAAGAGATCTTTTCCGACAAAGGCGGATATCTGACACTATGCTCTTCCGGCTGAGAAACGAAATTCCAGTACTGAGCGCAGACTTGCATCATGGGTTCCACTGTTTAGCACAAACAGAGGTAACTAGCTGAAAGCTTCTGCATTAAAGCAAATATCCCTAAGCATTTTTAATGGGTGAAAGGGCTGTTTGCGATTTTTAAACAAATTTAATTTTGAGAGGAGAATACTATCATGTTATTTTCAGTCTAATGGTGTTGCATGACATTGTTCATAGAAGCTAGATTTCAGTTGAAACTTGAGCTTTTTTAAGCCTTTTGTTTGGCGTGGGACATTGTTAATCTTGAATAATGTGGGAAGAAAATACTTCTCAGGGAGATATTAATGATTTCAGAAAGAAATTATGAATAAGAGTGAATGACAGTATTTGGAAGATATTGCCCAAACCTTGAAACTTTTACAAGCAAACTCTCACAGACAAACTTTTGAGGTAATTAATCTCGGAATGAAAATGTTATGATTGGAATAATGGTAACCTTCCCTAAAGTAGAAAAAATGAAAAGGATAGTACAAATTAAATATCTTCGACCAGAGTAAAACAATGCTTGTCATGCTTCAAGTTGTTCTCTTTCCATACATCTCCTCAACACCTCACATTTCCTTTGATGCTTAGTTATGCAAATCAATGCAACGAGATCTAAAATGCGCAGTTTTGTGAAGGCAAGCTTAATTTGCTTTTTTCATATTTGGCAGTAGTAAAATAACAGTTTCCCACACCATTTATTTCCATTCGAAATCACACATACCAAGATCAGTCTTACTCTGTTGAAGTTAAAATTTATTTCGAAAGCACTCACAATAACATTTTACAAAAGGCCAAGGGAAGATCTAAACTATATCAAAACTTAAAACTGTACTTACTGACAGAAAGACGAAGAGCTGTTCTCTTGATCTAAAGTTTCAAATTTCAAATTCTTTCAATACAAGCCAAGAGGAAGTGATACATTTTCGAGAATATTTTGACATAATTAATGAGGGAAATCGCAAATTTTCGTTTCGCCCTAACTTTCTCGAAAACAATAAAGCTCTTGAAAATTTAAACTACAGTTTCGAAAGTAGTTCACTAACGGCCTTCTCTTAGCGAAGTATCGACGTTTTTAAAATTTTCAAACCTTGTCAGCGATTCAGCGCCTCCTGAGAACAAGTCTCTGTAAGAATCAAACATCTTGGGAAATGAACATTTTCAACCCCCCTGCAGTGCATGCAGGTAGGCATTCAGGGGTTATGCACAAAATGCCATTTTTAAAGGTTGCAGCACTCTGCAATTTGTGCGACTCGTGCCAAAATCATCACAAAGTGGAGATTTTGAACTACTCAGTATCCCTGCAGTACAGCAAATGGAACAGGGATTTCATTACAATCAATTTCCAAAAATTTAGCTTTTTTCTGCTATTGCGGCGACTGGGTTTTACATGTACTACTGCCGCTGACAAGTTGCGATTTCTGCTCTCAGATTCTAGGTGTTTACGAGCGTTCAATCGAGGTTTCCCCCTTTTTTTTTGGTTGTTTTTACTTCAGAATGCGCGGAAATCTTCTGACATTTATGAAAAATATCCATTTCTCGTCTTCTTTGGAGCAACCGATGGAAACTTCACGGAGAAATACAGCGTCACGCCATCGTGACAACGTACATGTTTATGACAAATGACCGGTGTGAGGATAGTTTCGTGTAGATCAATCGACTTCAACATGTTTTAAATGACATACAAGTATAACAGTGTATCTCAGAGGACTTCCGATCGCTTAAATTCCCATGAAAGAAGGTGCAGCGCTCAGAATCTAGATGATATACATACGATTTGAGGTATATGTTTGTAGTCCATGAAGGTTGATCAATTTTTTTTAAAAGATGACAACCAGAGGCGAGATTTCTCTTCGGGATATTGCTCATAAGATAACATTCTTTCAAAGCCTTGCATGTTTCATTTTTCTGAAACATTTTTGTTGACAACATTAGATGTAAATATCGCCAAATTATGCAATATCTGATTTTTGAGCTTCGTTCGCGAATTGCCCCTATGGAAAGTAGAGACAGGCCTGCAGAGATTTTTACATATTTAAAAACTAGAATATTTTAACCAGCTAGGTGGGTAGTTCAGTTCCAGAATCGGTGTACTTTTGGAGAAATTCAGATAAACGTTTTCCCTGTTTTACCCGACAACAAAAATGACCGAAACTGTACTGAGATGAAGAATCTATTGGTGTGTTCACATTCACTCCCAGGGAAAATTGAATATATCAGTATAAAGACGAATGATGTTACTATGTATGGTAGAAGTACCAATTTGTAATATTGTATTTAGCTTGAGATAGAGAAATAAACATTTCACTCTTTTTTTGCGACGTTTTTGTATGAAAATGAGGCCCCAGGCCTCGAACAAGCAGCCGTTGTTACCATGGCAACAAGAGTGCTGCGACCTTTAAAAATGGCATTTTTGTGCATACCCCTGAGTGTCTAACTGCATGCAAAATTTGAAGGGGGTTTGAAAATGTTTATTTCCCAAGATGTTTGATTCTTACAGAAACTTGTTCTTAAAAATTGTCAAGAAAACAGCCTTGCTGTTTTGAAGGGTACTTAAGCTTCCGAAATTCGTTCACTTTAAAACCAAAATAATTTTCCAAATCGCTTGACATGCAGGTTTGCATTAATTTCTCTTTGGGAACTATGTAAATTTTTTTCCTTTTCCAAGACACTCAAATAGGGCAAAATATTTCCAACTTTGTATTTTTAATCGACAAAGTGACCGTAAATACAGTGATAACTAATTTCCAAACAAGTCAATGATTGCTTGTCAGCATGAATGTATGGGAGGAGTTACGGCATTATTTGGCCTTCATTTTATATTTGAATTAAAGGCTTTGATGATTGCATCGTAATTTTCAGCTTTTAAACTTTCAACGTTGTATTTTAATTGTTCATCGTGTTCCTTGTGCCTCAACCCCCTTCCCCCCCCGCAAAGGTTGTGCAACTTTGTTTGGAAGGGGATAGTTGCTAATTTTTTCCATTGTTTCTTTTATCTGGCAAGGAGGGCGGGAGGGATGATGGTTTTCTTATCATTCGTGTCTGTGGCCTGACTTATTTCTTCAAGATTGTCTAAATGCATGCTTCAGTAACCATATTGTAACATGCAATGGGGTATTTGTTCAGGGATGAGATTATCATGTGTATCTGTAAGCAGAAATCCGTAGGGTCTCATCATTCATTGTAAACAGTTATTAAGGGTCAACGTTTTTGAAATCTCGTGTACATTCAAGCAAAAGAGGACATTTACCGTGTTCACGTAGCCTTACTAAAACACGAGAAGTGTTGGGGGCTAGAGAATTGGAGAAAGTTATGTAAACTCGATGCAGTTGAGGGTTTGCCTAGCTTTTGACCGATGAGAGTGACGATCGAAAATAATCTGTTAGTGTACATGTATCTATCTATACAGTGATAATTCGGGGAAGGTAGGAAAACGCAGAGAGGAACCGGAAACATGGATGACACAACAAGATGAAATGGAGAAGAGGTAAGTTCCATTTTCCCTTCCTACCAGAATTTCATGTTGTGATGGCCACCCACAGTTCAGAAGGGCGGATGCCGAGGTTAGATAAATTCAAACCTTTGCTGGCTACGATATACACAAAAAGATTCGGTGACCTAGTTCAGGATTGAGATCATCTTACCCAATATTCACAGAGAGCTTAAAAGCGCTCTTGGTTGCCAGTCTTTCCCTTCTAACTTTGGTTGCTTTTGATCTATTGTGAAAATATATGTTACCATTAACTGTAAAGAAAACATTTCTCTCTATGAAGAATTAGATATATGAAAATTCACATATTTGGAGGTCTTCTATTTTCTCCATACATTTTACAAAGACCTCCATATTTTCATATATCTAATTCTTCATTCACTCGGATGTTTATTTGTACCCAATTCATTGACCAGCTCCCAGTTGGCTTGTTAGCTCAATTGGTAGAGCACTGCACCGGTATCGCAGAGGTCATGGGTTCAAATCCCGTACGGGCCTGAAAATTTTTTTCAGGTCCTACTTACAACTACTAGTTTCAGTAGTGTTCTTAGCTGCGAGGATCTTCTAATTTCATTTCTCTCTATTTTAAGGTTTTATTTAGATTTTGGCTATCAGGAAACTGAGTGCCTTTTGCTGATAACATTACTTTTAAAACTTAACCGCTAAGGTCCGCTTAGTGTTATGAAGACAGTTCTTTCCTTTTTTAGAATAATTTCATTAACAGAGGAGTTAAAAGACGCCAATCAGAAAATAGAAGACCTCCAAACTAAAATTAAACAGAATGAAAATAACTTAGAAATGCTGAAAGAAAGAAAGAGGTTTGTATCTGTGGTTAAATTTAGAGAAATAAATCTGCTATTCCATACCAATAAGTGAGTATATGTCAAATTCATGAATAAATAAATTAGTAGATAAATAAGAATAGTAAAAAAGTGCCAATGAATATTTCAGAATTTAATCGAATCGTGTTTCCCGTTATTCGGTCAGTTTTGGAGGCAGGGAAAATGGGATAATGATTATTTCATGTAATTATCTTCTTTTAATTTTTCTATCACGCCCGGTAAACGTATCAACAAGTAACTAAAAGTCGTAGAGAACATTTTCCATTCTGGAATGCGACTGAGATTTCTTTGTCACTCAGTGTTTGGTACTGACAAATTAATTTTATAGCAATATGGTCATGAAGTTGGTTCTAAATAAACCCGTGAAGTAATGAATAAATGGTTAAGAATATATGAAAGTCATATATTTGAACTGCGGATAAAGACGTTAATGAAAGTGATCCTCGCAGTAATGTGCACTACTTAGGCATTTATTCATTACTTCACGGGTTTATTTAGAACCAACTTCATGACCAGCTCCCAGTTGGCTTGTTAGCTCAGTTGGTAGAGCGCTGCACCGGTATCGCAGAAGGTCATGGGTTTAAATCCCGTACAGGCCTGAATTTTTTTCAGGCCTTATTTTCACTACTGCCTAAGTAGTGCACATTACTGCGAGGATCACTTTCATTAACGTCTTTATCCGCAGTTCAAATATATGACTTTCATATATTCTTAACCACTCAAAATAATCTTGAAAATTCTTTTCTGATTTTCTTAAAGGCCGATTCGTTTATTATCCTTGTATAATAGGCCTTTTTCTTCAGGTGTCATTCGAAGCTGCCATCTTTAGTGCAGGGGAAGATAATAAATGCCCTATATTTCATTCAGCTCAACAGCGGAATATTTAGGAATATCTTCCATTTTTCTGTCTTCGTCCTTTGTTTTCAGTCGGAAATATTTCTTGCAATCTAACATTCCGTTCAGTTTTTGGAGGGTGTTTTCTCTTTCATCTTATTCTTAAATGAATTCTTCTACAGAGCAATCAGAAGCAAACTATCCTCAGGTATCGTTTCAAGGGCGCGGTTTTCTTTATCAGTAAATTCTTTCATTATTAGTGAAACTTTTTTCGTTGGCTCTCTTTACTAGCTACGTCTTTACTCTATGCAAATTTTTTTCTTCATCGTGATCTTCGTGGTAAATCTCGTTACCTCTGAAATAAAAAGGCTTACGCAACTTTTTAAAGGAGCTTGAATAGAAGAAAGTGAGGGAATGAGTAAATCATTGAGTTTGCGAATGAACCGATAGGTGAATCAATCAGTTAAAGGCTGTCGATAGATACAAACATATCAACACACCCGTTCAAACGGCCGGGCTGTTAGACGTGTAAGCAGACAGAGAGAAGAAAAGTGGAATCAATATGCGACCCCGGTTGATATCAATTACCAAAATAATAACATTTACAATAAATAATGGACTAATTATTTTAAAAATGCTGCCCTGCATGTAGAGCTGCCCTGAATAAGTGGTACTGTGAAAACCTAAAGTACTTTAATTCATCTTTGTATTCATTTTTACTTTTATCAGGAACCAGGGCGATGCAAACTATTTTACAAGCAAATACAAAGACCTCAAAGCAAAATCAAGAACAACGCACAAAGAGTTAATGGCCAAGCAAGAAAGGTTGGCCTGGTTTTTTCCACCTACAAGTCACTATTAGTTACAAAGTAATAGTTGTTAACTGTTGAAAGGAATGAGTTAAAAAAAAAAAAATTATTAACTACTTAGCTTTGTTCGGCAGGTCGCCAAGGGACCCGGTTTTGCCTGCCTAGTTTGTAGCGAATTATCTGGCACTTGTTTAATCTACCAGTAATTTAGTATCAAATTCAATCATTTTTAAAAAATTATCCATAATTTTTTTTAAGATTATTTATATTTTGAATCCTCAAGAGGAACAAATTGAAAAAATTTGAAGAACTGCTAAATAGCTAAAAACGCCCTACAACAAAATATTCCTATTGAGACACTGATAAATTTCGTGACGCGTCTTGTAGAATTGAAGAGCTTGAAAGAAAACTGGATTCAAAGCAGGAGGAATATGACAAAGAAAAAGAACAAATCACGCAAAAATTGGCTGAGAAAGAGAACATGTAAGTAGAATTCGACAATGTGTAAGATGATATTGTTAAATAGTTTATGTCTTGGCATTTTCGTAACATGTATATGTTTTGATTAAAAAAATCATATAGACATTACCTGAAAATGAAATGGATACACATATAAATGTTGATAAATGAGTGACATTTAGTGTTAACAAGCACGAGTAAATTATCAAATACAACAAAATTGCACGAGCCCGTGGGGCGCTATTTATAATTTGCACTCGTGTTTGCACCACGTACTTCTTTGTATTATTCCCTAAATTAGCATTATCTCCTCCTCTCGATTTCGGCCGTGATATAATGATTAAATAGGTCGACTCTGTATCCAAAATGTAATAAACACATTAAAAATTGAGGTACTTCGAGTGCCCAACCAATTTCTGATATTTTCTTTCAGAGTGAAAGAACAGAAAAAAGAGATAAGACTCTCAAAGGAAGAACACAAGAAAACATTTGAAGCCCAACTAACGGGGCGGCATGAACTGGAGGCCAGGTATAGTCGGATACTATAAAGCATTTGATTAAGATTGTGGAGGAAGGAAAGGCAGCGTAAATGCTATGTGGCAGTTACATTTTTAGGAGTAGATAAACTATTGCTCAGTTCCGTAGTGGAAAAGCTCTTACCGTGACGTTTTGTTCTATTTAAAGAGTTTCAGAGCTTGATAAAGAACTTGCTTCCAAGGAGGATGTCTTCAAGGAGCAAAAGCAGCGCCTGGAGAAAGAACTTGCGGAATGTGAAAAAACGTATGACTTTTCTTTGAAGTTACTTACTCTTTTAGATATCGGTCATTATCACATAAGGATTTCCGGCCCTGAGAAAAGCCGTAACAACACACGTGAAAAATGTCGCATTTTTTCACGTGTGTTGATATAGCCAATCAGCTGCTGACACGTCACTCGCCTTTGGCGTCACTCGGTCAGGTTGATGAATGAACGGCAAGGTTTTCACGATTCTCAATACAAGTTGTTTGTCGGAACCTTCTTGAATTATGGCGGCTAAAACACTAAAAATTCCGTATCGCTGACAGACAGGAAGGTTCAAACTTTCCTAGAAGGAGAAGAAAACCAATATACTAAAGGAAAAACCGAAAGTTACGTATTCAGTGGCTTTGGTGTCGGCATTTCTTTCGGCTGAGAATGAAAATAGACAACTAGAAGATTTGCTACTGACCGATTTTGGCCATGTACCTGAAAGACTTCTTCTGTCGGCAAGGACAAAGTCAATGATAGAGAATTTAGTAAATTAAAAATTACGACCATTGTTGTTTTGTAATCATGATTCAACGCATTTTTCCATCTTAAGAGTTAGCGCCAACGCACTTTACGATTGTTATTTGGGGATTGTCGATTCATTTATTTTCATTCATCGATGAAGTCGGCTTTTCTTGTGAGTAAAGGGCTATTATGTTTATATGATAAACAAAATGATACATGGCTGCTTGTAGATATGGAATTTCTCTTCTCGTGTGTAACTCGACAGCTCACGAGTGAGCGCAGCATTTTTGCATCTGTAAGATGCATAAATGTAACTAGTGTAAGCGTGGAGAAGCTTGCAAGAACTCAAAACACGGCTGTGGGGATTTTTTTGGCAAAATAGGAAATACTTTTAACTGGGGCTATCTTCAACTGAAAATAATATGGTTATCGAACATTTGTTCTTCTTAGAAATGAATGATTGTTTGCATGCATATCTTCAATGCAACAGCTCCTTTATTCTACCCTTTCTGATCTCTTCGATTTAGGACGTATGTGAATACGCCTGGAACCTACGCGCGCCCATGTATTATTCTCTATTTATTTAACACCTGGGAGGGGAGGGGGTGAGGGATTTGGAGAAGTTTGGTTGAATCACGGTAAAATTAACCTGATGCCAACCTTTATACTCTCTTGGCGACAACCGATCCTTCTCCCTCTTTCCGCCAGAAAACCATGTAATCTGCCAGAAAAATCATCCAACCCCCTCCCTCCAGGCGATAACCAATGATTGCTCCCTTACAAAGTGATATTAGTTGCACAATGTTGAAAAAGGCTACTGCGTATGACTCTATCAGTCAACGAATTCTGCTGTTGGGTTAATTTTTCGTGTAGAATAAAATGTTTAGTATCGCAACCGTCCATCTGGATAGTTACAGGCTATCAACGATTAGAGAAAAAAATTGTTACATTGAGTCCGGCAATTGAACATCCGAGAAACCCCACGGCGACGAAGAGAAAGTAAACATGATAGAAAATCAGCATTCAGCAAAGCGCAGTGCTTTACTAAAAAAGAAAGGGGTTTTCCAATTTTTTTTCCTAGTTTTAGTCGCGACCAATGGTTTGCAAGACAAGTAGAAATTCATGGATAATTATTTCCTCATTTTGCTTTTGGACACATATTAGTTAATTAATAGGGAACTTTATCTGCGCATTTTTTGCATATTTTGACATCTTTGCTTGAGCTGTCTCGACGACGTCGTCCAGCTACGATCAATCAACGCAGGCAAGGCGCTGAAGTTCTTCTTCTTCTTCTTCGCCTTTTTTCGTTGGGCTCAGGTGGAGGAGATAGCTAAACTCCATATCAAAATTTGGAAAAATTTTCTCCATCTTTAATATTTGTTACGTGTACCCGAAACTATTTTGTGAAACTATTTGAGCGCTTTGGGTTTGAAATGTTTTCAAATTGTGGCGGAAAACAAAAAAGCGTGACGTCACAACTGTGTTTACGTACAATCGCTCTGACGAAGGGCTAACGCTCGAAATGTCAGCCTTTAAACTCTTTACGGTGACCAATTTACGTTTTCAACTCAGTTGTTAACACTAAATTACCTGTTATACTCTCCCACCGACGCAGCACCACAGTTTCTTCAGAAACTTACCCCCTTCATTCATTTGTGTTTACATACTCTCTTCTAAACTGGTTAGCCAACCAATGAGAGCGTGTGTACTATAACAACTATTTAATAACAACAAGGGTCACCTTATTTCAGTTTGCAGAAGAGAAAAAATTTTGTCCAGTGGAGCTAAGGAAAAGACCGATAATGACAAGCTCAAGAAGAAAATTCTTTAATAATTTTCTTTCAGAAGTTTTATCAATGCGGTGTTTCCAAGCAATACTGAGATTTTCTGTTTTATTGCAGACTTCGTTCAGAGAAATTAGAACGAGAAAGGGCGAAAAAACATTATGTTGATGAGTTGAGAGACAAAGAAACAAAGATGAGAACTCTAGGAGCGAGGTTCGTCTGATACGAGTGGCACCACTTAGTTGATTATATTGCGAAAATGATAAACGAAGACTTGTGTAATACTTCCATAGCCTTGTGATAGCAATATGATCCAGATAAATTTCAGATTTAAGAGGAAAAACATGTTTCAGCATGACCTCATGTCATCTTCAGTTAAATGTGTTGAGCCGTTGACTTTGTTTTTACACGTTACATGCAGTTACATGTAGATACGATGTCAAGTTTGATACGAAAACAATATTTGAAATCAGTATCGCCACAATGTTAAAGTAAACAATACGCGCGCAAATGTAACACGGGATTTACATTCCGCACAAGTACAACGATAAATAACTAGGTATAATAGGGCATTAGTGAGAGATCCAATTCCAACTTCGGATGCCTTTATCAATTTACTTGTACGGGATGTATATCCCGTTACTTTGGTGAGACATCTTGTCATTATTTCTGTTGGGTGGAGGAATATTCGGGCAAATGTTCTCATGATAACAGGCTCTTTAGTTCTTTTTATGTTCTTCAACTGAGTGTTTTAAGATTCTAGACTCGACCAAGACAACTAATTCTCTAAAACCAAAGAGGCGTTGAGCTGAATACTCAGATGCAACATAACTGTAATTTTTTGTTCGCATAGATTCAGTTTTTAAGTGTTACATTTGCGCGCGGTTTTGTTTGCTTCACGATAGTGAACGATATGGCTATTGTACGTTGTGGTTATATTTTTAAAACAAGATTTCGTGTTGCTGTGCGTCTGTTCTATAATAGATTATAAATGACGTCAACATGTGGTAAGTATAAGTAGAGGCACACAAAGGACAGCCAGCCGAGTTTGTCGCTGATATTTTCTTTTAATTTTTATAGATATAACCTGAACGAGCTTGAACGAGTGTAAAAGAATACATTATATGTTAATTTTCAAACAGGAACGAGAAGTTAAGTGCTGATGTGAAGAAAAAGGACATGGAATTGCGTCATTACATTGAGAGGTAAGAAAATGAGTACTCAATTATTTTAGATTAGTTACGTTGTATTTATGCTCAACAGTTTGGATGAAATAGAGGTAACATAAGTTCAATAATACATTGTTTAGGAGTGCGTGGCTGTTTGTTTTAGCTTATGTTAGTTACTTTTGATGTTTTTTTTTCCTTTTTGCATCATATTGTACCAGGCTAGGTGGTAAAAGTAGGCGACTTACTTCTTTGCTTCATAGAAACATGATATAGTGAAAGATATATATTGGAAATTGACATTAAAGGATCTATAACCTCACCTTTTTTTATTAAATTATGCGTTAGTATATCACTATCTGCACTTGTAATTTTTTTTTACATTCACATGTTGCAACACGCTAATCCAGCAATTTTGGCCCAATTTTCGGGTATTTCAGTTTTCAACGCCAAGAAGTAACTTATAAAAGTGACTTGACCCTAAAAGAAACGGAAATAAGCAAAACCAAGGAAAGGTAGAGTCACTTTGTTGATGTAATAGGTATCATGTGATGTTTCAAAAATTGAATAACCCGCAGACGGCAACTTGTATGATTTTTAATATATTATGTCTTTTGGATGACGCTAAATAAGGGTTCCTCACATGAACTAAGTGCCCCACACCTCATAAAGCTTTTCAATACTCTTAAATGTAGAATAGAAGTACTCAATTGCTTGTTAAGGTTGTTACCCATACTCAAAGACGTGCCCTATGTCACTCAACGCGTTTGCGAAATACTCATGATCAAATGGTAAAAGGTTTGAACATGAAATTGACAATCTTTGGTGCAGTCTGATTGACCGGGTGTGGGTGGTCCTGTTTCCATCTTCTTTGACTGAAAGGCACTAACTGACTACGAACATTGTATCAAGATTGTCTCACAGAGAGAAAGAAGTCAAAACTCTTATACACGAGGTCCAGCGGTACAAGTCCAGGTATTATAGACAGTTTATTAATAGCAGTTTGTCATCTTTACATGTGCAATGTACAAACTTCATATATGGCATAATGACTGACGCCAAACACGAGCATGATTTAGCACTATCTTCCAAAAACGCTTCGACAAGGCATTCCTATTCCAAAATCTATTTCAACGGAAACTCCCAGTAAGTCAATTGTCCGCATGAAAATACACGTTTACTTTGGGAAATCGTCATTTTGTGATTTACAGCGGGTGAAATTTGGAAAAATTCTCAAAGTTTCAGATCATGGTAAGAGTAGGCCCCTACAACTATTTATCATATGACCCGTAAACCATGCGCAAAACGCACGGCCTGACGGGTTGACGTGACCCGGTCCGGAAAAAAACCGTCCAGCCCTGCAATCACACGGCTTTGCTGCAAAAACTTTAAGATATCGTCGTCGTCCTATTTCGCTGATGTAAAACTTTTTGCGATAGGTCAAGTTATGCAATATATGATACTGGGAAAGATGCACCTGAAATGATCATTGATCTTAATGGATCGCTTGGTTTCCGATATTTTCTCAACAGTATAAATGTTTATTACAACAAATTTCGACGAAAAGTACACGCTCCAGAAATCGCACAATGTTTAAACTGGACTGTTTTCTCTCTCTTTTAGGCTTGCTAGTTTGTGTGAAAAACGAGTAAATCAAGATCAGAGAAGTGTGGAGAATGTTCTTGCATCAAACCGGCCGTCTGACGTGGAAAGGGATTTCAAGGAATTTTTTGATGGTTCAAGAGAAGATGCCCGAGACGTAATTCAGTCTATATATGGATCAGAAGAGAAAAAAGACGTTCATATCTATTATCCAAGAATAGTGTGCACGATATTAGTGGTAAGTGTAAGTATGATTGTGCATAACGTTCACATTTTTAGTTGTTGGTATAAATTTTTTAATCAAAGAAAAACAACGAGTTTAGGAGTGATGATGTTTGCGACGACGATTTTGAGTAAGAAAATGATTTAATGGTGGTAGTAGGTTGCAGATGCAGATGCAGTATGGTGAGCCGCTAAAGTAACGATGACATTTTCCCGCCCAGTCAAATAAATACGATTTTGCCATGCTACGAGGCCCGGTGACGTAAGACTCGGAGACTCTTTGCAAGCTCATGTAAAAGTGACCTTGACTTTCTCCAGCTTGAATTCGATACTTTCGATTCCTTACTTTATCTTTATGTCCCTGTTAAAGATTTTGCAGGGCCCATTGTAATCAAGTCCATATGATGTTGGTTCAGCCGGGATAATTAGTGCAAAGCTACATGGTCACATTGCACTGTCACTGTAATCGATTGCATTATAATTGACAGAGAGGAATTTATTTTCAATACTTATTACAGGCTGCATATGAGGTCACTAAGAATGTGAAGGAAGCCGTACTCGATTTATTCAAAGTGTCGACTAAAAAGCTGATTTTGAAGGCTCCGGAAGTTGGTCAAAATTATAATCTCACTAGGATGGTATGGAAGAAAAAGTAACTGTTTAGTCTCTAAGTCGACATTCTCTTATTAGTGGCTTAACAGTTGTCTCTGTATAGTTTCTTTCTGCTGTGATAAATCTATTTACCAAACGTAATCCTTAACCTATTCCGTGTGTTGATTAAAAAGTTGTATCGATTTTTCTTTAGAAAAGGATTTAATTCCTTTAGGGAGGTAGCTTTGGTTTTTTTTTCCTAATCAGCCTAATAGGAGTGATTGAAAGGTGACTCAGGAGATCATTCTTATGAAATTCAAGCGCCTAAACCTAACTTTTGAAATTGTCTTCAAATTTACCAGAAATTCGACAATGTTGTGCATGCCATCGGTTTAAAATCAAATTGATGACCAAACTCAAGGCCACGACGCGTGGTCCATAAACAGCTACTGCTCTGGTCATCGCAAGAAAATTATAGCCGAAGAAAGAATACCGCTTAATATTATAACAGATTGTCAAGAGATGGAAAGGGTATAATTTGACCAATTGTGTTTTCATTTCAAGGATGACAATTTTGTTTTCAATCCAATTACCATCGATGTTTGTGACAAGTCAGAGGAATCGACTGACGTCATCGATGCCCTGCTGAACTCGTTGAAAGAATCTGCTCATATATGCAACCTTAAATGCCTAGAAAATGTAAGTTTGTTTCCTATGATTTTTTATATCTGCGTTTTCTTTAGTTCACCTTTTAAAGATCAGTTAAGTGATTTAGATGGGAATGAGGAGACTTCCGTATTATTGAAATAACATTGAACACTACTGATAGAGAGAAACAGTACTGTGCACAAAATAGACCATAGATGTTCTTTGTAACCCATGCTATTGACAATGGTGTTTTTGAGGAAAACACATTTCCGTGACGCCTTTGACAATTTCTGGTCAGTACCGAGCCAATTTAGATAGAAACTACGCGAAACGTAAATATATTGCCACTTTAAACCCTACCTTACTTTGTTACATTAGCTTTTGCTACTTTCGCTTGCATGCTCAAAAGCATGATACGCTCACTGCAGGCTAACAAAGCACACTCAGGGTGCGCAAACATGTATTCCATCTATAGAACAAAGACGGACACACTTTAATTTGTTTTCGAGAAGTTGAAACACTAACCCTTTTACATTTTGAGACTATGTGGAGTCAAAAGAAAGAAAGAGAATAGAATATAGCCTTTCGTGTAGCTAGGAGAGGAGAGGGGTAGTTGAAATTTCTAAAGCCAGGTTTCTACTACAATTGTAGGCGTCTTTGATCGAGTTTCAACTCAGGTAGATATTTTTCTACTTTGTGCTTAACATAAGGAAAGCTTACGATGTCAAAAAGTCAAACCTACAGACTTCACAAACGATGTTGATAATATAAATTGGCCACCGTAGAGAGTTTCTAAGATTTGTGCGCATAGAAACTCTTAACGATGGCCAATTTACACTATTAACTCAGTTGATAAAAACCAAATTATCTCGTTATACTCCTCCACTGACGCAGCGCCACAATTTTTTAGAAACTTGCCCCTTTTATACTTTTGCTGGTAGCTTTTCAGTCTAAAAACAAGATTGGAAGGTGACATGTTCCGTGCAATTCGGCCAAATTGTGGCTGATGAAAACCTGCAATCTTTTTAAATGACAATTAGATATTAAACTACTCAAGGGGCTGCGTTTTGTGAATGAACGACAGTCGAATTCTCAGGAACTGTGAACTATCACTGCTGTGTCTTTCCACTCGACGCATCGGAGAGGATATCGGAGCAAGCGAAAATCACTAACTGAAAGATTTGCTACGGGCCGATTTTAGCCGTGTACCTGAAAGGTTTCATCTGTCGTTAAGGACTAATTCATTAACTGAGAATTTTTTATATTGAAAATTAGGCCCATTTTCCATTTTTTGTTTTTGTCGAGCCTTTTATTTTCATTCATTAATAAAGTTGACTTTTATTGCCGGTAAAGGGCTATTGTGTTCATATGATAAACAAAATAATTCATGGTTGCTTGTAGATATGGAATTTCTCTTGTCGTGTTCCACTCGACATCTCACTCGTTCGCTTCCCTAACTCGTGAGCTATCGAGTTGAACACTCGAAGAAAAATTCCATATTAAAGCGCGCCCACGTATTCTTTATTTATCGTGTGCTGTAAGATGCAATAATGTAACTAGTGTAAGCGTGGAGAAGCTTGTAAGAACTCAAAACATGGCTGTGAGGATTTTTTTTCGGCAAAATAGGAAATACTTTTAACTGGGGCTATCTCTAACTGCAAATAATATGGTTACCAAACATTTGTTCTTATTAGAAATGAATGGTTGTTTGCATGCATATCTTCAATGCAACAGCTCCTTTATTCTACCCTTTCTTCTCTCTTCGATTTAGGACGTACGTGAACACGCCTGGAAAATATGGAATGAGTGGTATAAAGAGAATTCATCATTCACACTCGCACCTACTCAAGAAGTACTAACAGAACTCATTAGGAGTGGCTACATAGAGGCATGCTTACGTTTAGCATGGAGAATGGTTACACAGCGGCCACCCTTGCGACTGGAATACAATTCCTCCATTTTCGATCACCACATTCATAAGAAAGCCAAGGGCGATACATCACAGGAAGAAATTACGTGTTATCTGTGGCCTTGTCTCTTTGATGGAGGAGCAAAACTTATCTGTCCTGGATTGGTTCTGTGCAAAATGTAACGAAATATATTAACATGTATATAATGTATGCCAGGCTTAACAGAAAGCTGAAGGGAAGAAGAACAGTCATCTGAATTACCAAACTTAGTTACTTCACGCACTTCATCGGGTGAAGCAGCTGCAAAGAACTGTCAGCGGTTGTGAATGATGGACAGACTTTTTCAGAGAGGAACAAACCAGGATCTGAACTGAACTATCAGTTGCCCCACCTTCGACCCCACCGTAACCAGTATTCTACCAGTATCTTTCCAAAAGAACCCGAATTTATTTGAATTGATTTAGGGCTGTAATTACGGCGAGATCTTCCATAAACTGAACAGTTTTTGAGCAAGTAAATAGCAGTCAACATAGAGGTAATACAAATTAAAGAGAGAGGCTTCACGTAACATTTTCATTTGCCTAACGATAAGGCTTCAACAAACTTTAAAACATTATTTTTACAAGTATCTGTTACAATCTAACACCTGTCAATTAGAGAGCGCGTAAGAAGAAAAAGCGCAAGTATACTTTTGAAAAAATAACGGAACTAGTTTGGCAAGGACTGTCACGATGATGTTTTCTTAAAAAAAAGTCAATGATCTTACAGAAAGTAATGTTCACTTTCATCGACGACTAATCAATGTTCAAAGATTTACCTCTGTTCAGTAAATGGCACGAAAAGTAATTGTAATTCAATTTTTTTATTTTGAAGTTGTGAGAATTTGCTCGTTTGTTTACTGCAATGGCGTGTGTAAATCTGGTCTTTCCTCCACAAAAACTAAAATTCGGATGAGGGGATTCAATGTGACTTTTTCTCAATGAATTCCTTCGGTTTCTGTCATGCAATTTATGGTACAAATATCTAAATTGAACGGAGTTGGAAAGACTCACCGAGAACGTCTTTGTGGGAGACTCAGATATTAAAATAATGAAATTCCATCGATTAATTCAACTGTAACCAAATACCCCACTTTTTAACTTTCTGGGTACTTTTTGTGAAGGATTAAAATTGATTACAGACGGTTTTTAGGCCGCTTGTCGCTTGTCAACCAATTTGATTACACTTTTGCTTATACAAATTCGTTTCGAAACCAATATTTCTGTCTCAACCAAAGCGATTTGAGAAAGGGAAAAGAGAGGATTAATAAGTCATTTATCGGCTTGAGGTAGTGACCGACATCTTTTCTTAAAAATACTGCCCGGCCGGAAAACGAGATATATTTATGAAAAATGGCAAAGAAGCTGGGGATGTACTCGGTGACTCACGGAAGCATTAACGTGCCCGTGGGTAGAGATAGGAAAATACGGACCGCGCTAAGAACCAATCAGATAACAGAATTCGTTACCGTGCCCTCTGAGAAGAAAATTACTTGTTCTTATCGTTGATTCACAGTTAAATTGGAAGAAGAAACATATTCACGAAATCAATTAAACAAATTTTTTAGCTTTCTAGGTAAGCAGAGACATTTTGCTAGTAATGATATACTTTCTCAATTATTTTCCTCTTTACCAACAAATCCTTTCCTTGCATATGGCCTAGTAGTCTAGGGAAATACCTCTGCTTGAACTCTTTAGCCTTTGCAATATTTTAAAAAAAGCAGCAGTGCAGACAATTACATTCTCAAAGCGTGATCCACATTTCCACACCTTTGTTCTCTGTTGGGTTAATTTATCGACATCGTAATTATCCATACTGCTCTTTTCATGTATCAGTGCCATACTAATTTACTACCTAGAGCTTTGCATAACTTCTTTGTACGAATATCACCGATACATAATTATATTTCTAGACTAGCATCAAAATCGTCACATTACAGAAATCCCATCAGGACTAATTATTGAAAACACAAGTTGTAATTCTACTGTCCGTCAATTTAGAACAGTCTAAATGGGGAAATAAAAAAAACAGTTGTTATCGTTTAAGAATTAATCAAAGAACACATGTTATCACATAAACTGCGGTGTTATACAGGGATTTCCGGCCTTAAGAAAAGCCGTAACAACACACGTGAAAAAATATCGTATTTTTTCACGTGTGTTGATATAGCCAATCAGCTACTGACACGTCACTCGCCTTTGGCACCAATCGATCAGGTTGATGAATGAACGGCAAAGCTTTCACGATTCTCAATGCAAGTAGTTTCTCGGAGCTTCATCGAATTATGGCGGCTAAGACACAAAAAAATCCGTATCGCTGATAGACAATGAGGTTCAAACTTTTCCCGAAGGGGAGGAAAACCAATATATTAAAAAAAGACTGAATGTTACGTATTCAGTGGCTTTGATGTTAGTATTTCTTTCGGCTGAGAATGAAAATCGACAACTGGAAGATTTGCCACCAGCCGATTTTGGCCGTTTGCCTGAAAGACTTCTTCTGTCGGTGAGAACAAAGTCAATAAATGAGAATTTGGTAAATTAAAAATTACGACCATTGTTGTTTTTGTAATCATGATTCAACACATTTTTCCATCTTAGGAGTTAGTGCCAACGCATTTTACGATTGTTATTTGGTGATTGTAACTCACTTATTTTCATTCGTTAATGAATTCAGCTTTTCTTGTCAGTAAAGGGCTATTGTGTTTATATGATAAACAAAATAATACATGGTTGCTTGTAGATATGAAATTTCTCTTCTCGTGTTCAACTCGACATCTCACTTTTCGCTGTGTTCACTCGTGAGCTATCGAGTTAAACACTCGAGAGAAATTCCATATCTACGCGCGCCCATGTATTATTCTCTATTTAAGTAATTATTTTAGAGCATTTCAGTGCTATACTCCATAATTTCAGCTCTTTTTCTTAAAGTTAAATCATTGTAAATTGTGTCAATTATCATCTAGCGTTTTTTCCACTCTCATTTTCCTTTTCCTTAATTTGATTTTATATTTAATTTCCCCTATATATATATATATATATATATATATATATATATAATATAACATCACAACCCAATGTAAATGTATTATGTCAACAATCAGCTCTATTAGTCTACCGCTATTTCTGAGTGTTTTTTTGCTTAATTGCTGTTAACTCATGTTATCTATTAACCTGTACTCTGTCGTTCTCAAGGAAAATTAATGGTTGGCTGTTGTTGCTCATCAAATAGTCTAGGCTTATCTCATCCTATCTCACTTAAATTAATCAAGTGAAATCTAACCATTAGATGGACGTCTTAGAAAATTCACTATTTTGTATTATAACATCAGCACTACCTATAACTCACTACTTATTCATGAAATCAAGGCTTCTATCCGTCCGCACAACTTACTGAAATTAAAGTCATAATTTCAAAGGCTCTTTTTTTGTTGTACATACATTTGCTTTGAGAAACACATTGTTAACAGAAAAAGTCCAGCGTGGTTTGAGCTTGATTACCACTGGAAATATCCAGGGCTGTGGCGGTTATTTCGGTTCCACCGAAGCAAAGGCTGACTTCAATATTTCTGTCTTTACCTTTCCATGTATCAGGGGACTGGACGACGACTCTTCCAATCTTGGTTACTTCAGGATCGGTTGTAAATTTGACATTGGGATCACTTGAGATATAAAATGAATATTCAATTTTGTCTTCCTCCGGATAAAGGGGTGAAAATGACAGTTTTATTTTTTGTCCACATTGTACACGTTCATTTTCCTTTATAAAACACTTGAACAGATTGTTGCATTTCTCCACTCCATGCACAATTATCTTCTTTTCCTCAGGGTGAACACCTTTGATGAAGTCTCGTGCACAGCCAGAACCATATGTCGTAGCCACAACTCGTTCGGTTATCTTCGTAGGGCTCTTGCCAAACATTACAGCACCTTGGACTACTGCTGTGGTTGCGTGATGTGGAACGAGCACTCTGAAACCACGTTTTGAAAACTCCAACTTCATTTCCTGTTGTAAGAATGCAGCTTCAGCAAATCCACCAACGAGCAGCATGGTACGTACCTTTGAGAGCTCTGGTTTTCTTACCAGAGTTTTCAAATGTTGTTTGATTTTTTCTACGACAGGAGAAAATAACGTCTTCATCATCCCAGAACTAAGCGACAGATATTCATTATTTTTCAGCTTTATTTCTGTCTCCCCATAGCGTTTCAACGCTGAACTCCCGGTTTCATTTACCAAGGTCACGAAGCTTCTTGGTGGTCGGATATTCGTCATCAAACCACTGTCTAAGATTCGTTTTCCCCTTTTTTTCCCCTCAAATTCGTTCATCAAACAGAGCCAGTCGGATGGAAACTGCTTCTGGTAGTTTTGAAGCCTTTGTCTACCCAAAATCTCCTCCAATAGATTTTCGAACCGTTGATTGACGTATATTCCACCATAAGGACCTCCGGTAACCTTGTGGATCTCTTTTATGGTACCATCGTCTTCTATCATGTGCACTGTTACATCGAGTGTGCCCCCTGGAGAAAAAAGTAAAATAATGTACTCAAGCGATAGTCTTCGTATGAAGTATGTAGTGGGTGTTTGTTGCATTTACTTTCTTGTGCCCATAATAAAAAGGGCAATGGAAGCAATAAGAAAATTGTCAATCGTTAACTAAAGTGCAGGATCGCATTAATAGGGGTAATCTGCTGTCTCAAATTTTACTTCGGAGACAAATGTTAAAGTCAGTCTTATCTTTTCTTAAAACTCGTTTCCAATTCTAATATGGTCGTCTTCCTTAAAGAAAGTATTATGATATCTTGAAAAATTTAATGTACTGATCTAGATGCAATGTTTTTTTCAAGGTCTGTTTTAATTTTTCCGTGTCCTTAGGTTCCTCTTACCTCCAATGTCAACAACCATATAGTGTTTGTCTGGTTGAGCGAGAAGGCCTTTCACTGATTTGACACCAGTTTCGGACTGAAACTCATTCAAATTCTTCTCCTGACAAAAAATTGCTGCAGCTTCTGGTTCCAATGCAATCGTCAATTGATCGGCTTTGGCTGTTGATCCAACTTTTGCCTAATGGTTAAAATTTTCAAGTATTTTTTAAGGTGTCATAGAAGGAAAAAAAACATGGCTTTTACTATTAAAAAAGTAAAGATCTATCAACTTCTGAAAATTTTCTTTTGGAATCTTTTTTACTTCAGAAGATATAAAGTAAAAAATAATTTGAGACTAGAACGGAAGGCGCGAGATTGATGACACATTATGTCAACTTCATTCCGTCACCTAATTAACGATTTCCACTATTGATTTACAATGCACCCTGTTTAGTTTTCGAAAACTCTCATTCGTTGTAATCTACTTACATTAGTTCTTTTCGGAAGGATGTTTTCTAGCTGTTATCAAGTCCAAAAGCGACAAGTCCCTTTTACCGTTCCGGAAAAAGGAAAATTTATTCGCAGTTTCATCGGAAACACCTTTCATATCAACACAAATAGCTACATATTCACGCGTGTTTACACTTGTACGTAACTTTCTCGACCTAACTCTTTACAAATTGTGTTTACTCTTTCCTTTTTTAGCGCGCATTAGCGCCGACAGGCAAAACAGCGTCAAATGGCTTGCTTCAATGTGATTGGCAAACAGCCTTCACAGGCGTGAAGTGGAAACACATTCGAGTAAACCAAACACCGATACCCCAAAAACTATTTCAAATCGCTTTTCCTGGTAAAGTGTTTTGGCTTTAGTTTTGCTCTTTGAAAAGTTTATTCTCGGTTGATATCCGGTCAATTATCTTACAATTTGGAAATTATATCGGAAACGTAATGTACCTCAAAAGAGTGTCCCGGATTTCCGTTTTTTTTCTTTCTCTCTTGAGGTGTAGCATATACAGAGTAAACTTTGTTCGAAAGTGCTACTTTGAAGCTTAAGAAATGATAAAAAAAACGGGGTGTTAAAACATAGAAGCCAGACGTTCTTTTTTAGCTTAACATGTGCAAATCACGTTTCGATAAAAAAGAAACGTGTTGATTACAATGCGTCGTCAAATAATATTATCTTATCAACAGCCGAATTCACCGGAACATGAAGATCGCTAGGGATGACAGCGCGGCAAAACTCGGCTGCAGTGACAGATGTGACTTTCCACTCCACGCATCGGAAAGGATATCAGGGCAAGCTCTTATTTTTTCACTCGAAGGGTGGCCGATGTAGTTTCTGAGGCTTGGACTTCAGCTTGATCATGGTCGCTTAGACACCGTCATGATCAGAATGAATTTTAACAGTTATGCCAGTTTGGTTATATTTTTCATCATTTCTGTTTTGTTCTGTTTTTTTTTTGAACACTGAACTTTATATACTGTATGAGTGTTAGCTGTTTGATTTTTATTTCCGTAAGTAAGCTTGTAATCTAACGCAGGAAGCGGCTGTCGGTCATTCAAAAAATACTCGCCTTGAACAGTTTGTTTTCCACCTTGTCATGTGAAAAGACTCGCGTGTTTTTATGAGCCATAATTCGGCTGAAGTTTACTCAACATTTACGTTTACTGAACATTTCACTTTAAAATTCTGTATTAGAGACTTAAAAACTTCAGGCAAAAATGTTTAATTCGACCTGCAGAAATTTTTTAGTTTGTGAATAATATTCATAGAAAAATTACTCTGTTCTGATAAATGCAGTTTTCAGGTAATTCAGTGCAGAAGAGGGTTAATTCAGTGAAAAGAAAGTAATAAATCAGACATTCTAATTGGTCAATAATCAAAGAAATTCACAGATAGCCAATCAAATGCGAGCCTTGGACGGTCGCAACAAAATTGAAAATTTGAAAATTTGCGAGCGAAACAATGGCCGGCGTTTTAAGTAGGTTTTCTTTCGCCACCGCGGCTGAAAAACAACTCAAACAACGAAAATACTGTAAAAAACATTGCTTTTTGGTTGTCGGTTTGGAAAAAGTGGTGTTTAGAGAAGGAAATTGGCAAGGAAATCGAAAATTACGAGCCGACCCAGCTTAACACTTTGCTCGAGCGATCCAACGCCGAAATAAAAAACCAACATGGTTAAACCTCGGAAACGACGATTCCATTTCATCGAAAGTGATTCGGACACAGGACTGAACAATTCTTTGAACTGTTTAGCCGGACTTTGAACTTTTTTGCGCCTTAAAAATGTGAAGATATCATTGCATATTATTGTTTTGACCGAATGCATGGGTTTGACTAAATTATTTTGCACTTGATGCACGCGCTTTGCTTATGCTTAATTATGATTAGCCATCTCGTAATTTTTCCATGTATATTATTAACACGTAATCACATGATTTTTCTCGTGCAATTTGGAATAAACAAGCACTTGTTAATTTCCTCAAAGACCACAACGGGCTCGTGCAATTTTGTTAGTCTTTCAAAAAATTTACTCGTGCTTATTTATTCCAAATTGCACTCGAAATCATGTGATTACCTATACAAACTATTGCAGAATGTGAATTTTGATGGTTTGGCATTTTTGACAGCTGTAGACTTGTACAGCCAATCAGATTATTTGAACCATTCTAACAGGGATGCAGATTGGCTTATTATTTATTTACGATGTGCAAAACGATAATTTCTTTAGATTAAAAGAACCAAAATCGAAAGAATATTCCCAAAAGGAAAACAAATCACAGATCACGAAATTTGAAAATTTAAGGCCAAGAGTAGGCCAGAGGCCTACTCTGTCTAGAAGTCCAGCGATCAGCCATCTAGGTTTCAATCGTCGCCAAACCCATTGACAGGTATATCTGCCCATTTTTCGTGGAGTATTTTTTACCCTCATTAATTCAGTTAACTTACCTCATACGCTGCTTCCCTCATGAACTGTTTCGCCCGTTGGCCCCATATGGCCGGGACAGTCAGAACCCACTGAATATCATCAACACTAAAACAGTCATCTCCGGTCTGTCCTTGAATTGTTTTAATGGCCTCATCTTTGAGGAAACTGATCGAGCACGCAAAAACTCTCTTGGCTTTGACAAATTTGCCATTGGCTGCTTTGATGGTGGTCTCCGTATTCAGGGTCTAAGGAAATTGTCAATTATGTTTAGGAAGTGATTTATTTTTTTAAATGCATGTTTAAAAGATTTTCCAGATTACTTTTTCGCTTTTGCTTTTCTCCTTTCTGTTTTCAGAGAATAACTGCATTAGACATGCAGCAATCGTCACTAACGTGTGTTATTTAAGTTCTTGCTGACTAGTTCGTTTTGCCAACAGGCAGGGGAAGTACCCAGATAGTTCAAACTCGATGTTTTATCAATTTTTGTAATCAAGGAAATGTGCGAAAATCAACTGAATTCAAGTACCTAACATTTTTATCCAGACATCTACCACAAAATTGAAGTTAGTCATTAAAAATGTTGTGAAAGAAAATGCATTGTATCTTACATTTTCCGTATGAAGAGCCATTTTAAAGTGATTAAAGAACAAGTATTCCTTTTCTTCGCCGTCGCCTTGTAAGCTTGAATACTTCTCAATTGCTTCATAACCAAACGAGTCAAATGAAAGATCTGGTTTGAGTAACAGACACGTTGGTGTTTTGCTCGTTTGTTGGCCTTGTTCATTCGCCCAGTCTCTGTTCATGAAAATGGCATCCTTTCCTTGGTCTTTGATGAATGAAAAAGCAAACCCACTGTAAGTTGTTCCGAAATCGATCGCGACGACTGCTATATATGAAGTCCTTGGAGAATAAAGAAGTGATCCTTCCAATGCTGTAGTAATTTAAACAATGTAATTCGTTATTGTTGATTTATCATGTCTACAGAGATGTTTCATTATATAGGGTAGGTTCAAAGTTGATGTTGGAGCGGTGACGAATAATTTTTTAAGCGTGAGGTTTAACGAAGATTTAAGATTTACAAATGTAAAAACAAAGCACGATCATACGAGTTCAAGTGCATTAATATAATTCCTCGGGAAAGGAAACTACAATGGAAGGAGTAGAGGAAGGTGGGGGGCTAGAGGTTCCAAGTCAAAGCCTCAGCATATGAAGTTTCTTCTAAATAATTTAAATTATTAGATTCCATGAATAAACATAAAATTGATTTCGAGTGCCTTTCCGAGTTCAAGAATAACTGTGTCCATAATAATTTCATCGGGTAGAAAGAATGCGACCAGGCCTGGAAAATCATGGCGGAAACTGGATGTGTTTATGAGCACAGGCCCTCTCAGGTAACCGGCGAGCATAAAGAGTGGAACACTCTCTTTAAAATATTTTTCCCCATTTGAGATGGAATGGAAGGAATTAAGGCAACATCATTATGAAATCGTAAAAAGGTTGTGGTTATATATTGCAGTGAATACTCTTGTAATTGTAATGTAGAATCATCTTATGTTTGACGACGCAGTCAAACGACGCCTAAAAATGGTAAGTGCTCCCCCACCATCCAATTCATGTTTGTATTCTGAGTTTGCCTCCTTCCCAGTCTTTAATAACAAAGGTCACATGAAACATGAGAAAGCCTATCTTATTACTAGTGAAACGCTTGACTACACACCTCCTGCACCTAAAAAATACGTGGCCCCTAAAATGCTGTAAATACAATCTTTGACAGCAAGTGTGGAGTTAGAAAACGTTAGAAAAAATAAATTAACTGAAGTTCGTTGTAATACTTCGTCAAATCTCAAAAGTGCAGGCGGTAAGGCGCCGTTTCTCGGAATAGAGCCTTACTTTTAGTGTCGAAGCAAACGTTTTTTATGGGTTGATGCAGAGTCAAATTGGCAAAGCCCTCTCAGAAAAGCAGTCGAGCGAAAAAAAAATTGTATTCTCTCTCCTGCCTGAGTGAAATCTTCTAAACCTTGCAATTTTGTACCTATCAATCCATTAACAAGCGCTTTGTTGGTTTCTTGATCTCTCTGAGCATACACCCAATCTAACCAACAAACATGCCTAAATACACTCAGGGAATAAATTTGAAGCAGCAATTCCTATATAAGGTTTCGTTCCTGCTGCAGTATGAACGAATTTGTTATGCTGTGTCGAGTTGTTTTAGGCTTGGATATGTTTAGTACCACCAGAGAGAAAAAATTTGATATGATTCATCCAAGCAATCCTATCATATCGTATCGATGTACGTATCCTAACTAGAATAGAAAACCGAAAACCTTCTGTCTGCATTGATATTAATGCTGGCTAACATATTCTTTTGTAAACTAATGAAAGACTGATGTTACTCGCGCGACTAAACAATTTCAGGGAACTTGCTTACTTTTTAAAGGGAGAACATCCCTTTCTTCTTGCAATGCACAACGGATTGACGTAATATGGGGCTTAATAGAAATCTATCACAGACTCTCTTACCTTGGTAAGCCATTTTGTTGCTCTACTCGTTTTAGAAAGATTGCTGGCTGCTTAAAAATTTGTTATCTTTCGTAAACAGGGCAATAATGTTGATAAATGAAATTTCCCTGCGGTAGAGCGCTGTTTCTCGGAAAAAAACCCTTGACCTCAATGCCTCAAGAAATGCGTCTAATTGGTAGATGCTATGAAAGGTCAAGTTGACATGAGCTTCCTGTTATTCTCGGAAAAGCCGTTGTGCTAAGATTAATTTTTTCACTTGTTTTGTCTTTGCTTTTTTCTTTTTTTGTCTAAAGATTTTGGAGCAATAAAGTCTAACTTCTGGAAATTGGCCAAACCTCGTAACCGTTAACCAGAAATATCATTAGGTCTTCTAATCGCGAAACCGTAAACATTAGATTATTTTGGAAAACTTCAACAGTTCTTTTTCATGAGTAGATGCAAAGTAGCAAGCGTTTGGCTCAAGGATAAATTTCTGTTTGTTTAGGTCTCGCGTTCTCAACAACAAAAGACTATAGGTTCGTTGGCTACAACTGTCAATCCTGGCCTGAAAACGACCCGTTATTACTCAGAAGCGCTTCTGCATAAAATTGTGATGTTACAGGATATCACATGACTTATTTCCGGACTTTCTTAGAAGTGTGAAGCGAAACAAAATAAGCAATGCAAATAGACAGCAGTTTTACATTGTTTTATCCTTGAGGTGAAATAAGCTGGTAAGATCAGGAGTGAAAACAGAAATGGCACACCATCAGCATGCTGAGTTTGGAGATCAAGCAACAAAGGAGAACGTACAAGAAAAACTTGTTAGGCAGTTGATCGCTGTGCTTACAGGAAATCCAGAGGCCCTATGCCATGTAACAGAGATTTTTCAGAAACTGATTGAAATGCAGCATACTCCTGAGGCACAGGACGTCACAGCGGAAACGCTGGAGACAGCCAGGTAGAAAACGTAAATGTTGTTAACTTAAATTTTCATTTTATCAAAAGTTTGTTGATCAATTTCAAGGGTCTGACTGATATATGGATAAAGTTCATGCAGCTAGATGTTGGTCAGACACAAAACAGAAGCCCCATCGTTACCGTTGAGTTTGACATGATGCGTTTAATCTACGGATACTGTTACCCTAAAACGTTCCAAATTTGTCTCTCATGAAGTTTTCAATCTTATAACCTGGTGTTTTGTGTAATGTTTTACAGATTCGTTAATTCCATTTTTTACTTTTGCACATCAACGATTCGTGGTGGGTGCAAACTATGGGGGAGGGGGGAGAGCTTCTTTCTATTTCGAATTAAATGCTTGGGTCACTTTCAAG